CTCAAATGATTCCTTCGTGAATCAATAAAGTTGATTACCTACCTACCTGTCGGAAGAAGAGAATTCTAAATGCGAATGCATTTCTTATGGTGAATACCACTGGTATACAGATCCAGAGCCGCCGCCAAAATCCTGGAGCGAGCATTCGGACTGCGCCAAGACAGATCTGCGAGTGGAACATGTGAATGCCCCGCGTCAGGTCGCTCGGAAATTTGTTTACGTATACGTCGCTAAACTGGCACCGGAAACGAATTTCTTTCTTGCTCTCTACGTTTCAATGGTAACTGTTTCACTACGGCAAAGCGTGCATTTCGGCCGCGCAGTCGTGGAAAGCAGGGATACCACTCTCCGATATTAGGAATCTAAACAAGTGCACAAGGCTACTAGTGCACCTCAACAAAAACAAAACAAAAAAAATGCCGTAGACAACCTAGCTGCCCAACTGTACCGAAAATGACGGCAACGTATTCTCGGAGCTCTGGTGAAATCCGTCTCTCCAAGACGGAGCCCGCGGAACGCTCTGTCGCGGAGTGGGTTGCTTCGAATGTACCAGCAGGAGTCATTGGTACCAGTGGGAAACGCATACTTGCTCCGAATCTACCAGCGGAACGCAGATTCTCAACGTGGAGCAAGAAAACTTGCTCCCGCTCGACGAGTGGAATTCACCATTAGTCGGGCTATGTCAGGCGTCCGGCGTTGTCTGCGGCACTCCCTCTTCCATAGCAACAGGTTCGTTCGAGTTGCTTTGCACTGCGTTAACCAGTTCCTGGCTGTTGAGATGACAGCGCAGCCAGAGCTGAACTCATGCAGCATCAGTTCAGCGAGTGCAAGCGTAGCGCGACACTAGCTCGATCCACATTGAAACGAACGCCGAAGTGTAGACAGTGTACCACCGGTAGCGTGCCGGCCGTGTTTCTCACTTGTTCGTTGTATACTTGTGTGTGTTTGAAAACGTTGAGGTGCAAGCTAGCCAATTTCGTCAAAAAAAAAAAAAGAAAGCCATAGATTCCGTCGCAACAAGTGCAGCCATTGCGCGAAATTTGATAGAACTGATAAGAGCTCGACGATACATCGTCGAGGTAGCAACGCAACAGAATGTCATGGTACTGCAAACAAGTCATGAGTCAGTATCTTGTCACAATAGGACGACCAATGGCCAGTGCTGAAAATTTTAACGTGCTTAGTGGATTTTTGCCACTTGGGTGGACAGTGCAGTATATATATATATATATATATATATATATATATATATATATATATATATATATATATATATATATATATATATATATATATATCTATATATATATATATATATAGGAGAATAAAGGAGTTTGACTCACAAGTGAAAAGATTTTTTACTTGACGTTTCGACCGTGGGCCCGGCCTTCGTCAGAATGAAGTTTTTCATTCTGACGAAGGCCGGGCCCACGGTCGAAACGTCAAGTAAAAAATCTTTTCACTTGTGAGTCAAACTCCTTTTATTCTCCTATTATTCCCGGATCCGGCGACAAACGCTCCTCCAATATATATATATATATATATATACGTACTCCTTGGCCGACCGCTGTGGACCGTGCACAGCAGCGTCGAGCGAACCTCGGATTGGATTTTCTCAACAGCGTGAGTGTGGAAGTGGTTGCTTGCAGTCAGACAGAAGCAGGAATGCAGCAAAGCCAGTTTACTAGCAAAAAGCGGTGGCATGGAGCCTAAAGACGCTGACGATACATAGGCGGCCGACATGCGAATATCAAAAAGCCGACGGAGGAACCGAACTCCCATTTCCTACAACGCAGTTCACGTCTTCATTCAGTATCGGCGTCAACCATGCGAGGACGCCTTTTACGGATACACAAAATTCGTCTGCTACGATGGCTGCAACAGCGCCACTACTTGTACTCGAGCTGCACTACCTTCAAATTCAGTGCATGGTTTTGTCTGAACTGGCCGTGCACGATGCCTGCACTTCTTAAAACGAATGGCCCAGTTCAGAGAGCGCCGCTTTGCACTACAAAAAACGAACAGTGTGATACTTTGCGAACCAGTTCAGGTACTGAATCAAACAGACCTAACAGCTGCGGGCGCGCGCGCTTATCCGCGCCCCTAGCATGATAAGAGGGATGCTTGGGCCAGTTGGTGATTGGGAATCAACATATTTGCACAGCGCAAGATTACGATCAGTTATGGCGTAACTACAGAAGAAGAGACAAGGACAGAAAGAGCGCTGACAAATTTTATTAGCGAGAACGCTAAAATATATACTAGTGACAGAACATTACCGCACAATCGCACAACCTCTTTCGTCACAGTAAGAGAATCATCATCTCATTATATGGTTACAACACCACACTTCAGCGCAATTTCACAATCTATTATGTTAAAGTCAGAAACACGATTTCTTTTTTAGTCAGAGCGAGCGAAGGCGTGCTGATACATCGATCACACAACGTTAGCATTTGATTTGCCTCAATAATCTCTCGTACTGTTAGCTGCTGACGGTGTTTGGCTACAACAGTGCACTTTTCGAATTCCGGTCTGCAACCACAATCTCTACAAATTAATAAATGCCCAAATGACCTTGAACAGCTGAGTTACAGTGTTGTAGCTGAGTATACATGGCAATGGTGCTCCTTTAAACGCTCATTCAGGCACCGGCCCGTTTGCCCAACATACACCTTGCCGCATGATAAAGGGATCAAATAAACGACAGCTATCACACATGTTACGAATAGCCTTTTATGTTTGATTGTGCAGCAGCTCCTTCGTGCGGACTAAGCACTCACCGGTTTGCAGAGCGCTGAAAGCTTTTCTGGGGCATTGCCGGGTGCTAGTACTAAAACTAGCGTAGGATATAAGCGACATGTCATTCAGATGTTCGAAGCAGAATAATAAATTACTTCGAGGCATTGTTTATGTTATACTTATTAGCTAGCTTTGGCTTTGAACTTGTTTTAGTGGGTTGGTTCAATTACACTGTAGTTTAATTATAGTTGAATGTCGCGCTTTTGCCGCTTTGCATAGGTTGAAAGCACGGTGGTTGAAAGCGTGAGGCCTCCAAAACTAGCATCACTACGCGCCACGGAGGCTCCGAGCTACGCGCTGTCGCGATATGTGCTGCCATCTATGAGCAGGTATAACAGGCTTTGTTCCACTGTGCTTTCGGCTTTCGCTACCGTCGCGGCATCTGGCAACGCTGCCGAAAACATTTACGTATGATCGTGAACGAGTCCCCTGGTTGGGTCGTATTCGCTGCCACTTTTATTACCTGATTGTTGAGCACGAATCGTGCCCGTGCAGCTATTTATACTTAGATTTAGTCATAAAAAAACCAATTATGGTAGAAAAGAGACAACAGTGCATATAAACCCCGTTTGCAAATAACTCCGTTGCCGGGGGTTGTGGCGTGTCCCTGTAATCCAGCTACTTGGAGGCTTGCACTAGTGGACGGGTTGAGGCTGGGAGTCCTGTCCCATGTTGACTTATGTTGATCGGGTGTCCGCGCTAAGCTGGGCGTCGATATGGTGGCCCCAGGGGAACCCGAGGGCGACCAGGTCGCCTAAGGAGGAGCGAACCGGCCCAGGGCGGAAACGCAGCAGGCAAAAGCTCCCGCGCTCTGCAGTAGCGGGATAGCACCTGTGAATGGGTGGCATGGGGCAGCCCAGCCGATACATTTGGACCTAGTGCTTTTTTTTTTCCTTTTTTCAGTATTTGCTTATGCGCAATATTTTTTTTTTCGTATATAGCTGCTCACGTTGCACTCTTCGCGAACTGCTTCACACACACAAAGCGTCACTAAGTTAGAACGCTTAAATGCTACTTAAATTTTATATCACTTTGTGGTATTTGTGTTACATAAGACATTGCCGGCTTCAGTGCAGCTTTTCATTTTACTACACTACACAATTCAACCCATATACTATTCGCATTGAGCTTACTATACTATTTACACCTGTACACTCCGCGTTGTCATCTTGTTCAGACTCGAAATGTTTGTATCTACTGCAGAATAGGCGCTAAGATATACGCAGACATTGTATATGCCTTCGAGACGGCATTGCTTTAATCTCAGGAGAGGGCCAGGAACCAGCTTGGGACATACTGAATTCGGAGCACATGATTCGAGTACACGATGCATGTGCGTCGCTGTGTGGTATGTTGCTCGTTGCCATCTCGTTGTTTATCGTTTCCGCTGGTGTCTGCGCAAGGTCTCCGTAACTGCTGTAGGTGCAGCTGGTTCACAGCACCATAAAACGCACTGAGCTGATTGCGAAGCACAATGTTGCGCATGTTATTTGTCGACAACTTGAACGTTTGCCGTGCATGCTTAGCGATTCGGCGTTCGCGCTAAATGTTGCTAGCGCTATCTGTTCGTGTCTTCGAGAGTGAAAAGTCTCGCAGTGTTGTCATATTACTGCGAGCGCTGCCTCTCAGACCTTCCTAACCTTGAAATAAAATAAATCTGTGTACAGCGCTGCATCTCCTGATCACACATGTAAATACTCTGTGTGACATTTTGTGTCGTTGCAGAAAGAAAACGTATCCAGCAACACTCCGGCAACGCATCAGCGCGTCAACTAGTTTTGTTTAACCTTGACACGAGCGAGCGTGAGGCATTTTCCTGAACGGAAACGAGGAAGAAACGACGAGACGACGTTGTTGCGAGCCACATTCTATGCGCTTCAAAATCCTCCATCTCATTCGGGCAAGGGAGCCGTTATACCGCTTAGTCGAACTCGAAATGAAAACATTAGAACGAAAGGGATGCCTGCGACTTCTGGAAGCGGGCGTATTCCTAACAATAAAAGCCATTGTTTTCAGTTTACTTTACTCCAAGGGCACGGCAGCGCGGTTACTACACCACCTCCTCGCCACCGGCTGTCCAGCCCAGCCAACTGCAACGACCGCGATGAGCTCGCAGAGACGGAAGATAAAATCAAGAGCGCCCAAGCTACACAGCAGAGACACGACGAGCTAGAAAAGAAACAGCAGTAAAAGAAGAGTGGGCGCTTCCACGTTTCCTGCCCCGAAGTCCACATCAGCCGCGCGTGGCGTTGGCGGCGCTGTCGTAGCTCTTGCAGCACTTGGTTGTGTCGCGCGCGTCCGTCGCGCTTCCTCGATCTCTTCGCCCAGGAGCGTCCGTTTTTTCACCGAATTAGTGAGTTTACGATTTCGTTCCATGCGTCTCAATGTCGGCTTTTGTATTATCTTGGCTAAAGCTATGCGATCAACGCCCTACAGAGGCTTGTCAGCGAGTGCGCCAAAAGCATGCTGCAGGTGGTTGCCTGCGCGAAGGCGTTAATTGCGGGTGGTCTGTCCGTTTCTATTTTTTACTGATTTGTGCCACTAAGTTTTTTTGTTTTTTTTTGTCTGATCTTCAGGTAGGAGGTGAAAAGACTCCTTGAGCGGCGATCATCGTTAACAGCGGCATCATGTTGTTCAGGCTACTAAAGTGTGCTTTCCGGTTCTTCGTCTATTTCCTAATCGTCTTTCTCGTGCTGCCGTTCATCCCCCTCTCGCTGGACTTCGAGCCCGTTGCGTACAAGTGAGTTCTTGTTCTTCATTTTCCGCGCATTCTTTCGTGCGTGTCACAATTGACTTGCAGTCGGGATCGCTTCCTGATCAGTATCTCTTGACGGCCACATTTTCATTAGCATGCCTGTCTCACCTGCGCCCAGAAAAAAACGCGATGTCTGCAGCTCTAACCGGTCTGCTTGACTTGAGGGTCTTTTCCTGGAGCGTACTTGTTCCTTACTTTTTGACTACCTGATCAATTATTGCGTGATGATTCTTGGATCATGATCGATTCTCCGGGGAATCGTGGTCGTACGAATTGTCGGCGTAGTACGATCCTGCATTGCGATCCGCACTTTGAAGCAGGCCTTGTCTCGGTGCCAGACAGCACAAAGAATTAATAAAAAAAAGACTAGCCTGGAGATCGCATAGACTATGAACTCAAGATACGGCCAAGTGCAAGTAGCCGTGATCGCATGATCGAAGGTTCGTTTTTATCGCAGTGCTGTAGCACGTGCACTTTCGAAAACAACTCGCCTGGCCAACGACATCGGCTTATCAGTTTAGAGACACCGTATCTATCCCCCTTTCTCTCTCCGCACACACAAACGCTTTCCTTTCTTTTTCTGTCTCGAACTGAGGGGTTGTATCTATACGTGGAGCCCGGCGAGCAATTGTTCTCATGTTGCCTTCATTCTTTTTTTTTTTTGTTTAATCACGCTCCTCGAGATACTAAATGATTGTTTAACGCTGTAAATGCCAGTTCTTCATTGTGCCCTGTGAAATTGAGGGTGTGCAAATAAAATGCAGTTAATGTTACGGTGCTTTGCACTGCAGTTGAATCCGCATGCTATACTAAACCTGAAGGAATCACAAAAGAGTTTTACATGTAGGTCATTCAGTATCTAAATATTGTATGTATGGAAAGTGTACTCAAGGGAACATTACTACTGCTCCATATATATATTCGAATCGACTGTATGTCCAAAAAAGCTTGTCATTATTTTGGCAATCGGAAGAACAAATCTTATGCAAGTAACCACAAAATATGCTTCTCTCAATAATAAACTTTGCTCAATAATAAACTTTACGCTCTGAGCATTGTACTCTATGTGTTTTGGACATCGACTCTTGATTGTTTCCTGTAGCAACGCTGCTACGCGTGTAGAAGCATTGAGCTCGTAAACTTCAAAAGTTGAAAGCTGCCTTGTGTAAAAGCAGTGCAGGTCTAGTGTAGGGTCGGCATGGGATTTTGTAAATGAAATGTTTCTCTTGAATTCATTCCCATTTGTATGTTGAACAGTATTCTCGTGACTGAAAAAGATGGCTGTTAAAAATAAGCAGTGCAGGTTAGACGGGCTTATATTTCGCGTTTTGGACATGCATTCCCATGCCTTCGTACCGCAGAAAAGTTAAATGCTACTCATACGCTGCAATACTGCCACTTTTGAATAAAGCAATCGGGATTCATTTTACTATTTATCAGATAAGAATGATCATGTTAAATTATAGAAACAATCATTTCTGTGATTTTCATGTATATACTTATTTAAAAGGTTATTTTTTTTTCTCGCTAGATTGAGTCACAAGAAAACTAATGGGATTCACAAACAAAGAGAAAATACACAGGATTTATATGAATTAAATGCTACAGCCACTGAGTATTGTACAAAGACTTAAAATAGCCAATAATTTTTACAAGTCACTGCTATTTATTCAAATACTGCTTGCACAGTTTCCTTATGTACTTTGACATAAACAATTTTTTAGAACGTGTCAATGAATGCACAGGGAACGAGGAATGTTTAAGTTGTTAACATCATAATTACGGTGTGCTGTGTAAGACTTGAAGCTAAAAAAAAATCTTCTTTGGTGCGATAGTTTTAGGACAGTTGTATTCTCTATTGCTCATAGTCAAATTTTACTCTTAGTACACTCATTTTGCATTGATACCTGTGTTGCCACCTGGGAGTTCTCACTTAAAGACAAACTCAAGCTTGTTATGAAGCTTGTCCTGTATGGTATGCAAAAATAAAAGACGAGAGGAGGGCTCGTAGCAGCTGCTGTCATTTAGCGAAAATAGAGTAGTAAGTTTTGCAACTGGAGGGTGTCATTGGGTTTGGATTTCAACATCTGAATCTGAGGTTAGTATGTCACATGTTATAATGATAAATACATCGGAACACAAGGACTGTCAAAGCAAAGCTGTTTACAGACATGAATGTATTTACGTTTCTTACATATTGAAATTCCGCTATATTAGTTATAATGCCAGTATTTTTGTGGATCGTGTATTAGTCGATCTATTTGTGTTGGCTAAAGTGTGTAAACAGTGTGTGCATTTAATATTTCTTTTGCTAGCATAATCACTTTATTTAAGTTGTTGATTATTTTAACTTGAAAGGGGCCTGTGTATCTGATACACAGCTACATGACTTCAATGTGTACTGAGTACATTATTTTAAAACTATCTGTGTCACAGCAGGACCTGCCAAGATCTCACACGTGCAAGTGCATTGTCGGGTATTGAAAGAGTTGCAATCGGCGGGAAATTGGGAGGCTTTCCTTGGTTGCTTTCTTTGACTGCTCGGTTCATTGTAGTACAATTTAGTTTCAGAGAGTTTAATGGAATACTGTAGGGTCAGGTGAAGACATCATTAATAAGCAGGCCACTGACCGGTGTTTAAAGAAAGTAAAGTGACGCACAAGTGGTATGGATCCCTTGTTCACAACAGAGTAACAACTAAGTAGCAGGTTCTTTAGTGGCACTGAGCATATGACACACAATTTGGTAGTATGCGTGGTTTAGTGTGCCAAATTGCGTAACTTTTCTAAATTAACGTGACACAAAATTTAGCCTCAAAGTCACATTCTTCTTTGTCTCCATAACGTGCACATTGACCCAGATTATCTCGTAGCATGACTTCCTACTGGACCTGCTTCTTAGTTGTCATTTCATTGTGAACAGGGGATCTGTCTGGATTTTAAGACATTTTATTTTGTTTAGACATTGGTCAGTCACCTGTTTATCAACAATGGTATGATTTAGTGTTTCCCAAACACTGCACGTATTATAGAGAATAAAGGGGAATTTTCGCTGCTTCAATTCCTCGAGCCGGCAACTCTCTCATCATGTTGCCTGTCCTGACAGCTTGGCAAGTTTTTAAAGCAGTGCTCACAGGATCTTGAGGTGTCCCAAGAGAGACACTTTCTGTTTCCATTGGGTGCACTATCAACCCTTTCCACACTGGAGCCAAACATACCTATAATATATTTTTACTTTGATTTAAAATTTCTCGTGGTCCAGCATCTGCAACTAAGCCCCACCGCAACGGGCATTATCGCGACAGGTCAACACACTTCACTGACTCGGCGAAATCTGCGACTTACATGCAGCATAAAACGCAGAAATCACTGTCAAAGTTTCTGGAGTACAATTCTTTACGTGAACTATGTGCGACTGACAGTAAACTGACAGCTGTTGCTGGTATGTGGTGAGTTGTAGTCTTCCCGTGACGTCAGACTCGTGTGGCAGCTTGGGCTAGTTGGTATGGCATGACGATAGTTATAGCACGAGACTAAAATGACGACACAGAGACAAGAAGGACACGAAAGACACAAGCGCTCATGTCCTTCGTGTCCTTCTTTTCTCTGTGTCGTCGTTCTGTTCTCGCGCTATAACTATCGTCATGTCAGACTCGTGTTGACACGTCGTTGCAAAGCCGCCCTCTCGATTCTGAAACTGAAACTGCTATATTAAGGCACCATATTAAACATTTATTCAATGCATTCGCAAGTGCTACGACACATATTTTTAGGGTTCAGGACACCCATGTTTTCACTTGGAGCAACGACCTCAAGATGTTTCAAAATTCATGTCAGTACTTCTGTAATGCACTCGAAATTCGCTCAGACTAAGAGATCTGGGGATAACTGTAGGCTGTACCAAATTTGTATATGTGATGACCAATTGCGTGGTTTTTTGATGTCTGTATACAGTTTGCTGTAAGCAACTGAATGAACAAATGATGAAACGAAACTAAAAGCTAACCTGAGCCCAATATCGTGATTCGTACTTCTCCTCCTCTTATGTTTGGGACGACGTGTACTGCTTTCATGAAGAAAGCAAAGGAAAGAACAGCTTTGTTTCTTAGTCTTGCCCCATTGGATAATGACACTGAAATGTTTTATACATAGTAGCCTCACGGCTTAATGGCAAGTACTGAAAGAAACAGAAGCTGTAGCATGCTTATAATTATGATTACTGACAGTCTGTATACACTTACAGTGTTCCTACCTTAATTTCTTTTCAACAACTTAACAAGGTAAAGCTCTTGTATGGAGGCAGATTGCTTTTGTATTCTTCTTCTTTTCTTACTCCTGATCCCATTGTGAATGCTGTTGTTTTAATAATGCACTCTGTCATGCATGAGTGGCTACACAACGGGGGCCCATGTAGCTGGTGCCATTGGCACTGTCAACTTCAGGGTCTCGGTTTGGCAGCGCTCTCTTAGGTGCAGACCTCCTTCGTGCCATCCATAGCATGGTATTATGAGATACGCCTGTGACTTCACAGCGTTCCACAATGATGTACAATGACTCCGTTTTCTGACATTTCTTTTTTTATCTGCCGGAGTGCATCTTGGCAAGTCATCTGCAGTATGTGAATGTAAAGTATGAGGTGGCTTATGATAGCTTGCGTTGTCTAAATTATGTTATGTGCTGGCTAATGTATGCTAATCCTGGCTGTTTTTGTTGGGACGGTAATGTCTGTACAATCTTGATCCAATGACTGAGTTGTTCTTGCACATACACATACAAAACCTGTTCTGGTTATTTAAAATTTCTAATTTCATTCTGAAACTTTGACCTACAGCTTTTACACAAGCGTAACCCTTACCTGCTGGTATGTGAGTAATATAAAAGTGAACACTAAAATGACATTCAAGAGGTCATAGTGGATGGGCACTGTTATCAAGAGTAAAAGTCTTAGTTACACAAAATAATCGATCACAATGGTACCTCTTGCTAACTGATGCATCACATTTGTATCCGCACTTCTCAAGTCATTATCGCCAAAACACTGTATCCGTGTTCCCTTATGTTTTGCTAACGACTGTACCTCATCTGTCCTCAGCGTGTCTTCTGTGTTCGCGTGTTTTCGTAACTGTGCTCTCATTACTAAGCCATCCATGTTTTTACACCGTTTGGCTAAATGCACCAACTACCTTTTCGCACCCTCTCTGCTCTAGGGTTACACTACCTGAATTCAAGGGTGCATTAGCCCCTAACCAGGCATTGGACAATGTCGAGTACCTTTTCCCGAACCAGGTTGTGGGGCCCGAATCTCTTGAACAACATGGAGGTATGTCTTTGCCTTTGCTGGTTACTCCCTGTCTTGCTGCGTAACTTGTTTATTAAAATTTTAAGTACTAATTGATTTACGGCATATGATGACATTGCTAAATTTTGAAGCTTTTTTGCACTTGGTGCACGTGATAGGATGCATAGTGATAGTCTAACGTGTGCGAATTCCCGTCTTAAAACTTGCAGGTAGCATCTACACTGGTGTTGTTGGCGGACAGATCTTGAAGCTCACGGGAGCGAAAATAACCCCTGTTGCCAAGTTTGGCAAGAAATGTGGTAAGTGGCCGACCAGCATTTGCTATGTTTATGGTGACGCTAGGGACTGTGAAAATAAAAGGTTGGACTGACCAGCTTTACGAGCTAGCAAGATTATAGACGTGGGTATGTGATTTCCCATCTAAAGATAACAGAATACCAGTTGGGTACATCACAGGGAGCACAGTCAACAAAACATTGTGAACAACTCGGAAGCGTATAGCATGTATTGTTACATTTATAGGCACGCTTGTTCTCATAGAAGTTAGTGGATACAGAGTACTTAACACCCATGTGAGACTGTGCATGCTTAAAAACGGGTCACCTGGTGATTGCCTCTGGAACGTTTGTGTAATCACACATAGCAAGTGTCCTGGTTGCCTCTTCCTTGCTTGTTTATGTTTCAACTTATGCCACTGGCACTTGTCATGCAACGAATATACTGCGGGTGTGCCTGTTAGCTTCCAAAATGCAGCATGGCTAAGATAAAATGTGCATAAGCGTAGTTGTATATCGTCCATCACGTCACATTTAAATGGGGCTAAATGGAAAGCATCACTGTACATGCATTTAGGTGCACAGTACAGAACCCCCGTGTTATCAAAATTTGTCCAGAGTGCTTAACTAATGTGTCTCGTAATCATGTTGTGGTTTGAGCGTGTAAAGGCCCAGAATTTTTTTCATCTGAGAGCCCTAGTCTCTCATGAAGGAGAAGTAGTTGAGAAGTAACATCGGAAGGAGCACTGGTGGAATGAATGCTGGCTAGTCACTGTGTCATGAGACGTGATAACGAAATGATCCCATCTTTCATCTTGTGCGCAGAGGGACCATGGGAAGAGGATATTTGTGGTCGTCCACTTGGTCTCCGCTTTGACAAGAAGGGCAAGCTGTACGCCATTGATGCGTACAGTGGCATCCATGTGGTAGATGTTACGAAAGGTGAGTTGTAAGATGTAGAAAATGTAATTGAATAATTTTGACAAAGACTGCCTGCATTTTGAGTAGCATTCGTTTTACTGTCTTTATAACACCTTAAAAAATAGCTGTGCCTTTCGGTGCATGCCTTTTTTGCGCACAACTATCATCTGCCAAGTTTTCATTTCGTTTCTATGAAACTCTGTGCTTGCTAGTGTTTTGTGGGAATTCAATGACGCACTGTTCGGGCCATTCATGACCTGAACACAGTGGGCCCATGACACTAAAGCAAAGAAAGGCACTCGAGATAAACACGTGACTCCGATATTTTCTCGCACATAAGTGGTACAAAATATACAGGAAAATGAGAGGTAAAGAAGGGTTGTGAGTTATACTTGAATTTCAGTGTGCAAGTTGGCATCATGGCACTGCTCAAGGCTTACAAATTTGTACAATACGTTTCTGGTTAACGTAAAAGGCGATTGCTTGTTGAGTGCTTCCTTCAAGGATAGTCTGTACGCAAGAGAGCTTTTAAGATAAGATGAGCTGGTAATGCATAATACACGCCCTCAATAAATCATTGTGTGTTCCCCCTCTTGTATTACGTGACATTCTGGTGGAGGTGCGGGGTATGATTGGAAGTCCCCTTGGCGCAAGAGAAAGAAGCCCTGACCCCCAGCGATTGGAGCCTGGCAAACTTACTCCAGTACACCAGCGTTCAAGTCGCCACCTCCGAGGTGAGTCACCTGAATTCGGACCACTCTTCACTACTCCAGCAACACGGGCAGCGATAACCGCCAATCTCAGAGAAATGGCCAATCCAGCTTCAACATATGAACTCAGCGTGTCTTCCCCGTGCTTACCTGAACCCTTCCACGGTGACGCGCACGAATATGTGGAAGACTGGTTGGAGCATTTCGAGCGGGTTGCAAGGACCAATGCCTGGGATGAGGCGAGGAAATTGGGCCGCGTGTACTTTGCGTTGGAGGATGGAGTGAGAATATGGTTTGAGAACCACGAAGGGGCAATAGCGACGTGGGAAGACTTTCGGCAGCAGTTGCTTGATAAACATACATTTACAAGTTATTTAAAATAGTTAGTAAAATACTCTTTAGTGCTTGTTTGTCATGTGGCACACACTGCTTTTTTTATATCTTCTTGCAGTGTATTGTGCAGCTGGACATATGGATAGTGATACGTATATAATTGAACAGATGGATATACGGATAGCTACAGTCATAGCTTTGATTGGGAATCGCAAGGCATTGGGCAGTCACTGAGACACCAGTGATGTGAAGCTTGTTTTTAGGAAAACTGCTTATACAATGTTTACGTGAGGCTATCATATACATTTTTTCACATTTGTGATACTTGTACCTTTGTGGATTCTGAAAAAAAAAAAAAAAAAACATCCAATATCTGAAACTGCTTTTTCATCTCTGAACTGCCCCAAAATGTTACCAACACTGCCACTGAAATGTATAGGTATGTATTCTCTATTCGTTGGAGTCCTTGTTCTTGTTATTGATGAAGTGATGATATATATGCATGCATTTATTTGTGTACTTTGCCACATTACTAGTCGTTTAACACTCAGCACTATGTGTAAGTAGTTGTTTGCATGAACTTTTCTGTTCCCATCTTTCACGCTGCTCTCCTACAGTATTTGTTCAACCCTTGCAACGCACATTGCAGGCTTTGTCACGCCGCTCGTGCCCAACGGCATCGATTTGGACGGCCAACCATTGTCGTTTGCGAACGACCTGGTTGTCGACAGTGACGGCAACGTCTTGTTCACCGAGACCAGCACCAAGTGGCCGCTGAAGAAGATCCTCTACTCGGTGCTCGAGCACGAGAACTCGGGACGCGTGCTCATGTACGATGCCAAGACCAAGCGCACCCACATCCTGCTCGAAGACCTCTACTGTCCCAACGGCATTGAGCTGGGTCCGGACGCCGACAGCGTCATCATTGCCGAGCTCACCAAGAACAGGCTGCTCAAGTAAGACTGCTTACGTTGTGCTATCATGTTCACGTTAAACGGGCGCTGACACAAAAATTTTCAGTTTGTTTCTTTTTTTTAATCGAGAGGAAGACCAAGTCCTCAGGAGCCTAAAAATTGCACTCATAAAAGTGAGTGCACCCTGAAAAACATCGATTGCCAAGGATTGAAGGCCGTAGAATCTGAGTATGGTGTCGACCACAGAATCTGGGTGTGGTTTCGTGTAGCGAGTGTTGAGGCATGCATCAAGAACTGAAGCAGGCTACACTGCATGGCTGCATTGTTGAAGGGACACTGAAGGCAACTATTAAGTCGACACTGATTATTGAAATAGCGGCCCAGAAGCCTGGTAGTGTGACTTTTGTGCCAAGGAAACGCTTGTTTTGAAATAAAATTGAGTTTTAGTGGTACGCATAGGGCTAGCGCTATTCGAATTACCCGCCTCAACGGAACGTCTCATGTCACTATTGCCGTGCACAACGTTGCTGCTGATACTGTAGTAGCAGTAGAGGGAGCCACAGCAGCAACAACGGCCGTTGAACAATTTTTAGCCATGGCCTTGAAAATTGCAGGCATGCTTGGTTAAACTGGGCCCCGCTTAGTGGCACGGTCTGTGCAGTTTAACCAGGCCAAAATTGAATTTTTCAACCACTTGAGCTATTCCTCATAGTAACGTCCGGTGGTTCTTTTTTGATTAATCAAACAAACGCAAACGAACATCATTTTATTTCGTCCCTCGATGCACGGAATATTCTTTTAGTGCAGCTAGATCGACTACTAGTGATTAATTGCAGGCGGTTCATCTGACGTCATCGGGATCATTTTCAGAACGTCCTACTGCGACGTATTTATTCTTGTGCATTTACCTTAATTTCGCGGTAAGTAGGGCACTGCTGTTGATAATATTGTCGTTTTAGACGTTGTCATGCATTGTGCTTTCACTCTGACATAAATTGTTGGAATAAACTCTCAGTTGATAGTTCGCACCATGTTTGATGTCCCTCCCTTAATGGTATCGTTTTTTGATCACGATTGTTTAAGGTAATCGGCGAGGTGTAGAGATAAGTTGATGTGACTTCCACAGCTGAGTTATAGCCACATCGACTCTTCCATAACTTCAGGACACAATTAGAAGTGCTCCCATGCTGTCACACAGGTACTACTACCGTGGCCCACACAAGGGCGACCTCGTGGTCTTTGCGGAAAACCTGCCGGGCGAGCCGGACAACATTCGGCGCACGCCACGTGGCGGCTACTGGGTGGCCTTCGCGTCAGGCCGTTCCAGTGCCAAGCTCTCGGTGCTGGACCACCTGTCGGCTTATCCACTGGTGCGCAAGTCGGTGGTGCGCCTCCTCTACCTGCTAGGGTCGGCCCTGAAGTACGCGACGACCTTCTACAACTGGGTGCCCCTCAAGGACATTGCATCGAGGGTGAGTGTTCCTGCTGCAACAACTGTCCACTGTTCAGCCGTCTACTGTGCTAAGTGCCAGCTTATGTCAGTCTCCTTAATGGTCATTTAAAATGCATTGACCTATAATGTATATACTTAGTGACTGATAGTTGAGCCATTTCGTCTCTATGTCGCACGTCTTTTAAATGAGAAGCAGCTTATGGTCAGGGCTTGTCCTTTGTCTGTCGTCGTAGCCACGCTAGTACTCGGAGTGCCCATTAGATGGCCGGGCGGCTGAGCGCTCGCTCCAATCTCGTGCATGCTCTGGTGTGAGTGGAGACCGCTAGCGTTGCTGTGCTGCTCTGTATAATAAAACTGCTCATACCTTGTGGATTGCGTGCTCCACTCCGGCGTGTGCTGTGGTACAGGTGAAGACCGCTAACGGCGGGCGCTGCGCTGCTCTATATAATAAAAGCGCTTATTCCTCCTAGATGGCTCTGCCGTAGAACGCTCGCTTTATCCCGGCACGTGCTCCGATATGGGTGGAGATCGCTCGCGGTGCTGCTCTGTATAATAAAAGCGCCTACTCCTCTCTCTCCTACACAGCGTAGTAGTAGAATGAATGAAGACAGCATGAGTGCAGCATAGAAGAGGGTTCGCAAAGCGGCTTTGTGCGCCACCATGAACGTCTATGGTGATAAGTAAAAAGTACCTCTTTACAGAACTTCAAGTCGTTCCATGGCTGCTTTGCATACTGCTCGAGTTTTTTTTTTTGTGTGTGTGTGTGTGTGTGTGTCGAGTGCAGTTGACACCGCATATATTTAACCCACATAGATGTAGTTATTGTGCTTATTAAACAGCTGTACACTCCGCTTGAGATATCTTTCAACCTATTTAATAAGGTATGTATCTATCGATTTATAGAACGTAAATATTTTTATCCTCTCCAGATATGGATTCGACTCTATTAATAGTTTATTTTAGACAGGCTCCCAAAGTTGCTCGATATTTTATTAGTGTACATTGTACAAGGGATACTTTTGATGACATTCCCTTACCCTAGTTAACTTAGTCATGGTGTCCGCAGAAGGCGACATAACAACGCTACTTAAGAACTACAACAGTGTTTCCAAAGGGTGCAGGTTCGAACCCTGCTGGTGGCAAAGTCTCATTTCGTCTACTTTAATTTTTGTACACTTTATGTGAATTACCACGATACAGCTGAAAGCAGGGGTGCACGAATACTTTAACTTAAAATTTTTTTTCTAACGGTGTTTGCTATTCGAGCCGATACACACCAATATATTACTATTAAAAGCATTGACCATCCTGAAATAAATATAATGACAGAAAGAAGTGCAACGGTGGAAAATCTACGTGCCGCGTGCAAGGTCTGGCATTTCGGGACGGTGATGTGCGAAACTGCTATTTTTTTCCACTGGTGCTCTGAGTGGTCTCTGAGAGATGAGGTCGATGGGGGGGTCCGCTGACGATGTGCAAGATGGCCATCCACGGTTCCAAGAAGCCAGTGAGCGATGCGATTCGTTGCTTGTGAAGAAGCTTATTGCGATTTTTTTGGTTTCGCATGTCGGCTAGCACAATTTGCTTGCCCGCAAAATGCAAATTCATCTTGTGAGCGGAGTTAGGCTCATCCGCAACTCTGAAAAGTAAGCTCGGTCGCCGTGTGCGGGGCTGTGGTGCCCGATGTTTCAAAACATGTCATGCCCAATCGCGAGTACAAATAGCTGCCTGCAGTGGTCTTTATCACGGAGTGAAGTTCGTGTGTGTGCTCCTTACTTCGGTGCAAACTGAGAAAGCCAGCTCTCGTATGCCGCTGCTGAGAATGAGCTTTTGACTGGTTATATGCAGTTGGCTGATTCACCGTGCGCACTCGGCGCGTTCCGGAATTTGTCTCTCTCCAAACCCTCCCCGCGTGTCTGCTATAAACACTGCTGCACGGGGTCTTCATAAGTTCGTGCTCGAGCAAAGATGTCTTCACGGGTCTTCAGGGTGTTCTCGGGCAAAGATCACATCCCACGGTTTGGGCACAATGCTCGAATGCCTCCAGCCGTAGAGGTCTGCAACCCCATAGTCGTCAGGCCATTCAGCGCAGCAGAGTCGCAGTCAGTGGCGAGCACTTGAAGTCGTAAATTTGAACACCGAGCTCGTTGTGTAGGCGCTTGCTGCCGTAGCTGTCAGAGACCCTCGCAATGGCCTGCGCCCACCGCTCGGTCGTAGGATCCGCTGACAGAGATGTTCCGGCCCACATCACTAGGCGTTCTCGAAGGAGTGCTTCCCAGAAAACACCACCGTAGCCAGTCCATGTATGTGCCGAGCACTGGCATTCGCCGGCAGCTAGTTTTTGTTTATCTGAGCCGCAGGCACCACGTTGCTTCGCCCGACACATGGGGTCCAAAGTTCTGATAAGCAGAACCTTTAACCACGAACCACGGGTTCCTTGAGTTAATGCTATAGTATACAGTCCGTCCGAGATGCAGCGTTTCAAATGTTCGCAACCAGCGCGGAGCACTATCGTAATTTGGTTATTATAATTCTGCTTGCAGCTGCCTAACCAAAGCATATATTCTAAGCGATTGTCGACTCTTCAACACCGAACTGAATGTGAGTGCGTCACTAAGCCGCATGCTTGTTGGCAACCATGGCCTTGCCATGGTCGAGCAGCAGACGACGTTCTTCCAGAGCAAGCATCGGACCGATGGCGAGGCGTGCTGGGAGAAGCATAGTGTACGCAGCCAATCAGAGGCCTCAAACCGAACTTTAGACATTCACTTTTTGTACACTTGTTCCTGAACGGAGCACCTACCTGAAGCGAGATTTGGGGAAACAGAAAAACTGGCTCTTTCCAACGAGCGCAAAATGGTGGCGCCCAGTTTCACTGTTGTGGAGCTATAATTTTCTAGAATATAATTTACAATATGCTTAGGGAGTGTCTGCAGCTTTTTTATGTGATTTTTTCTCAAGGTACTAAAAAATATGAAAGAGTAGAAAATTATTAGATTAAGTTCACCTTATTATTTGAATTCGCATCACACACAAAATTTTTCTAGTTGCTCAGCTTTATTTAAACAAGTAAAATTAACATTCTATACGTTTTCTTAGTTTTATTGTTTGTGGGCATTGAGTAAGATTGTGTCGGGCGAAGAAAGATGAGTTGTTTAATTTTTTTTGTGTGTGTGTGTGTATTGAACAGTACTTTTGGTATCGGGCACTTTTTGCATGTAGTGATGCTCATAAAGTGTGCTGGAGATGTAAATTTTTTATAGACAAATGGCAACTGGAAGTGTTACAGCAAGGCAGAATTGATTGGTTGATCTACATGTACTGACGCACTAATGTGCCCAGCAAAGCCAAAGGTGGAACACGTGTCTGATGACCATTCTGTCGTTTCCAGATCGACAACGGTTGGATATTGTACGAGGCGGTGCCCAAGTACGGACTCATCGTGGAACTGGATGCATCTGGCAAGGTCGTCCGGAGCCTTCACTCGCCCGCAGGCAAGATCCACCTCCTCTCCGAAGTGCTCGAGCACGACGGGCACCTTTACCTCGGATCCTTCCGAAACCGCTTCATCGGACGAGTCAAGGCGTGAGAGAGAAACCGAATCGAAAGCCGCATCCACAGCCCAGCCAAACCATCTATTGGGCCGGAGAGCCATTCTCCAATCGCGTCACTTGTGAACGGGAAAGCAGCTGCGTTGAGTGTTCAGCGACAAGGCTGGGATGTCATTTTTCGTGCACAAGGTAATGAGATGCATCTTTTGGCATCCCGAAGGACACCTTGGAAGGAAAGGCTTCTTGAGCATTAACTAGAATGCTTGGGCCTATTTAAACCCCTGCGTGTCCACCATCTGCAACATCCTCCCTTCGTTATCCAGAGGTGATATTGAGTTGCTAGGGATCACTGCTAAAGCCTTAAAACGAGTGAATGTAGACAAATTCTTTGTTGTTCTTTGGCGGTGTGGGTTAGGAGACAAGAATTCAAACTAAAGTTGAGGTTTGGTTGAAGACTTCGTGGAGTTGACATCACCAACTTCACGATGCCTTCATGGTTCATACCTCTAGAACAGTTTTGCAGAGTTGCAACGATGGTTTGCATAGAAACCGACTTAATATTGTGACTCTTAACGCAAACATCAATTAGCTGCCTATCCAGTTTGTATATATAGTACTGGTTTTTATTGAACCAGCTAGGAAAAAATAAGCATTGATGGCATTTGCCAAGTGTCAAATACTCCATTATTCAAGAAGTGTTTTTGAACATTTCACATCTTTGCAGAGTATAGCAAACTATGTCAGATGCTGTCATTTCTGCATGTGCACTCGGCTTCTTTTAATTCATGTTGCTTGGAATGAGACTGCATCTTATTTATCAGAATGTAATAACGAGGTAGGGAGGTTATGAACTACAGCACTTATATGTTACGCACCTTACTTGCTAGATACAAGGACACTCAAACCTCGTTATAACAGTCAGATCTGCCATTAAAATACTTCGTTATATCTGCAAATTCGTTATAAACATGTACTCTTAACACTGTATCTACAACAAAGCTATTTTTTTGTTATTTCGTCATAGCTAGTGATTCGTTATATCTGGATTTGTTATATTTAGGTTTGAGTGTTGTAGCCAAGAGCTAACTCTTAGTGCACAGCTTGAAAGCTTGAAGTGAGCATTTAGAAATCAGTTGCTTGTAAAGCCTTCGTACTGTCGCTTGAGGCACGAGCATATGTCAAGTTTGATTGCATGTTCCATGTCTTGCAGTTCCATCCGAAGCAAAAATTTTAGAATGACTCACAGGCGCTAAATTTAGCAAGAAGGGCCTGCTGCTTAAGAGACGTGCTAAAAAGAAAAAGGTTTTCTAATGGAACCACTTTCTCATAAAGTAGACAATGCCACAAAATCGTCAATGCATTACTTAATGGTGTTTACACTGTTTAACCTGCGTCGGAAGTGGATTGTTTTTGTTTTGCCATATGAAGTGGGAAGGAAAGCAAACGTTTGATGCAGAACTACACAGCTATTAGTTAATATGTGTAATGTGGATGTCGGCCTTCTAGTGTCAGCATTTGAGAGTGGAGGCAGTAGCAGCGGAATTCACGCCCTGTGAAAATGGGCTTTTTTTTTCCAGGTCTCAGACTTGATCTAGGCAAACCAGGACTTTCGTAAACATCTCTATGCAATACTTAGCTGTGTGCGAAACCATTACTTCAATCTTGCCAACTGATAACAGTTGCCAAAGCTTTTACTAGTGCTAGGTAGAGTTACGAGAACGGTTTGACCGCGTTAGCACATAGTCCTCACTGTTGGAAACTCGCGTGTGCCTGTCGGAGAGCAGACCTGACCACATCTTTTTTGAACTGTGTGCTGTCACGCTGAATTTCTCAGTCTTCCCGCTCTTCACTAAAGCCTTTTAGCAATGAAAAGAGAGAGTGCAAAAGAGTGCTTGACTTATGTAACCTTTCTTCTCGCGCGTGTGTGTTGCACCAATCGCCTGGTCACACCGAAGTCGGTAACATGTAGTCATGGTCCTCCTCGTCTCAATTTTCTTTTTGTTGGGTTCTTATCCTTCAAAGATTTTTATCTCTGTGGTCGGCATCTACTCGGGAATCGCTGTTTGTGGCTCTAGCATTACTAGTATAACTGCAGCAACGACCTTGTGAACTTGCTGCAGTCACAGTTCGATGTTGCTCGAGGCAGGCGCGCGTCGACAGTAGCCATCACTGTTAGTCTTGCACTCTGGGTGGGACAGCCTGCTCAGTTCGTCCTATGTGCCTGTGAAGCCTTAACCAGTGGTGAAGTAGCATCTGACGCTGTCCTTCCATTTTGTCACTTGACAACTATCGACATGTCGTATCAGCGTATTGATCAACCTATTGATAATGTATTGATTTCTTCCCTCTGTGCATTTGCCGTCATGAACTGTGGAACTGGTTTGTTATGAGAGATGCTTTGAATATGGGCATGTTGTCGAAGCCAAGGAATTCTTCTTTCATTTTTTAGCAGTGAGAAACGCATACCAGGTAGCGTAATGTGTCACAGAAGAGAAAGGGGTGTGGTTTGGGGGATCTATCTGAGACTACACCTTCGTCTCATTTTGTGCAGTTGTGTTTTTGAGAACAGTGAATGGGCAGCTGGATGTCTCGTAGATATTATGTGAGTTGTCGTTTTGTAGCAGAACTTGTCACTGGCTTGTTCTGCTAAAAAAAGATAAGTATATTGAACGTATCAGTGCTGTTTTATTGCTTTGTGCATTATTATACATGGCTTAAAAATTAACACTACATTTTTCTGTCCTTTCTCAGTTACAAAGCTGTCCCTGTATGCTGGACAAGGGACAGGAATTCGTTCACTCGCTAACGAGTTGATGAAGTTTGTGCAGTGAACGCTATAGTTACCACTGTAAAGCACCCGGAATCGTGCATGACCATTTTGTTTTCTTTGCTTTGTTCTAAACGACGCGTCGTGCGTCCGTGAACTGGTAAAAGACATTCCAAATGCTTGCTACTGGGCATTCTGTTTGTGTTGATATAGTTTTACCGTGCGTTCTTATTTTTACATGTTTATCAAGAGATTCAAGAGAGCTGACACTGCTTGTTCAGTTTGTTGAAGGTTCTTGTTCTACTTCTCCCCAAGTACAAGTTTGCGAGTCATCAAGCATTCCAAAATAGCTTGCATTATTTACAAATTGCATTCAAGGATGGTTTATACTTCTTTATTAATACGTACTGCTTGTCATGCAATGAAGCAAGCATGGCACCGTATGAAAACAAATTGAATAAGGCGAGCAATGAAGCAAGCATGGCACCGTATGAAAACAAATTGAATAAGGTGAAAAGCAAACTTTTGCTAACCGTGCATTGCCGAATCTGCTTTTGTGTTTACTGTGCTTTGTGTTGCTTAATCGGTTGCCGAAGGACTTTTGCTCAATCATCAGTTGTTTGCGCCCATGAATTGAGATCGAGACATGTGCAGTGATTGTGACATGTAACAATTTTTTAATGACCTCTCTTCCATGGGCACTAGATTTTTTTTCTCTTGTACTGTGCGATGTCTGTGCATGTTAAAAATATGAGATGGTTAAAATTTCTTGAGTCCTTCACTGCAGTTTTGGGACGTAAAGTTTCGAATGGTACTACTTTCGCCTTTTTTATTTCCTTTTTTTATAATATTGGGTCAGCATTGCACTCTGAGTTGCAACCTTTCTTTTCAATGCTTTAAAAATTTCTTGCCATTCTGGATAAGAATTGTCTCGCAATGTGTGCACGCTATTACCTCAGCATGCCTTGCAGATTGTACCGGACACCTGTTATAAACTGTTGCACTTTTAAGTGCAGTGACAGAATTGTTTTTTAGGTTTGTAGATTGTTTAATGTGTGAAACTCTTGGCATGCAACAACAAATTGTGCCAAATACTTTGGCTGTATATGTACAACTACGTTTGTACGGTCGTACAAAGTTCCCAAGGGACGCATGGGTACTTGGCAATACATCGCAATTCTTCTTTTTAAGTGTTGGTTTTTGCTTCATGTATTTCACTTTGAAAGTCACTCTGAGGATGCGAAACTTCTGTATCCACTGTCTGAAAAAGAAAGGAGAATATATGCATATATATGCCTTCTTATGTGGTGTGTAACTCTGTGGTTCATTTTTACATGGAGGCAACATGTTGCCGTGACACATGGCCGAAACTGTACCATGCTAGTTATCAAGGATTGAAGGAGGAAGGACAAGGAGGTTAGCCAAATTCTAAGAACATGGGTGTTCTGACTGCCACCGTTATTGCAGTTGTTTTATGCAAATGGTAGCTGTCAGTGTGATGTCTTCGCAGCTCAGCCACGTTTGACTCGAGTGTTACATCGTGCCGTAGTGTTACACCTGCGTGCTATTAGAACACTTTCTGAAAGGGTTTAGCACAGTGCTAAACCTTCGGGCGAAATCACCAAGCTTTAGGAAGTGCAGTATTTGTTTTGTTAAGACCAATGCATATGCACAGAAAACTGTACTTTTATGTACACGCACGATGTGATAGCTTAGCTGTTAAGATGTTGTATTGTTGGCTAATCCTGAGGAAGCACGTGTGATTTCAGTCCATGGCAGCTGCATCCTAGTCAGGGCGGGCCATGAGAACAACCTTGTACAGTGATCACCGCTTGAAACACGGCATCAAAAGTTTTATTATAACAACTGATATTCGCAACAGATCAAAACAACCACTTCACGTCACTGTGAATCAGCCTCTGAAGCTGGAATCGGTTCTTGTAGAAGTGTCTGAGTTGACGTTATATACCAGTATAATTAAAACCGAAGATGGTGGAAGGGAAAGAACATGTACTCTCAAACCTCATTTTAACAAAGTTTCGTCTTATACAAAAATAAGTTCATTATACCGTAAAATTTGTTATAAAGGTGTATTCCTAGCATGATATCTATAGCAAGACTTTTTTCGTTTACTTCATTGTAAGCAGTATTTCGTTATATCTGTGTTTCTTATAACAAGGTTTGTGTGTATTAATGACTTAGCCCTGAATTGTCAAGTTTCAATGCGCAGCTGTAGTTTCATTGAGGTTCACATGAGAAAACCTCAGGTCGTTAGCATTATTCCCTAGTCTCGCACTGAAGTATGCCTCAAGACCATAACATGATTTTGGCATGTAAAACCTAAAGATTAATTAATTTTCTGTGCAAATGTCATGCCTGCAGTGGAAGGTGGAGTGCTGCCCTGGCTCAGCTGCGGAGCCACTTAAGGGGGCACACTGGTTTTAGACATTTCTTTGTTTACTTTTTCAGTGATCTTGATCAAACTGCACAAGACTATGCCGTTTTCTCTTCCGATTTCAAATGTTTAATTAGTTTTCCTGTAACTCATCTTGTTCCTGAGATAACTTAAGTTCACTTCCTAATGTTTAAGGCCACCATGGAAAAACGTGCTTAATTAAAAGTGATATGTAAGATATGCCAACATAGACTTATCACTATCGGTTGAAAGTATGCAAGAGTTTTTTTTGTTTTTAGGCCTTTCTTGGTTATATTAACTGCAAAATGAACTATCCATTTTCAAAAGAAGTTGGGATTGTGTTACAAATTTGATGAGTAATTAGTTAAGAATGCTTTGTGCTCTAAATTTTGCTCCGATACTTGCATTCTACACACATAAAGGTTTCCAGTGCAAAAATAATTATTGTTGTACCTGCCCTAGCTACAGAGATATTGAGGCCTCAAAATTGAACAGTGGTAAATTTACTTTTTTGAGAAAAATGGAAAAAACTGAAAACACACAGCTTCTTCAAAAGGCAACAGTCATGGTGCGCATGTTTTGCAATCCATATGAAGGTGCTCATAGATTCTTAGCAGAGCTTCCAATACAGGCGCCGGCAAATTACAAAGAAGCCTCGAAGTTGGTTTCCCATTTTTATGGCAGGTTCTGTGTGTTAACAGCACCAAGGATCTGGACAGTTAGAATGACATTACAAAAAATTACCACTTCCTAGTGTGTGAAAATTTGCAGAGAGATAGAAAAATTCTTGCAGAAACCTAATATGTCAATTTTAAGAAATGAATTTTTTTGTCACTTTTTGGTCCCAAAGACCAGTGTGCCCCTTTAAGTGGTGTGACGGTGCATCGGCATTAATGGTCTTGGCAACCGAATGCGCCACGCGTTTTCGATCCCTAAAAACACATTTAACCTTTGGCATAGAAACCAAACATATGCACATTTCACACTTTGGCAACACGAGTCACAGATGACACAAACATGCATGGTGTGTTTGTATTATTGGTAATGATATGGATGTGGAATGGCCCCTGTTTCACTTACAGAAACATATATTGTACTGTTAGCTGTGGCTAGATTGGCGAAATAAATTATATGTTGCATCGGCAAGGGAGTGCATTGTCGTTGCCTAAGTATTTCGCACTTGTCCTTGCCGTCTACGGAAATAACTTCGCAAGAGCTATGTGTGGAACTCGGGCATTAATTATGCTTCCACAAGATGATATGTAGGAAGCCTTAGATAAGGAATAGTTTGCCGACGGTTGTAAGTGGTGATGTTGTCATTGTATGTTGTGTTGTAAAGTCCTTCATCCTTTGTTGTAATGAAAGCAAGGAAATAGTTTGAGTACTTAAGGTTCAGCTGGCCTGTTCCTGTGCCGTATGTGACTCAATGAAGCTAACGAAAAATAGTTGAAGGAAAGCATAGTCAAGATTATTTGCAATTTTTTTGCACTTGTCACTGCAACTTGAATGGAAGTTAACTTAAGTAGGCGAGGAAACACCTTTGTTATCAGTGGGGCTCTAACACACAATCATGAAATTTCATTTGAAGAGGAAAATCACTTCCTTGTGCGCAAAGCACTTGAGAAAAGAAGTCGGATAGGATTGAGTGCACAGTTACAACCAGTTTAATAAATAACTCAGATGGTGTGAATATGTATACAATCAGGAAAATAAACCAGGGAGAGTGAAAATAATGGGGCATATGAGAAACATCTTATTCACACCTTGAAAGCACTTTTAAAACATCTTATTCACATCTTGAATACACAGCCTAAGTGGCCACTATGTAGCAGTATAGCAAATTTATGCATGCAATGCTCCACCAAGTGAGCTACGACAATATTCAGTCATCTTGTTTTGAACATACTTCTAGCCAGTACCTGCAGAACTATTTTATATTTGTACATATGAGGTGTTTTTGGAATGGCTTTTTCCTCTCATATAGCACAGTATGTACAAAGTACTCTGTAGGGTCAACCATTTTTCTAAACACACTTGTAAAGCATAGTACGGTAAGTCTTTCATTCTAAACACCCTGCTTTTGCACTACCCTGCGCAAGATGCTGAACGAACAAGCCCATGCTCATGCTGATCTCAACAGCCAACTAACGTAGAGGAACATCCTCAGTGTTTCACATTGTGAGTTTATTTAGAGCATTCATGAGCAATGGAGCTTCATAACTTTTTAGAAGCATATAGATATTTACTTACACTGGCAATCCCATTCAATGATGCCTGCACTCATTCTTTTTATTCTCTTAAATCTGTTTCTTATAATTGTTCGCTCATTGCTTCTTTGCTGTCTGTAATAAATGTTGAATACTGTCGTAAAATTCAGTAAGAGTGTGCATCTGCCGGCTGCATTGGCTGGAAGTATGTGTCACGGAGACAAATGAGCATTGATGTTTCAAAGTTTCAATTTATCCCCTTTAGCGGCAGTGGGTCAAATTTACAACCCCTGTCACGGGCCCTATGTTTATTCAAATGGCTTGAAACGCGGTGTGCACATTTGTGCAGGCTTCCTGAGTGGGTGAATGCTAGTCATTGAGCTTCATTAAGCTGCGTATTGCTGCAGAGGATCACTTTGCTGGCAGCACTGCTATGTTTGACGACCAGTTGACGTGCTGTGTTCGGGAACCGCGTCAAGAATGTTTTTTCTTTGCTTAAAAATGATTGAAGCAAAAAAAAAAATCTGTGATTGCACTTTGGTCTAATATTTCATTCTTTGTATGAAAAAATTCATGCTCTCTGATTAACCAATAATTAGATACTTATTTACATGATAATAAACATTAATTACAATAACTGGTGAAAAACAAAATATTCCTTCATTTTCTTTCTTGGAATGTAATACTGAAGTGCCTTCAAATCATGTTATACAAATTTAATAGCACTTGCAGACAGTGCAATCATAATTCAGGTCTGAGGGGGTTGTACAGTTGTACATGTCGACATATAGCTGCTTTGTTTCAGTGGAGGACAGGTGAAGATAACACTCACAGCTGCATTATGTTATCTTGATATGTCACTATGAAGAAAGGCTTCAATGGCTCTTCTGGGATGTTTTTTGTCGTTTATCACCTTCTTTTTTCTCAGATGTTTAGCACGCTTTGTAGGCTGCTTCACATGCGTACTTTTTTTAGAGCGAAGCTCCTAAAGGTGTGAGCTGTGCATCCCCTGTATGTAGCTATCTCTCGTTTAGTTCTTTCATTGTTCACTAGATGGCAGTACCTGTATGTAGCCACATCTGGTTTAGTTTTTGTATGTTCACTAGATGACGGTACTTGTAGCTGATGATGAAAAGATGCAAGATGTTATAAACTAGACGGCGGTACTTGTAGTTGATGATGAAAGATGTTATAAAATAGGAATGATGTCACATATTGCGCATGTCAATGCTATGGAGAGTGTTGTAATAAAATCGAGTGGGCAAAATGTACGGAGGATTCAAGGTCTTCCAGGTTTACCTCTGGAGCTTCGCCCACTCATCATCATTCACTTCGTGGATATGGCGGCACTTTTTAAATAGTACGTTCATTTACAAGCAAAGAATATACATGTTAGCTTCCTTTTATAACCTTAATAGCAAGCTTCTTCCAGGAGTGCCGTTCATATTCTGAAAAGCAGTTATAAACAGCAGACAATAAATTGGTTTGGTAGACAGTGCAGTCATTGGATCGAAATTTAATGAAGGCATATATGTTAGCTGTTGCAGCACAACAGTATAGGCATCTAACGTATTCCAGTGAAGTGTGCAAATAAATGGATTAGTTGAGCTCATTCAGAAGTTAATTGTGCCAGACCTGGTGCCTGTCCACAGAAAAGGTCTGGAAGAAATCCAAGAAGATGTAGATTTAGTTATCTCATGTTATGGCAGATTGATGGGCAAACATCGGATCTTTTTTATTTTTTTGCGATATCATGGTCTCAATTTTTTTTTTTTTTGAGAACTGTATTGATACCAAACGGTTGCTTTTATCTAATGCGAATTATGCATGCACTCGGTGTTTTTTTTGTTTTTTTTTTTTGCAAGCGTGGTGTCGCGATCGCGCACTCTTATCATCGACTCGAGGGACGGCTGCAGGAAAGCTTCTGCAGCCGCGCGCCCGCTACACTGCAGAGATATCGGAACAAAAAAAAAAATAGATAATAAAGCGCAAGATGTAAGTTACTGATAGACAGCTCTGCTGAAAATGGCTCTTGAGATAGATAACTTCACTTCAAAAAAGAATAGAACCTCAGTCGTCGGGCGCCTTGAATTTCGACGTGAATTTATATGTTGATTACAGACCCGGCAGACAATTAACGTACAATTAATTGCGTGCGCCACACACGCTTTCTCCCGCCGCGTCGTGCGTTAATCGAAACGAAATAGGGCTAATTAAAAATACGCGCACGCTCAAGTGCGTGCGTTTGCGGCGCGCCGCTATTTTTGTGCCCCCGCTAACACACACAAAAAAGAAAAGTGATACGCACTGGACACGCGCACAATCGGTCGCTAAACCGCTGGCCGGGTGTAAAGTATCACTAGCCAAGCTGCGCCTGGTTATCACCCGACTGTTGAGTTGAGCGAAACGAAACAAGAAAAAACGTGCCGTACATTTGACGGTGCCGCTTCATCGCGATAGTCGAGATGCAGCGGCGCGTGCGTGCAGCGCGGCAGGCCGAATAAACGCTTCGGGGCGTTTTCGGAGGATCGGTTTTCCTTCCTCCAAACAGCGCCGCCGCTGGCTGTGTTATCTCTCGCCCATAAGTGTCTTCCCCCCCACTCTCTGCCGAAACCGGTCGTCTTCGACACATCCTCGCCCGTCGTCGTCAGTAGTGCGCCACGCCGGTCTCACGGTCAAACGCCAGCCGCCGAACGTCGGGCACACGCACCCGGTAATCGAGGCAAGTTAGAGGAAACTCTCCGTGTTTTTTTATTAATTTTTTGTCACGATTGGTACGGGAAGTGTGTCGTATCGGTGCGCCCCGAGTCCACCCGTTAGTCGAACGGCAGCCATCTTAGGAAGTCGACACCCCCCCCCCAATACTTTTCGAGCAGACGACACTTTGCGAGCCTGTTGCCCCGAGGGATTAATGTAAGTTGCTGGCGCGCTCTGACCGGTTAACGACCCCCCCGCTGGGCTGCGTTAACGCCATTAACGCCACGAGTCGTAGTGAACCCTCGCGCACGTTACCGGGGTAGCAAACTTTTTTCTCTCAAAGTTCTCCGCCCGTTTTTTCTTTTCTTTCTTTTCCGCGCCGCAGCCGCTGTGGTTGCTCTCGTCCGCCGGCAAGATGGTCACGCGGACTTTCAAACCCATCTTCAAGATCACCGTGTACGTGCTAGCGTTTATCCTCATCCTGCCCTTGATTCCCATGGCGCTGGACTTCGAGCCCAACGAGAACACGTAAGTGCATCACTTCGCTTCTTTTCCGTCAAGACACCTTTTTTTTTGCGGGGACGCTGCGCAAAAAGTTCAAAGCCCGGCGAGGAGGTTATGTTCCGCGCGAACACCTGCACTTCGGGTGGTTATGACACTGCGTGACAGTTCCGAAACTAGGCCCCGCCGCGGTGGTCTAGTGGCTAAGGTACTCGGCTGCTGACCCGCAGGGCGCGGGTTCGAATCCCGGCTGCGGCGGCTGCATTTTCGATGGAGGCGGAAATGTTGTAGGCCGGTGTACTCAGATTTGGGTGCACGTTAAAGAACCCCAGGTGGTCTAAATTTCCGGAGCCCTCCACTACGGCGTCTCTCATAATCATATAGTGGTTTTGGGACGTTAAACCCCACATATCAATCAATCAGTTCCGAAACTAGTAGCTAGATGAAGTGGGCGTTTCCCCTCAACGCAAAAAAAAAAAAAAAAAAACCCTGTCATGCGAGTTGCAACTAGTGGTGCGCTGCTGGGTTGCGTGTGAAAATGTCACGTACGATCAAGTGGAAACTGCTAAAATCCACGGAAACTTGACGCATGCATATTGTGACGTGCTTTTCGAAAATTCCCTCTAACGGGGCAGAATAAGTGCGCTTCGTGTCTCGTTATTTCGGGGTAGCGTTGGATGGAGTGCAGCGTATTTTCATTCGCGATAGGCACGTGGCATATTTTACGTCTGGCGTATCGTTAAATAAGTCGGCATGTGTGGCCTAGGCTAACTGCTGCTATCTGCATTTGTAAACTCTCGAAAATGCGCGACTTGCACAACATGAAAAACGTAAGAAACTGAGGTAAGGAGCACACGTGTAAAAATTTTAAGATAATTTGAAAGTTAATCTGTTGCCTGTGTTAGTGTATTGTAGCTTAGAGAATGATATTCTGCATAATTAGAGAAACAAGCAAGCAATGCTGCAAAGCAGTTTAATATATTGTGTATGAACTTTGCCTGTATGAAAAAAAAAAAAAATACTTGATGGAATTAGGCTGGCAAATGTGGAATGTGACTTCCAAATCCAAATTTTCTGTGGAAAGATTTCATATGTAACTTCTATCTTTATGGCAAGTAAAAAAAATATTTCTTCTCTTTTTTTTCTTACTGAAGTTTTTAAATATTTGCCAATAACAATTGTATTGGAAATAATAATGAATTAGCCGATTTCTGAAATGTCACTAATCATGTCATTGAGTAATTGAGAGCACTTTTTCCTTAATTTACTAAGTAAATATGTTGGGACACTGTTGGAAAGAATTAGCGATAAATGAAACTGGATTCTAATTATCAACTTACAAAGTGTACAGTGAAATTAAATTGAAGCGACAGCTTTTTTCTGCATTTGTGCATAAATCTGTTTTTTGGAGGTTTCTTATGTCCGCCTGTTCAAGTAATCCACTACAAAAATTAAAATAGACCTATATTTGTGGCACGCGTGTTTTAAAGCTTCATAGGTTTACAAGAAATTACCTCATAAAAGGTCAAAAAATTGTCATTTCAGGGTTCAAATACAAGAACTCGAAGGGCCTTTAGAGCCAAACGATAAACTAGACCACGTTGAGTACCTCTTCAAGGGCAAGCTTCGTGGGCCCGAATCACTGCCCGTATACAAAGGTGAGACATATAACATGGCACGCATTCTTCGGAATCTCCACGGGCTGACTGCATTCCTGTAGTCGCAAGATGTGTAGCTACATAAGTAGCTTAATTGTATTGGCTTGTCCTTTACTGATAACTTTATACCAGCTGGAACTGCTAACCCTTCTGCAATATTGTCTCTTTGCTTGCAGGTAGCATTTACACCGGAACAGAGGGAGGCGAGATTTACAAAATCACTGGCGACAAAGTGACGCTAATTGCGAAGCTTGGCAAGAAATGCGGTAAGTTAGTGATAGGTTTACAGCCAATGTTAGCTTTTATATCTTGCTTTTATTGCAAATTAACGCTAGAAATACATACTGTTCTATGTGTAAAAGGCACTTGAAGGGATAATTGATGTCTAATATTAGTCCTGTATTAGTCCTGGTCAGGATTTTCTGTAGACATCTACAGGCACTTCAGTTAATGTGCTAATGTTATGGCATAGTTGCCTAAAAAATGTGTTGAGAAGATCAAGCAAGGAGATTTTTAGATGTTTCAGAAATAGACTTTCGAAACATTGTACTAGCTTGCACTATCATTGCAATAGCAGATAAGAGGTGTTGCTTCTGTTTTGCGTTTCTGGGATGCAGAGTATGTTTCTGGTAATCATTCAATAGTCAGCTAATCATTATATAAATTTGTGAACAGTGAAGCCTGCATTTAGTGACTACCTTAGCAACTTGTTCTGGGAATCGCGTGCTTCACAGAATATGTATTCATATGCTTGACATCAGCCCAACATCGGTTTAACTGACATCGGTTGCATTTTCCTGGAACAGTTGGAGAAGCATATAGTTAAGTTACATCCCATTCAATTTCACATTGCTGTTTTTTTATTTCACTAATTGCTTAGATAAAGATAACTCGGAGGTGGCTTCACCGCATGGCAGTAAAATGAAAACTGGCGCGCAATCTTAACATGAACATGGATGGATTCACCATCTAGCATCAAGAAACAAAGTACCACGGGTACAGTCTTTGTTGGTTTCGTGTGGGACCTACTTTGGTTTGACTATAGTTGCCATCGATCATTTTGTTAGTGTCATGACAATTGTACTCGTCAACAGTCACGAAAGGGTAGAAGCTTCCTGGCATTCTCTTCTAGAACAATTGCTTTCGAAGTTCTGAATTTGCTGGTTAGTGGTGTGTTCACGGGATTCTACTGCTTATTGTGCCGTTTCGGTCCTGTAAATTCACAAGTAGAGAACTTCCAAATGTTTTCTATCATTACCTAGGTTGTCATCAAATACTAAATTGTCATTTATTGAATGTTGTGCTGATTTTGTGCTCATTCTTCAGAGGGCATGTGGGAAGAGGAAGTGTGCGGCCGGCCGCTGGGAATGCGTTTCCACAAGGATGGCCGTCTGTTTGTCATCGATGCATATTACGGACTGTACGCCATCAACGTCGAGACTGGTATGCCCACACTGCTGTTTCTTACAATCATTTCTGGATGTATTGCAGCTAATGTGAAGAAGTTACCTTTATTGGCTGTGATCTTTAGTGTTCTGCGTTCATACCATTCACAATGTGCCATGTTTCTTGCTTTGCGTGGTTTAGCTTGTACTGTTCTTATATATGGCAGATGTAATTCAGAACGATGAAAATTTGAGCTAGTTTGCAAGTATGTCAGGAAATACGGTAAAGTGTGCAAACATGGACACAAGGGAACTAAACAGAAATGTTTTTGGTAGCTTATGTTGTTTTGTTTATTATTTTTTTTTGTATTGGTACGCCTTGCCTTCTTTCATGATGGCAAATGTCGTGTAAATGCTGTTGTTCATTCATTATGTGGGGGAGCCTGTATATGGTGTGTTTGTGGTGTATGAATTTTTTACTCTAGCCCTGTGCAAGTAACACTTTATTGTTGCAATCCTCGCTTTGGTTAATGCAGCTGTCTGTGATAATGATGTCCTTATTTCTTTGCATTAGCCTACATGCAAGGAAAGTTGAGCTTCTTCAGAGAATGCTAAGGAGAGCAAATAAAAGGCTATGCGCTCGTGTATGATTTAATTTAGATTCACATTTGGTTCACTTTATGCACTTAATGATTCCTTTGTGTGCACTTGCTATTAATTCACTTTAATTCACATGTAATCAACACTTAATTAGCATTAATCTCTTATCTGGGGAATGTGCATGGCTTCGTGGTACCACTTAATGCGGGACACAAGATAATATTTCACTCATTAGCTACATTAGGCTTTCATCTTATACTATTCTTAAAGCAGCCCTGCAACACTTTTCAAGTAGTTATAGAATGGATTCATCAAAAAAAGGTTATTGCCTCGCGAATTTACCGCTGTAAAAATTTTTAGGATCCGTCCTGCATGAGCGGAGTTACCAAGATCTGTCTCATTCTATTTGCATTCTCTGTTCTTTTGTTCCCGACGAAGGCGCTGGAAGCTAAGCAGAGAGAGAGATGGCATGGGGAAAGAAAATAAGTCACGCACATCTCGTGACCTGTAGCACTTTTTCTTTTTATTCGAATACGCAGCTTTTCAGTGAGATCGTGCACATGGACAAGTTGTGACCTCCTGCGGTAGAAAATTTCAGCTGACTTAGAGAATTTATAAATTTCAGGCCCTGTGCTGTGCTATATTTGGCTTGCGTTTTCTCAGAAGCTTCGACTACCAATAGGCAGCGTTTTCTGAACGTGCCCAATACGTGTTGCAGGGCCTCTTCAATGCATCATAGCTCGCTAACCTTCAATTAAAATCTTCCTACGGCATTCGTTTTTATTCAAAGGTGCTGTTCAGCACCTTCTGCCATCCAGCACTGAAATCGAAGGCAAGAAAATAGTCTTCGGGGATGACATTGACATCGACGATGATGGCTCTGTGTACATCAGTGAAGCGAGCAACAAGTGGCCCCTCAAGAAAATTATCTACACTGTTCTGGAGCATGAGCACACTGGCAGGCAAGTGCAAATTTATCCTAGAAGTGTTTTACAGCTAAGCTGTATTGGCCATGACATGTTGGCCAGGGAGCAGAAACTTGTGAGCCACAGAAATTGGGCGATCGCCCTGCTCGTGAACGGTCCACTATAAAACTAATAATGCATCGGAAACAAACAGCAACATATGTGCCACACAAAAGATTAGATAATGCGTGCTTCTCAAATGTAAAATTTGATAGGAGGATACACCAATTTCATGAGACTTCCTGGAAAGACATTTAGTTTGGTGTGCGATCATCTATGGTTAGAAACTGTTACCTCTTGTGTTGTGTGCTGAGAAGCCTCTATACTATTCCACCTTCAGAGTGAAATGGCTCGTCTATCTTTAGGGGCGAAGCTCCTTAAGGCGTAGGCTCTGCTGCGTCCCCTGTATGTAGCCACCTCTCGTTTAGTTCTTGTAGTGTTCACTAGATGGCGATACTGTCCCCTGTATTTAGCTACCTCTCGTTTAGTTCTTGCAGTGTTCACTAGATGGCGGTACTTGTAGTTGATGATGAAAGATGAGAGATGTTATAAAATGGGAATGATGTCGCATATGGCACGTGTCATTGGTGGAAGGTAATCGTTCGATTTAGTGCGGCGACGTACGCTAGGGGGAGCGTTGTAATAAAATAGTGGGCAAAATGTAAGGAGGATTCATGGTTTACCAGGTTTACCTCCGAAGCTTTGCCCACTCATCTTCATTCCTTCGTGGATATGGCGGCACTTTTTATTTTAAACCCAGAAGCAATGTACTCTCTACTGTAGTATGCCTTGTCATTGGCCATGTCAATGAGAACTAACAGTTATGCCAAGGGAAGTATATGACATTCAGTCCCAGCCACTGGCAGGAGCCAAACCTGCTACCTTTGAACGCGTCCATAACAAATCCATCGGACGTGACATGTCGGAGGTCGCAGGTTTGGCTCCTGCCAGTGACAGGTAATCTTTTCGCCCACTTTCGTTTCTCCACATCTACGTTACTGTCAGTACTAATAGAATCCCCTATACTTGGCATATTAGTTCTCGTTAATAATGTCTGAAAAAAACATCCCTTAATTCTTTTTCTTTCATGCATTATACAGTATTATTGGAAGGTCGCAGGTTCGGTCCCTGAAGTTGTGAAGTTATCTTTTCTTTGTCCACTTTTCTCTTTCACATTCGTATTACAACTACTAACATCCCCTATACTTGGCACCAATGCCTGTTCTCATTGATAATACATCTTACAAAGATAAAAAATCCTTTATTTTCCTTTCTTTCAGTGGAGAGTATCACTGCACTAGTATGGGAGCTTTGTTTTGATATGTGGCCAAGCACGGTCAAAGAATCAACAAAAATGATACAAATGCAGTCTTTGTCATGTTGGATGTTCAGATGAGCGCACATACTCGCTGTCCATCAGCAGTGGTAGGCATAAATTTTTTACCTTAATAGTATCTATAGATCAGTTTTGTAGTATCGAGCAGTTTTGCAAATTTTTCTAACAGATGCTGTGCTGCAGTTGCCTGACGAAATGTCAACGCAGGTTATTCTTCCATCTTTCCATTCACACCTATGTGAAAATTGACGCCAACCTGGGACTCGAAAGCCTTCATCAGTGAAATTTCTTTCGCTCAAAATTGTTTCCTTGGTTTCAGATATATTTAAGTATTTGTTACTACCATACCTGATGGACATAACACCATTAGCCACCTACACGTACCGTTAGTATTGGAATAAAATTGAGTGCAAAATGATAACACACAAGAGACGGCTATGCGAGTACGATTCTATTCCAGAATGAACCTACGCACTCAACAAAGCATTTCATTAAGTTACCGTTAGTATTGCTAATGGACTATTGAGTTCATTGTAGTAAGGCTATTATGCAAATGCATGTCGAATCATGCTTCCTGACAGTCTCACTTGGCTGCATTGATGGTTCTTGTATGGTTGGGAAAGGAAATTTCGAGCGCAAATCATGATGCAGTCTTTTTTGTGGAATTACGTTGCAGCGATGCGCGCAACGGTGCACCCGCGACTTGCTTTGTGAGATACCGTTGTGCAACAGTGCGCGCAGCGCAGCGATTTATTGGTTGCACTTTTTCTCGCTCTCTTGCAGCAGTCTGTTGAAATTTTAAAGTCATTGGGATGTTTGCAAGGTGCTCGCCAGACACTTGTCTAAGTGAGAAATATGCTTGTTTTATTCGATTTCGGTAAACCAAGACTTCACAAACTGCCTATGCTTTAATTATAAGAGTCAAAAAGTATGTTTCACTTGACTGTGGCACGTTATAAAGAAACAAAAAGCATCTTTTAAAGACTTAATGTAAAGAAATCGGCATGAACAAGACTGAGCACAAGAAGAGGACACAAGACTAGCACGGTTGAAGTTTTTTCTTGCGACTTACATTTAATTGTTATACTAAGGAAAACATGCGTTCTAAATTGTCAACATTTATACTTGTAATAGAATGTGTCTTAAAATTTGACAGGGTCGTACATCTTTCAACAATGCCTGTGGGACGAAAAACTTTTGGATGCTATATTCTCGCTTTCACATGGGAACACAGCCTGCGGTAGTCCTTGCAAGCAATAGTTACCCACGAGATTAGAAGTATTTTGCTCAAGAATTCACTCGCAATTATGCAATTAGTCATAACTACTAAGACAATAAACTCTCGGTGAAGCATGTAATTCACATGGCAGGCACACTATAGTTGGTAATGTGCAACCGTTCTCCAGTGTTTTCCTTGTATGGACAAGGTTTGTTCTTCAGAGAGGCTACCTGCTGCAATATAGTGATACATACTGTAGCCGCTATCTCAGGAGTACGTGACACCAGGAAAAACAAGCCAATGTTTGGAAGATGAAGAGCTTGTAATGGCATTACGAGGAAGTTGTGCTCCTTTTGCTTGTGACCTTCATCTCGAGGAAGGAAGGAATTGGAAACTGCTTGGATCGTCTATACGTGCCAATGATCTTCTATGATCGTGTTGTCGCAAAACAATTGAAATGACTCTTTCCTTATGATGCTAAGCTTGCGGAACCCTTTTTTTTTTTGGCAAGTGACTATTACTGTTCTTGTTTAGTGGATGTCTTTTTATATCCGACCTTTATTTTTAACTTCCTTGTTGCATTTTGTTTTCTGTGAATTATGATAGAGGTGTTCTTTTGTGATGACTACAGTTGTGATGGTTAAAGACGGGATGGTTGTATTTGTGATGGTTAATAAGAAAAAATCTATTTACAAATTTCAATAATTTCTGGTAATTCAATGCTGTGTCTGCAGACTAATTGCAGGTTAATGGCACATTTTTACTTAAAGTATGATTTGCAATGTAACCAGTAATTTAGTGGAAGTATCTGGTTATGGCTTTGCTCATTTTTACTTTCTGGGTCAGCTGAAACTTTGTAGCCATTGGAATATTTAGAAAGTGTCACAATTGAGCAGCCAGTGTTGCTTCTTTCTCAGAATTGTGTTCTGTTTTGTGTAGCTTGAACAAAATCTCCTGAAGAACTAAACTTAATGCTCAATATCCATACTAAACCACCCTCTAAACCGCCATACTCATCCCAAGAGATGGGATCGTTTCAGTCTCTGAGTACTATGCATTACATCCGTCGGGGTAGATTGGCATGCAAGGTGTTGCACTGCTGTGCTCGAGGGTGTGGGTTTGATTCCAGGCTTTGGTGGACCCATATCAGTGGTGGGTGTTCAGCAAAAAACACCTATTTGCTTAGATTCAAGTGCATTTTAAGGATCCATGTGGCCGGAACTAGTCCAGATCTTACCACAGCGACGTACCTTGTAACGATCCCTCTGATATTAAGTGCCAAAAGCGCTACATATGTCCCCTTCAATCACTAATTATGATTCACTGTATACGAATGTGTCATTTCCTCACATAGCACAATTTCGAGGTGCTCAATACTACATTCCAAGATTGTGAATTTCAATTGCTAATTGTAATGAAAATGTAATTAAATATAAAATTCTACAGTCGGTCACATTTCATATAAACAAGAAATACTATGGTCTCCAAATACATGTGCAATTAGGTTTTGGTGGTATTCGTTTTGAGAAAGAACATATATTAACTATGAATAAAGTTCAGTTCATTCTATTGGCAATGTGTTTCTCTTTTTTTGCCACAAGTTGACACAACTGGCATAAAAATGTTGGAACGCAAGCATAGCCGCCACCACTGATCAGGTTCTCGTGATTCCGGCATGCGAGACAGCAGCAGTTGTCGTTATCGTTGTGGATTAGCGCTTTCCTTTAACCTCTTCCAAACAGGATTATCAAGTTTGATCCCAAGACGGGCAAGACGACAGTGCTGATGAAGAACCTGCACCTTCCCAACGGTGTCCAGGTTTCGCACGACAAGATAAGCCTCCTCGTGTGCGAGCTGTCCATGCACCGCATCCTAAGGTAATTCACGCCCGCCATGGCGGTGCATTGGTTATACGGTGTTTGACTGCCGACCCATAAGTTGCGGGATCGAATCCTGGTTACGGCAATCTTATTCCGATGAGTGCAAAAATGTTAAAGGTCCGTGTGAACACCAGGTGGCGAAAACTTCTGGAGCCCTCTGCTGCTTGTCTCTTGATCATACCATGGTTTTGGGGCATATAACCTGAACGATTACTATATTAAAGGGACCCTAAAATGATTTTGTACAAACACATTGGGATAGTCCCAAGCGTTATTTAGAGACCAATTTGAGCTCTCTGCGTAAACATTGAAACTTATTAAAACACTTTAAATCTACGAATCACTGCAGATTGGTGCTACTCGGCCAAACGGGTTTTCAACCGCCAATTCACAGAGCGACATGCTCCGGCCGCATGACGAGACCAGAGCACATCAGGCCGCCACATCACCGCGGCTGCTAATCTGATGGGCTGTCATGGGCTGTAGAATGTGCGGAAGTAGATCGGCTGTTAGGGTGGTGGCACCTGTCGGGGCAGATATGAAGCAGTCCGCGATCTTCGTCTATTGCCGGACGCGTGCGTGCTGCCGGGTGCACTGTGATGGCCGCAGACCGCGTGCAACCTGTCGGTGTGCCATCTCAGAGGTCTAGACTGAAAAAAATCTCAAATGGTCGAGGGCCCTCATCGGAGCTCTGCGATCGCCAACAATGCCAGCGTGTCTCATGAGTTTCGGCCAGGCAGATGTAATAAGGAGCGTACGAGAATTGTCCTTAGTGGCCTTGATACAGTGTTGCTAAATTTGTGGTGCGAATGGTTTGATGATGCTCGAGTCTAAACGCTGACAAAACTTTAACTGTTCAAGGGTCTCTTTAAGGTGATTCAGCTTCACTATTCACATGCGTACTTCAAGGAATCTTCTTTAGCGCATCCAGGGATGTAGTATCTGCTATTATGCATGTCACTAAGTTGTCATGTCCCCAATACTACTGCTCGATTTCATTACACAAGTACTGCTCATAAAAATTCCAAGTGTCTGACATGCATATATCGACTTTCTGTATAAGACGTCTTACTTAGCTTAAGCATTGATAACAATAAATGATTTGGTTGTTCAAATAACAGAAAATTAATAAAGTGAAAGCTTTACCTTGGCTACAACTCTGGTTTTCTTACTTAGACTGTGCGTATGCTGCAAAACTGCTCTTTAATTAAGCATCTGCAGCACATATGTCAATAAACATGTTCAATTGGAGAAAGCTGCCTCATGCAGAGTGGAAGACCAGAATTTTGATCTGCGGCTTGAGTTGCATACAAAATTCTCATTACTGATGTAAAGAAAAAAAAATTGCAATCTGGTTTATGTAGCCAAAAAACTGCGATATCTGTGCTGGGCCAAGAAATTTTGCATAACTTTTAGGTGTTTGTTGGCAATGAGTTTTCTTTCCTTGCATGACTTCAGAATGCTAAGAGCAGGCTTGCTTTTCATCTTCAAGTGGCTCTTGCTGAGCATTTGGACATTATTGACAGAATGTTTCCTTTGAGTGTTACATCGGGTATTTGTGATATAATAACTCGTGAGACAGTTTCGATTTTGCTCTGGCACTAGTGCTCTGTAAAATAAAGCATGGCCGACCTAATTTTATATTTACTTCATTAAGTGTGATAATTACCTAGTTGTATTGCAGTTGTCAAGACATTACGATTGTGCCTTTCTAACTACGGCATCGCCTTTTTACGCACAACTTTATAAATTAACCTGCCGCTGTTGTCGAATAGTTATGCTCAACTTCTGACAAGAAGGTCGCGAATTCGAATCTAGGCCTCAGAAGCTGCATTCAGAGATAAGATGCTAGAGGCGCATGTACATTTAAACTGGGATTTAGATTAAAAAACAATCATATAGTCAAAATTTTTGGAGGACTCGACTCTGAAGTATCTCATAAATGTATCATGGTTTTTTAATGTAAAACTTTTCTTCTTATTATTATTATTGGTTGTACACCCTAGCATTGTCTTAATTTTGTCTCTCTCGCTTCAGGTACTACCTCAGAGGTCCAAAGCAGGGGCAAACAGAGGTGTTCGTTGACAAACTTCCGGGCTGGCCCGACAACATTCGCCCCAGCAAGCGAGGTGGTTACTGGGTGGCCTTCGCGACAGGCCGCTCTTCTAATGACACGGGCATCATAGATTACTTTGTCCCTCTCCCGTTCATCCGCAAGGCAACCATTCGCTTCGTCTACCTCGTTGGAACGGCGTTGAAGACTGCCTCTCGTGTCTACCCGTTGGGCTTCATGAAAGACTGGGCATCCCAGGTTAGTCCATGCATAGCCACTAACTATAGACTTGTTGATTGCCTTTATTGCAAAATGTGGGTATCTCCTGGCAACCTCCAGTTGGCCTTGAGGTCGAGCAGTCAATACAGAGGACGAAATCCCATAGTGTGGATGGCTCTTTGCTTTGTCTGCTGGCCAACTGTGTTTTCATGTTTGCGAACGTCATGCACATCCTCGTAGAGCAACTTAATCGATTGTGTTAGTGCAGTATCCAATGCTTGTATATATGCCTACACAATATATGCAAGCATTGCATATTCAGAGGCTTGTATGCACTCGTATAAGCGAGTGCATGCACACGTTGGTATGGGCTTAGATGTAATCATTATCCCGTTCATTTGAGTTCTTTCACATTTTCAAGGCCAATGTTTGACAAAGCACTTACCGGGGCAGACTCGTCTTACATTTTTTTTAATTTCTTAAGCAATTTCGATATAACACAGGCTTATGCAGTGTTTTCTGATTTCAAATATGTAATTACTTTTCCTGTGACTCGTCTTGTTCCTGAGATAACTTAAGCTCACTGCCTATTGTTAAGGCCTCTGTAGAAAGAAAAAAATGTTCAATTAAGAGATATTTAAGATATGGCAACATAGACTAATGATTAAAGATTGCAAACATGAAAGTTCTTGGGTTTTTTTTACCTTTATTGGTTATTTTACAGGAAAAATGAACTTTCTATTTTGAAAGCAGATGGAATTGTTGCAATTTTTATGAGTAATTAATTAAAAAGCTTGTGCACTAAATTCTTGCATTCTGCATACTTGCATTCTGTACATGTACAAGTTGCCATTGCAAAAATAATTATTGTTGTACCCGCCCTGGCTGCAGAGATATTGAGGCCTTAGAATTGAATACTCGTGACTTTTGCTTTTTTTTTTTGTTTTGAGAGAAACAGGAAAAACTAAACAGTTCAAAAAAAAAAAAACAATGACAATGTGCATGTTTCGAAATGCTCATAAAGGCACTCATAAATTTGTAGCAGAGCTATGAACCCAGGTGCCGGCAAATTATAAAGAAGCCTTAAAGTAGGCTTCCCATTCTTTTTTTGCAGATTCTGCATTTTGGTAGCTCCGAGAATCTGGATAATCAGAATGAAATTACAAAAAAACTGCTTTCTGTTGCGTGAAAGTTTACAGAGATAGAAAAATACTGTCGGAAACCGAATACGTGAATTAAAAATGTTTTGTCACTTTGCATGGATACTTTGATCAGTTGGCATGATTGTTGGTTTAATGTTACTGCAATGTTATGAATGTTCCTTTTAATATTGAAGCAACGTCAAGGAAACAGCCTGTTACTAGGGCAGGTGTAAAAACCGCAGCATGTGCAAAAACATGCCACTATGATAGGTTCCTTATACTGTGCTGTGTTCGTATTAAAAAGCCAGCATAATGCGTTATACATAAGTGAAATATGTTCGTTTGCAAACCAATGCTCTGTTATAACACTCTGCATGTCGCCTTGTAAAAGCTTAACCGAGTATAACAGAGCTGAGCTGGTTGGTAAGTACTCAGTCTAAAGGCAGGATGTACGAATACTGACACAAGAGAAACAAGTCAAGGTACCTCAAATAGATAAATCGGATACCACAAACAACTTAACAGTTCATCTGTCACGCAGACCCGAAGTATTCCAATAAGTTTACCAATCACCTGGGCAAGCACAGAAGTTTTTTGTGCTTCTTTCTTTTCTGCTGCTATGTGCCTCTTCAGTTGTCAGTAGGTGTTTGTGGTATCTAACGAGTTGGTCATCATTAGCGGTGTCTTTTTTTTTCTTGTTGTTTGTGTTCCCCGCTCGTTCTTTTAGAACAAGAAGCTTAACTGTTGCTCAAGCACCGCTTGCACCTTTCGTGTAGTTATTTCCATAAGGCAAGTGTTGAACGCCTAAGAAGGTAAATGACAATGTTTGTTGCTGCCAATGCAGGTCTTTTGATATATTGGTGCAATTATGCTGCAAAAACTACAATATAAGCTTCTGCAAATAAAAGTGCATTGCAACTGACAGGAGCATTGTTGATGCACACCTTATGGCTAAGCAGGTAGTGATATGCGGCAGTGTTACGAATAGTGTGTGAACTTGTACGCAACAGAGTGTCTGCCATCTTTGCTTGTAGCATCCGGTGCAGAGACCAAATGCTATCCTTTTACTGTAGTTTGCAGGTCTTGTTGCAAGGCTCGTTAATCCATAGCCATGATGTACTGTTTTTGTTTTTATCCAGTTCGAAAACGGATGGGTTCTTTACGAGACGTTGCCGCAGTACGGTCTCGTCGTGGAGCTGGCCGCAGATGGACGCATCATCCGTAGCTTCCACTCGCCCAAGCACAAGATCCACATGCTGTCGGAGGTGCTGGAGCACGACGGCTACCTCTACCTGGGCTCCTACCGGAACCCATTCCTGGGCAGGATCAAGCTCTAGTCATTGCAGGTGCTCAGCCCATCTGCCTCCTCGCAACACCATCAACGCGCACTCCATACTTCACAGCTGCACTGCGCGTACGCGGATACGTCCACTTCACGCTCGCACCAGAAATGCGTGGCACAACACGGCTCCCCGAGCACTAGACAACTGGTGCCATCTACAGACACAGCAAGAAAATGATACAAGCTCTCAATTAACTAACAAAGTTCTCATAACGTTCAGATGTTTCCGGAAGTGCCTTATAATCTACATGCAACTTTCCTCTTAATGTTTTATTTTATCTGTGTTCAGAAAGGTAGTCGAGTGTAATTCAAAGGATCCTTAAGGGTGGCTCATTCACACCAGGTGATCGAAAGATAACACAACCAAGTATTTTTTCTACTTGCTTGAAGTTGCTTGCGGTTACTTGGACCAATGATTGCTCTCGCTGCAAAAGAAGCAGGGATAAAGGCCAGTGAACTGTTTCACGTGGAAAACATGATAGCACAGCTTCACTTGCTGATGCAGTATCATTGCATCATGACTGACTGGATTGCTCATACCTTTGTACATAATGAGCATCTGTAGTGCGCGGCTTAAATGATAGATGCCAGGTTACCATTCGTGCGACTCTTGACTAGATTCGTTGGAGTGGCTGATCGAATCTATGCAGTGCCTAGAGTAGCAGGTGTAATCCTTGCAGCACTAGCAGATTGTGGCGTTGGTGAATATACCACGAATCCTGCCAGCCACTAGACTAACAAGGCTCGCAGCATTGAATTTCTACATTGCGTTTGGAATGTTTACAACTTATAATTATACCATCAAGATTTAAAGTGTATCTCGTCCGAAACTCTCCATGCTCAAGAACATGTGACCAAGTTGGCTGGAGTAGAATTAGTCAAGTCTAAATATGAAAAGTATATTCTGGATAACTTTTTCAAACATGATCACTCGCGCTGCAATGCTTCAATGCAGGGCGATTTACATTTTACCTTTATACGGTTGATATACGCATAACTCCTGCGTTCCAGTTATGTACTCTTGAATTGACTGTGGATAAATCTAGCAGGATAAAACTAAAAAATTGTTACATTGCACAAGTATGTGGGTGAGCTGCAGCTACATCTTGTGTTGAATGTTTTGGCTGCCGAGGTTATGTTCTCAGATGATTACTTCCAGCGATACTTTCCATGTTAATGTTCAGTCTTCAGTGGAGCCAAGCCCGTTTAATGTATATGGCAAAATGATACTACTCTTGAAACTAGACGGGAGTGATTATCTGAGAGCAAGACTGGAGGACTGCTCATTTTTGCCTGTTACATGCAGGTACAAAACTTCGTGAAGTGTTTTCGTTCTATTTATCATTTTTCTTGTAGAACTCGTGCCTTGCTGGTTAAGTTGTGTGCTTTCATTACTCATGGCATCATCAGCATAGTCAATTTTGCTGGAGGATGGAGTTAATTGCATTGAATACTAACGATGTGATACTTGAACTGTTGTTGTGTACCTGTGTTTATTCACATTCCTTCTGAAACACTTTAGAGTTAGTTTTACAAGTGCTCATCAAAGGGTCTGCACTCCTAGAAAGGGCAAGAGCTTATCAAATCAAGTTTAATAAATTGTAATGGGTCGTGCCAGGCTAACAAGAATTTGTAAGTCTATTGTGTCCTTAAAAGAAGTAGAAGGGGGGTTCCCTTAACAAGGAATGCATATTCATGTGGAATTTAGTGATGGGGAACAGGGTACTATGGGCTAAAGTTACTGGACATTTTTCGAAGGGTAATAGTTGGTCACTAATTCTTTTAAGATTTTCTTGTGTGCACTTCAACCAGGGCATTACACATAGCAGTCGTCTTCGAAATTTCTCGTGACTGTTTTGCAGAAGTTCTGGGATGTGCAGTCTACGGGCAGATGTTGCAATAAAAGCATTCACTTGTGCCAAGAGTTTGTTTTCGTTTGCTTGATGGATTTGTCAAATGGGAGGGGTTCTACAGATTGCGAAGCGCTTCAAAAATTGAGTTGCGTTCCCTCGTGCTGGAAACCTGTTGGAGCACTGTTGATATTATTTACGTTGTGACATACAAATTCACAGGCTAGATATTGGCAAGGAAGCTTTGGCAGTGAACTGCCCCAGTTTAGTTTTGTTGCTGCAAAAGTTCTTGCATACGAGTGTGTGCGAAAAATTCAATGACAAATACGATATTTGTGTTGTGGTCGATGAAGTGCTCCATACTTGCAAGCCTAGCTTGTATAAATATGTTCGTTAGTTTTATATTACAATGAATACATGTAATGTATATTCAGTACATACATAGAGGGTACAAATTTGGTGTTACATCCTCCAGGTGGGATAACAAAGAATATTAATTTCGGACTAAAGACCTAAATTCTGTTTGAACGGTGTTGTGTTTAAATTGTATTGGCACTATGCTAAAAAAAATGAATTACTTTGTAGATTACCTACTTGCCATATAGACATTATGTAGGGGGAAGGCAGACAAAAATGTAACAATTGAAAAAGCTAGTTGCGGAGATATACACAAAGATCACTATCATTATCAGTATAGCTCAAGAAGTACATTTTCAAGACTTGCGAAATAGTTTCTGCATTAGCGAACTCGTGTACAATAAAAAATTTGTTATATTTACTAAGTCATCCGTTAAACTGGTAGTCTATTGTTTTAGGAAAGAGTAGAAAGGTGTTGCACTTAAAGGAGGAAATCCTTTATCCGTTATCACAAGTGGATGTGTAGAATGGTTCAAGGTAGCTGATTGATACCTATGATTGCAGTGTATATTGAAATTTGCCAATAGAAGGGCATTTTATGAGATCGCTAATAACAGACTCCAGTAACCACAAAGCATGCTGGCACAGTTTTTCTAAAAGCCTACATGCACCAGCAACATTGGTGATTCTATCTTGAAGCATTGTTCAAAAAAGGAAAAAATCTTGTAGTCCAAGGCAGCCAACACTGACAGCAGTAACTTCAAAATGCAGAGCTGGCTACAAATGTATCTTTGCACAAAATGAAAAAAATGTGTGCTTTGGTCGCTCTAGTTTCTGCGAGTGTTTCCAGTCCATATGAAGTAGCATTTTGTGTGCAAATATAGACTATGACAATTACAAAACAGGATCAGTGCATGTCCTGTTTGATCTTTTTTCTTGTCATTTCATTACAGTTTTTTGTACCGTGATCGCGTATCAACATGCTCAATTTCAAAGGCATCTGAACGATTATGAAAGTTCACATGGTTGGCTGCATTGTAGGTTAACACGATGCCACCACAACGACCTCACCAGAGGACACATTTTCTGCAAGCCATGGTTAGGAACACTTCACTACACGTTTCACAGCACATGTTTTGGGCATAACGTTTCCTAAAATTTAGAGGGGGGACTGTTGCTGCGATTGTTCAGCGACCATGGGAATGATGGGCAGTACATGGATTTGCCTAGCCTTCGTACTTTCGGACAGCAAATAGCACTTGTGACTGCATTTATTGTTGTTTCAGCTTTGTTCAAAGTAAAGAACAAACTTTTTTGAACTTCACAACCTGATTTGAAATGGTAAGCTTAAAAAGAATAAGGTGGTAAAGTGCAACCGCTGAACATTTGCAGATTTTTGTTATGCGAGAAAACGGCTCCAAGCCAAACAAACACGCACCAGTTGTGGCTGCTGCGACGCATGCGATGTTCTCGGCGTTCGGGTTGGCCGCCACGAAGGAGCCGGAAGTACAAAGATTATACAAATCCGTGTACTACCCATTGTTGCCATGCTCGCTGAAGCGCCGTGCCTTGCAGCTCCCATAAGATGGATGGATGGATGTGTCCAGCTGTGCCCATTAGATCGGGCGGTGGCTCACGCCACCTAGCCATAAAGTACTATTACTATGCGTTTAAGGATTAAATTTCATTCGTGCCTTGATTGCAGTCACCAATCACTTTGTCTCCTCCTGGTTATTTATACCCATTTAAATTCTATTTTGCTTTCACTGTCCCTAAACCCCAATGCATTGAAGAATTCTGCACCATTATCTTGAACTATAGGGTGGAACCCTTTACAGATCATTATCAAATGTTCAGCTCTTTCCTCCTCCTCTGCACATGCACTACATATGTCTGCATAGTGTCTGTGCTTTCGTATTTGGCTCGATACGTCTTGGTCCACACTACTCCCGTTCTGGCCACGAAGAGCAGAGAACTACCCCGAGAGGTGTCGTAAATCTTTTCTTTTGCAATTTCCTGCTTGAAAGTTCAGTAGCTCTCCAGCATTGATTTCGTAAGCATTCCAGTCTTCCTCAAGTCCCTCTCTATTTCCTCACCTTCTTCTTGACCGATGTTTCTTTTTGGCTTGGTATTCTGCTGTTGTCTAAATACTTGCTTCCTCTATTAGGTATCAACGTTATTCATGTACAAGTAGCTGAAAACTTTCCTAGCCCAACCCTCCTCTCCCATTTTTCTCAATCACTCCTCAAATTCTATCTTGCTGCTAGCTTCTCTGCACTCGAACGATGTTCACCCCATTTCACCCTGTACCCCCCCGATTTAGGGTATTCCCGTGTGCTCCTAAAGCATGTCTACCTATGTCATGTTTAATTTCCAATCTTGCTTGAACCTCTGATTTCATGCACAAGACCCCATTGCCGAACGTCAAACCAAGGACCACGACACTTTTCCAAGTCCCTCTCACAACATCAGACCTATTGTAGTTCCACAGTGCCCTATTTTTCATTACAGCTGCATTGCTGTTACCCTTAGTCACTACGTATTTTTTATGCTCCCTTGGGTACTCAGCCCCGTTATTTATCCATACGCCCAAATATTTGTATTTATCCACTATTTATAGTGTGACTTCCTGTATCTTATGCTCACTGCCTTTGTTATCATTAAAAATCATGATTGCCGAATTTTTCCTGCTGAACTTAAAATTTAACCCATCTCCCTCATTACCACAGATGTCTATCAATCCTTGCTCTATAGGGAATGTTTTAGAGGGAACCAGAGTTTCCTCTAGTGTATATTTAGGAAACTTTATGGTTCCAGGTCTGCTCTTAAAATACATGGGTACTTTAGTCTTTGTAGCAAGTGCACTTCATGCACTACAGTTCCCACATCATTGCACTTCCAGCGAATATAGAGACTTGAAGATCATTACCGCAGATGTCTATCAATCCCTGCTCTAGAGGGAATGTTCTAGAGGGAACCAGAGTTCCCACTAGCAAATATTAAGGAAACACTATAATTTCAGGTATGCTCTTTTAAAATGTATCGGTGCTTTAGTCTTCGTTGCAAGTGCACTTCGTGCACTACAGTTCCCACATCATTGCACTTTCAACGAATAGAGAGAACACAAAAATTAAAGGACAATGCATGTCTCAACAAGCTGCTTCTTGGCCAGGCTCTTTTTGCTGTTCATTTTGAATAACTGCACCCCAAACAAAGATATAACACATTCGGGAAACCAAGACGCATATTAACCTGATAGCGTTAAAGAGCTCACTCGTACTACAACATTGCCCAAGTGAAAATTGCAGTCTTGGGCAGTAGACAAAAAAAAAGTTCCTTGCAGTAAGCTTATTTGAAGATGTTGCTCCCTTTTTCAGGTGAGAGCATAGCCATGCTATTACAGCGAAAGCTGTTACGAGATCACAACAAGGGCCGTGTGCCTCGTAGTTGTCCGTAACAACTATCGCAGCAAATGAGAAAAAAAAAAGTAAACACTGAGGACATTACGGAATTCAACACCGGTTCCGCTGTGTGCCAACCCAGTATTGTACCACAGAGCCGCGTCAGTGCTTGAAACTCCATGGCAAACTAGCCTTGGTTAGGTAGGCCTGACGTCGGGAAAGGAATCGCGTTAATATGAGCAATAAAGCGTTTTGGAACAGCAAAAGAACAGCCAGACGTCACAAAATGCGAATTGCATAACGAGTGGGTCGTCGGGTGCACCAAGCCATCACGAAAGCTTGAGGCATAATTCTTCGTCGTCAGTTACAGGGTAAAAAAAAAATGCACGAAATTCTTTGCAAATGTGTAGTGGGTACCATGCTTCTCCGAAGGATGGCGTAGCGAGTTACTCCTTGCTACCCAAATATTCATAGCGTAGTGGGTACCCTGCAAGTGTGCTTGCTGCAGTTACCCAAAGTGTCTGGAAAAGGCTCCAAAAGGCTGCTCTTCTAGCTTCCCCTGTGATTGTGCTGCACATTCTGCGCAGCCCTGGCGGCTTTATATTTTCACATTTGGTGAGCTTTTTTATCGGCTGCAAAAAATGAACCCATTATTCAAAGCAGACCTGTTAATGTCATTCGAGCATGTCTACAAGTACCTCATTGACAATTTGATAATTAGGTGTGTGCTTGTCAGCGTACAAGTATAATTGACCAATTAAACTTTAATAACAAGTATAATTGACCAATTAAACCTTAATAAAAGAATAACAGTACTAATTCAGCATACTGGTAGTAATATTCACTAGACTTGCTTGGCATAATGCTGTTTTTTTTTTAAGATCTTGCTGTTTGACGATTAGAACACCTACATAATGTCCAGACACATCTGCACTATCACCGGAGCCATAGCAGAGCACAGGATATGGTGCCAGGTGCCGGTGGCAGCAATAGTATCAGTGGTATCTGAACTTTTACTCGTGACTGCACACTTTGTTTCACATTACATGACACTAAATTAAACATGGTTGACTCAAACTCGCAGGCGGCAGCGAAGGCTGTTCCTGCGGCGTTGAGCATAGTGATAAAGAAGTCAATGTGACGGCCTGAAACAACCCTTTAATGACAACATTATGTGATGTGCATGCCTCCATAGATAATGGTATGGAAACAAAGACTGCAGACAGTTCAAGAGCCGATCTCCCAAGTGCGCCTAGTCAATCCATAGCAGCGCACGCGTCATAAGAATGCAGACCCTGGGAGAGATTAAAAACAGTGTGACAAACAACTTGCCCTGTACAATTGCTGAAGAGCTGTGCTGCAGATCTTCACTCGTCGAAGCGTATCGAGTTGACACCAGTGTCGATGCTTCCACCCGAGTACGTTCCTCTCTTCTTCTTCGTCTTTCTCGTGCCTGAAGTCCTTGCCCTTGACGTTTTTCAATACGCTGTAGGCCTTTTCTCCCCAGGATCCCCGAGCACCTGCCTTGGCTTCGAAAGAGTTGTCGCGCAGTTTGGGGTCGATGTGCACTTTCTCAGCTTTCACTCTCCGAAACGGCGAGCTCTTTCTTCCTTTCTCGGGGGAACTAGGCTTGCCAGTACCGTTAAGCATCGGCGTACTCTGCGCTTTCTTCTTGCCTTTGTTTGACTTTTCCTCGCTTTCGTCCTCGCTAGAGTCTTCCGCATTGTTCTGGGCTGCTTTTGGCGTCGATGTCTTGCCTTGCAAAGGCTTCCCAGCCTTCTTTACTGCCGGCTCCTCATCTTCGCTATCTTCCGATGAAGACGACGATTCCTTTTTTCCAGCGGGCTTCTTCGGCTTTTTCGCAGACGAGGTTTTTGCAGGCGCTTCTTCGTCACTGTCTTCTGACGAGGAAGATTCTTGTTTCTTCTGAGACTTCTTTTGAGACGCAGGTGTTGCCTTGGGTGTTGAAGCTGGGGTGTTCTTTGGGGTCACCACGGGCTTTTTCGCTGGCCATCTGTTGTCGTCGTCGTCACTGTCGGATGAAGAGGAGTCTTGCTGAGACTTAGCGGCAACTGGCGTTCTTTTCCCTGGAGGAGTTTTCGACGGTATAGCCAACGCGGAGGGACTCTTGCCCTGAGGCTTCTTGGGAGCTTCATCCTCATCACTGCTGTCGGAAGAAGATTCTGCCTGTTTCTTCGCAGGAGTCGGCTTCTTTACGAGACTCGACTTGGTTGCACTGGGTTTGGGAGGCGCTGGCTTTTCATCCTCAGAGTCGCTGTCCGAGTCTGAAGAGCTATCTTTCTTTGTTTGGGCTGGCTTCTTAGCAGGTGCTTGACTTTGCGGCCGCCTTTGGCGGGGCCGGCTTCGACTCTTCCTCGGAGTCGCTGTCCGAGTCTGACGAGCTCTCCTTCTTTGTCTGTGCTAGCTTCTTTGCTGGCGCTGGTTTTGCAGCGACTTTGACAGGTATCGGTTTCGATGTTTCCTCCGAGTCGCTATCTGAATCCGAACTGTCTTGCTTCGCTTGTGCTGGTTTAGGTGATGGCTTTGATAACGGCTGCTTGCCCTTGGCAGCAACCACTGATTTCGCCGGCTTGTCATCTTCAGAATCACTCTCAGAGGTAGAGCTGTCTTTGGCAGCCTGCTTAGCCGGTGCCTGCTTCGCAGCCGGCTTACCAGGGGTCGCCTTGGGTGGTGGTGCTTCGTCGTCGGAGGAGCTGTCGCTCGACTCTTTCTTCTTAGCCTGCGGAGTCTTCTTGGCGGGACCAATGGACACCTTCAACGGAGTCTTCTTGGCGCCAGCGGCCGCAGGCTTGACCACTTTCTTGGGAGGCTGATCATCCTCGCTTTCCGAAGACGAGTCGCTGTCATTCTGAGGCTTGGCCGGCGTCACTTTTGGTGTGGCGGCCTTACCGGCAGGCGCCGCGGCGGCGCTTTTCGGAGTCACAGCCGGCTTCTTCTGTGGTTCAGACTCGTCGGAACTGTCGGAGCTAGAAGATTCGCCCTTCTTGGTAGCAGCCTTCTTGGCTGACGATGCAGCATTCTGGGCCTTTGGCGTAGCCTTCGCGGTTGCTTGCTTCTTGGCGGGAGGCGGCTTCGAGGCTTCGTCGTCAGACGAAGAGTCGGAAGAACTGTCCTGTTGCTTCTTCTGAGTCGAAGCCGGTTTTTTCGGTGCCACCGGTTTGGCCTGCGGCGTTGCTTGCTTTGTCAGCGCAGCTTTGTTTCTGGGATCGTCGTCGTCGTCAGAGCTGCTCGAGCTGTCTTCGTCCTTCTTCGATTGCTGGGGTTTCTTGGGAGCCGCCTTGAGCACTGGTGTCGGAACGGCAGGCTTCTTACTCGGCGGTGCGGCGGCTTCGGAGTCGGAACTGTCGGACGAGTCGCTCTCGGGCTTGGCTCGCTTGCCAGGGGCTTTCGATTGAACAGCCCCCTGTTTCGGCGTGACCGCTGGTGTCGTCTTGCCCTTCGGTGCTTCATCTTCGGAGGAATCGGAGTCCGAATCCGAGTCCTCGCTGTGCTGTGCCGGAGCACTGGGCTTAGGCTTCTGATTAGAGGCGGGCGTTTTCGCGTTTACCTTGGAATTGGTGTTTCCTTTAGGCGTTGCCGAGTTGACCGGCTTTGCTGGCTTGGCCTCTTCTTCGCTCGAAGAATCATCGGAGGAAGACACGTCGTGCTTTGACGCGGTGCCGGCAGCACCACATGGCGCCAGCTGCAGCAGTAGTTTGCGCTGATGAGGCTGCCCTTCGAAGTACGAGCTCACCACCTTGTCGAGCTGCGCAACTCCTGCGGGCAGGGGCTTGGCGCTTCGTTTCTTTGGAACTGGTTGGCGAGCGCTTTGTCGACGCCGCTCAGATACTGGAAAACGAGGGACGCTGTCGCTGCTTGCATGCTGCCGGCAGCCATTACGCCAGTTGAAAGGAGAGAATCGCGGCACGCCAACGGCGGCTCCACGTGGGGTCCACTCCGCAAGCTTACATTGCCTACGAGCGTGTGTAAGATAATCTAAAATTATAAGTTGAAAATATTTGAATAATTTAGTCTAGAACATAATTCACGTATTAATAGCTTTTGACTATTTTTGACAATAAAACATCACTACCCCGCAGTTGCTTTTTAACCTTCGAAATAGTCTACGAGCGTTTGCAATCTTAAAGGCTATGTATCTGCACGCATTTTGTTAATATTTCACTTTACCTATAAAACTGTTAAACATTAACAAATATTATCACATAAAGTTGTACAAAAAGCAATTTTATAAAAATAACGCGACAAACAAGCGTTTTAGGGGCACAATTGGTTGCCGTTTATTACAAAGCTAGCCGAGTCAAGCCAAGTTTCCAAACGCAAGCGAATCGGCACAAAACATGGCGGACGTCGCCGCACGTTCGCTTCAGTACGAGTACAAAGCAAACTCCAACCTTGTGCTCCAGGCCGACACTCGTCTCATCGAACGTCGGCCCCGCGATGAGGCGACAGGCGAAGTGGTATCTCTCGTCGGGAAGCTCGAGGGCTCCCGCATGGGAGACCGCTACCAACGCACCAAACCCAGCAAAGACGAACGCAAGTCCAAAAAGCAGCAGCAACAGCAGCAGAAGAAGGCGTCCGACGAAAGCCGCTACGACGCCGCCAAGCTGAAAGGCCAGTCGCTGCTCTCCGAGGGCGTGGAAGACGTCGTCGGCATCCTGTACCGACCCAAGACCACGGAGACGAAGCAGACTTACGAGGTCCTGCTGAGCTTCATCCAAGAGGCGTTGGGCGATCAGCCTCGCGACATCCTCTGCGGTGCCGCCGACGAAGTCCTCGCGGTTCTCAAGAGCGACCGCATCAAGGAAGGAGAACGTCGCAAGGAGACCGAGGCGCTGCTGGGACCCGTAGCCGAGGAACGGTTCGCGTTGCTCGTCAACTTGTGCAAGAAGATCACCGACTACGGTGTCGACTGACAAGCAACCCGTCGTGGAGGAAAACATCGACGAGACGTACGGCGTCAACGTGCAGTTTGAGGAGTCGGACGAAGAGGAGGACGAGATCGTGGGAGAGGTGCGCGAGGACGACTCGAACGACGAGGCCGAAGGCGAAGAGGCCCACCTGGACACCACTCTGCAGGCGACCAACCTGATCGCTGGCCGCGAAGGAGGTCGCAAGGGATCCAAGAGCGGGTTGCATCCGCGCGAGATCGACGCCTATTGGCTGCAGGTCGGTACTGAGCGGGAAAGTTGCTTGCTTTTTGAAAGTGCTGGAGCACTTTAGGCTTGTCGTTCATCAACAGTCTCGGGTCGCATGGTCACGCAGTAGTCAGTATAGGGCTAAAATAAGGCCAACAGTGCTGAAAAGTACTGTAAAACAATGTACCAAAGTCTGCAATAATATAAGCTACAGAAGTAACCAAGACTTCATCCCGATAATTTACTCAAAATCGCGAAAAACGTTGCCGAACCATGCGGCTGATACCCGCACCGCGTCAAAGAGGGCGCCACCACCTCGAAAAATGCTTAGAGAATTGCTGAATTGCCTGTGCTATGCACTTCCTCAGGTTTTACGGCAGTGAAGACGCATTAAGTGCAGAATCAAAAACTACACCAGGCCTACACAAGATAGGCATTTGCGCAGGGTTTATATATATATATATATATATATATATATATATATATATATATATATATATATATATATATATATATATATATATATACCCGGCACACACGCTATACGTATCTTGCAAATGTCATCAGTTCCTGTCTTCCGTCCGTCATTACCGAGTCCACTGAGCACATACATCTCCGTGACCAGGACTACGCCGTGTAAACGTTGGCTCGGAAGATCGTTTGGTGTAATCTGAGCGTTGTGATTGTTTGCCTTGGGCTTATGGTGAAGGGGAATAATTCAAGGCATTATGCAGCCAGCAGCAATGCAATGTTGACTGGTGAACTCTGATCCTCCATGTCTGCAGTGTCAGAGTCTATGATGTTGCACGTAATGGCTGAAGCAGCTTCACACAAGATTTGCGAACATGCCTGTTAAGAAGTGACACCCGCACGTGTATTTTGTTCAATGTCTTGATGTCCTTCTTGCTTTTGTGGGCATAAGCCATGTGCTTCGCTTCTCTGACAGCTCTTCCGTGCACGGTTTTGTGATCACCTTTGGCAAACAGTGCTGCTTCTGGTTCTTCTTTATCTCTTTTACACATCACGTGTTGCTGTCAAACATGGCGCAAATCGCCATTGCGACCTACATCGTTGACGGGAAATGCGAGATCCACACGGCTTGACTCGGCGATGATGGCGCATGCCGAGATCTTATTCCACAGTTCTGCGGTGTGACGTACTTGCAAGTTATGTATAGTCCTGAACTGCACATCACGCGTATTCGTTTATTCCTAATGTGTTCTCACTTGTGTACATACGTTCGCAGTGTCATAAGGAGTCTTGAGCGACTCGACCGTACTTCTAAACTATTCACCCCTATTTGTCCAGTTTCACGACTGCCAGGGTCATCAATAGGCGCGTGCACTTCTGCTGCTGAGGCCAGCATGATTTTATAAGATATAGTTGCAGCTCCTTGAGAGCTACCGACCTGACTTCTGTGCAGCACCCTATGAAACACTAATGATAACGAATATAGAGTGCTAACCTCAGCAACACTCAATAACAGACAGCAGATACTCTGTTTATGCTGTCAATCCTACACTGAACACCCTCGTGGTAGTGAAAGGAATTGCATACTAGTCGACCACCTAGTACACTCCTCTACATGCAGGTAATGGTTGTAATTTATTCTCTAGTGATGTTATTCAATCTGCCTAACTACAGTCTTAAGAATTACATCAAAGCTCCGTCCATTGGAAACCTATACTTTACTGTTTACAGGAGGGTTGTGCATATTGCACTAATAACCAGTCGCTATCTCAGTGAAGTGCATTATAATACATATGTATGAGTTCCTTTATTTAAAGTGCGTGGTACGAGGTACTGCACTCTGTTTGACACATTAAGTTCTGTATTATGGAAGCTAAGCAAGCAGTTTCATCAGCAGAATGTTAAACTTGCACATCTTGTGATTTGGTTCCAAAAATGTGTCCGCGAGGCTTCAAGTGATGCGCTGCAACGAGCTGCAAATAAGGTACCAAGAAAACAAATACATTCTAAGGGATCCAGCTGTATAATAATTGATGTATAATATTGCCACGGGCATGGAACGAGGTTGGGCTATGCCATAGCTTGTATGTGCCATTGTGAGAAAGATGAAGAGTAGACGATGAGCTCGTGTTTCTTGTGACCAGTTCGGCTCGATGTCAAGTGTTTCTGTGGATAGAGGTTGTGCTATCTATAATCACGGAACATTTTCTCATGAGCCAGATAAAGTCAAGAGTACAGCATCCAGCATCGTAATTGCTTCTCGGCCTGTGAAGCAAATGGAAAGAAGTGAACCCTGTAGTCCTTTGAATCGCAGTGTTGTAAGCAAACGTTACATAGGCAGAACATTATCCCAGTTTTTGTTATCGTGTTCGACGTACATGAATAGCAAGTCAGCGAGCGTCTTGTTTAATCTCTCCGTCACATCATTCGTTTGTAGATGGTGTGTGGTCGTTTTGCGATGAATGGTTCCACTAAGCCTCATGACGTCTTGCATCAGTTGGGCTGTAAAAGCTGTTTCAAGGGTCAGTGATAACAACTGTTGGCGCTCCATGTTGGAGGACGATGTTGTTCATGAAAAAAATATGTAATCTTATTGGCGGTGCCTCTTTGTAGGGCTTTCGTTTTGCAATACCTCATCAAATAGTCAGTAGCAATTATGATCCAGCGGTTGCCATCATGTGGCTTCCGAAGAGCCTAAGCAAGCCCATCCCGACTTATTCTAATGGTCGTGATGGTGGTGCAACAGGCCTTAATAAACCAGAGGGGCGCACAGGTAGTGTTTTACGGCGCTGGCAATGATTACGCATTTTAACGCAATGCTTAAGATCCTGGGTGAGCTTTGGCCAGTAGTAGTCGGTACGAATCGGGGCAAGGGTACGTGCGAATCCTTAGTGGCCGGAGGAAAAGATCGTCGTTGGCAGGCAGATAAAATGTCATCACGTAGCGCTGATGGAATGACGAGCAGGTGTTCGATCGCCTAAGGTTCGAAGTTCCTTTTGTAGAAGATGTTGTAGAGACAAAATGACCCTGAACTCATGAATGCCTGTATGGACTTAAGCTGAGGCCTTCAAGGTTGTTGATAAGACATCGAAGCTCTGAATCATTCCGCTGTTGTTGGGCCAAGTCAGATTCACTGAATGCATAAAGGAAACGGCCATCGGTATCATCATCGCTCGATGTCGCTGCAACTGGAGCGCGTGAAAGGCAATCGGCATCAGTGTGCCCGCGGTCAGACTTGTATATGACTGTTGTGTCAAATTCTTGAAGGTGCAAGCTCCATCGCGTAAGGTGCCTTGAAGGGTCTTTGAGATTGGCCAGCCAACAGAGGGCATGATGATCCATAATGACTCTGAATGTATGGTCATACAGATACGGTCGGAACTTTGATATTGCTCAAATAACAGCAAGGCAGTCCTTCTTCATTGTCGAGTAGTTAGTTTCCGCAGATGACAGAATGCAGCTAGCATAAGAGATGGGGCGCTTGGTGCCGTATTGCCACTGGACGAGCACTGCACCAAAACCGATGTTGCTTGCAAAAAACCTTCAGTTACTTTGAATAATTTGAATATTGAATATTTGAATATTTTGAATAATTACTTTATTGTCAGTGGATACAATTTTTTTCTTGCTGTAAACCATGGCCTTTTTTTCCTACCCAATAGCGCAAGCTGAGCAAGTTTTACGATGACCCCGTCGTGGCTCAAACAAAGGCTGGCGAGGTCCTTGACATCCTCAAGACGGCTGTTGATGATCGTGACGTCGAGAACCAACTGGTGCTGCTCCTTGGCTTCAACCAGTTTGACTTCATCAAGGTTCTGCGGCAGCATCGGCAGATGATCCTCTACTGCACTCTCCTGGCTTCGTCCCAGAGTGCCACCGAGCGATCAAAGTTGCGTGACAAGATGCAGGCAGACCCCGAGCTTGAGCGGATCTTGAGGCAGCTCGAAAACACGGAGAAGGATGACATGGTGCAGGAGGAACGTGAGAGGCGGGCACAGGCCCGGCAGGCCCGTGTCAACGCCGAGCTGGAGCCCATGGACATGGATGAAGACAGTGTCGTCCCACAGATGTCTCAGTGCAAGATGCTGGACCTGGAAGACCTGTCGTTTCAGCATGGCAGTCATTTCATGGCCAACAAACGGTGCCAGTTGCCTGACGGATCGTTCCGTAAGCAGCGTAAGGGCTACGAAGAGATTCACGTTCCTGCCCTCAAGCCCAAGCCGTTTGACACCAATGAGACGCTCGTTTCAGTTGACAAGCTGCCAAAGTATGCTCAGCCTGCTTTTGAAGGGTTCCGCAGCCTCAACCGAATTCAGAGCCGTTTGCACAAAGCTGCGCTAGAGTCTGACGAAAACCTCCTTCTCTGTGCCCCAACTGGTGCTGGCAAGACCAACGTAGCTCTTCTCTGCATGATGCGAGAGATTGGCAAGCACATCAACCCGGATGGCTCCATAAATGGGGACGAGTTCAAGATCATCTACATTGCCCCGATGCGTTCCCTCGTGCAAGAGATGGTCGGCAACTTCAGTAAGCGGCTCAACTCGTACAACATCACCGTTTCCGAGTTGACAGGGCGACCACCAGCTGACGAGGGAGCAAATAAATGCAACCCAGGTGATTGTCTGCACACCTGAAAAGTGGGACATCATCACCAGGAAGGGAGGGGAGCGCACGTACACCCAGCTTGTGCGACTCATGATTTTCGATGAGATTCACTTGCTCCATGACGAACGAGGTCCAGTGCTGGAGGCCCTCGTGGCGAGGACGATCCGAAACATCGAGATGACGCAGGAGGATGTCCGACTTGTAGGTCTTAGTGCCACCCTACCCAATTATGAGGATGTTGCCACATTCCTGAGGGTTAACCCGGCCAAGGGACTGTTCTTCTTTGACAATAGCTTCCGGCCCGTGCCACTTGAGCAGCAGTACATTGGAATCACGGAAAAAAAGGCCATTAAGCGTTTTCAGTTGATGAATGAAATTCTCTACGAGAAGGTCATCGACAACGCTGGAAAGAACCAGATTCTCATCTTTGTTCACTCTCGAAAAGAGACTGGAAAAACCGCCAGAGCTGTGCGAGACATGTGTCTTGAGAAGGACACGCTGGGACACTTCCTTCGAGAGGGCTCTGCGTCAACGGAAGTGCTCCGGTCTGAGGCAGAACAAGTGAAAAACCTTGAGCTGAAAGACCTGCTGCCGTACGGCTTTGGTATCCATCATGCCGGCATGAGTCGCGTAGACCGTACACTCGTGGAGGATTTGTTTGCCGATCGTCACATCCAGGTACTGGTTTCCACAGCTACCCTTGCGTGGGGTGTCAACCTTCCAGCCCACACTGTCGTCATCAAGGGTACCCAGATATACAACCCAGGAGAAGGGACGCTGGGTTGAACTGGGAGCCCTGGATGTTCTCCAAATGCTTGGCAGAGCTGGGCGACCCCAGTATGACACTAAGGGCGAGGGCATCCTCATCACAAACCACAGTGAGCTTCAGTACTACCTTTCCCTTCTCAATCAGCAGCTGCCTATTGAGAGCCAGCTTATCAGCAAACTTGCTGATGTACTCAATGCCGAAATTGTCCTGGGCAACATCCAGAATGTGAAAGATGCATGTACTTGGCTGGGATACACATACCTCTACATCCGTATGCTTCGTGCACCAACACTCTATGGCATCTCGCACGATGAAATCAAGGCAGACCCTTTGCTCGAACAGAGGCGTGCCGACCTGATCTTCACGGCTGCGGCGCAACTGGAGAAAAGCAATTTGCTCCGCTTTGACAAGAAGTCGGGCAACATGCAAGTGACAGAGCTTGGCAGGATTGCCAGCTACTACTACTGCACCTATGACACGATGGCCACATACAATCAGCTTCTCAAACCTACTTTGAGTGAGATTGAGCTGTTCAAAGTATTTTCGCTGTCAGGTGAGTTCAGGAACATCACCATCCGTGAGGAAGAGAAGCTCGAGCTTCAGAAACTGATGGAGCGGGTCCCGATCCCCATCAAAGAGAGCATGGAAGAGCCAACGGCCAAAGTCAATGTCCTCTTGCAGGCGTACATTTCCCAGCTGAAACTCGAGGGCCTTGCCCTGATGGCTGACATGGTGTACGTGACACAGAGTGCTGCGCGTCTTATGCGTGCCATCTTTGAAATTGTTCTCCATCGTGGCTGGGCACAGTTGACAGACAAGGCACTGAGCCTATGCAAAATGATTGACAAGCGCATGTGGCAGTCCATGACGCCACTGCGGCAGTTCAGGAAGGTCCCCGATGAGGTCGTCAAGAAGGTCGAAAAAAAGAACTTCCCTTGGGAGCGCTTGTACGACCTCGGCGTCAGCGAGATCGGCGAGCTCCTGAGGATGCCCAAGCTGGGAAAACTGGTGCATCGATACGTCCACCAGTTTCCCAAGCTGGAGCTGGCTGCACACATTCAACCAATCACACGATCGATGTTGCGTGTGGAACTGACCATCACGCCGGATTTCCAGTGGGACGAGAAGATCCACGGCACGTCCGAGGCATTCTGGATTCTTGTGGAAGATGTGGACTCTGAGGTGATCCTTCACCACGAGTACTTCCTGCTGAAGAGCAAGTTCTCCCAGGATGAGCACCTCATCAAGTTCTTTGTTCCTGTCTTTGAGCCTCTGCCGCCGCAGTATTTCATACGCATTGTGTCGGACCGGTGGATTAATGCAGAAACCCAAGCTTCCAGGTTTCATTCCGGCACTTAATACTTCCGGAAAAGTATCCCCCACCTACAGAACTGCTGGATCTGCAGCCCTTGCCTGTGTCCGCTTTGCGGAACCCGACATTTGAGGCTCTGTACAAGGACAAGTTTCCTTTCTTCAATCCTATCCAGACTCAAGTCTTCAATGCCATCTATAGCAGTGATGACAATGTCTTTGTCGGCGCTCCGACAGGCAGTGGCAAGACCATCTGTGCAGAGTTTGCCATATTGCGCCTGTTCTCCCAGGTGCCAGAAGGTCGCTGTGTGTATGTGACTCCAAATGAAGCGCTTGCCGAGATCATATATTCTGACTGGACTCAAAAGTTCTCTCTGCAGCTGAACAAGAAGGTGAGGGTTGTTTGTCTTTCTCATTAAGCTAGTAAGGTTAGCAGGTCAACAAGTACTACATGTACCTGTGTTTCTTAATAGCAGATCTGTATATGATGCAGTACTAGTAAACACTGCATTCTTTTTTGGTTGTGTCCCTGAGTTAACACTGTATATAATATGCATATAGACCTTCCACTCATGGGCAGGTAAATTGGTTGACTGCCAGTTGGGCATGTTGGTATAAGGTTATTATGAAATAAGCACCAATAAGCACGAAGACTTGGAAAGGACGCTGGACGAGCACTTACTAGCAACTGCAAAATTTTTGTTTCGATATGAACACTCTTATATGTACGCAACGCATGTTTTTTCAGTTGTTTGCCAACGGTTATGAGAGTGGTCTTTTGTTATTTCGTTTAGTTCATGATAATACGGGTGGTTTGTGGTGACATGCATGTGTGTTATGCATGCAAAAGTGTTCATTTATAAAAAAAATTTTCAGTTGCTAGTAAGGGCTTGTCCTGTGTCCTTTCTAAGTATTCATACTTATTAGCACTTGTTTCATAGTGAACAGCTAAATTGGTCTGCTAAAAGAAGGGGAAAGGAAGCGGAGGCATTGTCTGTGCTCTGATATAATGGACAACTTAATAACTCTAGGCGATATGCACCTAATGCTTTCTTAGTCATCAAAGAGAATCAAATAGACATATTTGCTCATGAATCTTGGGTTGCACTTTAATGTAAAACCAGAAATGAGATGTCCATGTAAGCTGCTGTTCTTAGCTCTGTACTGCCTGCAATGTTGTAATCAGTAATGGCCATTACAACCCAGCATTTGTTAATTTTTTGTCACTAATAATTATCTTGAGTAACAGGTGCTTTTCTCCCCAGGTTGTGATCCTCACCGGCGAAACTGGCACAGACCTCAAGCTGCTTGCGAAGGGCAACATCATCATCGGGACTCCAGAAAAGTGGGACGTCCTCTCACGACGATGGAAGCAACGCAAGAACTGTCCAAAACATCAACCTGTTCATCGTGGATGAGCTGCACTTGGTCGGTGGTGAGGACGGTCCCGTGCTCGAAGTGATCTGCTCTCGAATGCGCTACATCTCGTCTCAGATAGAGCGCCAGATTCGCATACTGGCACTCAGTTCCTCTCTGGCCAACGCACGAGACATTGGCCAGTGGCTTGGAGCCAACGTCAACTCCACCTTCAACTTCCATCCCAACGTGAGGCCCGTCTTGCTGGAACTGCACATCCAGGGCTTCAACATCACCCACAACGCTTCCCGTCTTCTCTCTATGAGTAAGCCCGTCTATCAAGGCATCATGAGGCATTCTCCCCGGAAGCCTGTCATCGTCTTTGTGCCTTCACGGAAACAGACGCGTCTCACTGCGATCGACGTACTCACATACTCTGCCTCTGAAGGGCAGGCATCAAAATTCTTGCACTGCACCGAGGACGACCTCAAGCCTTTCCTGGACAAGATCACAGACAAAACTCTGAAGGAGACCTTGAGCAATGGAGTGGCGTACCTTCACGAAGGCTTAAGCCCAGCTGACCAACGCCTGGTGGAGCAGCTTTTCGACAGCGGTGCCATCCAGGTTGTAGTGGTCTCCCGAAGCTTGTGCTGGGCTTTGTCTCTGTCAGCGCATCTTGTCATAATTATGGACACACAGTACTACAATGGTAAAATCCATGCCTATGAAGACTATCCTGTCACAGACGTCCTCCAGATGGTCGGTAGAGCTAACCGGCCTCTCGTTGACGAGGACGGAAAGTGCCTCCTGCTGTGTCAGTCATCCAAGAAGGATTTCTTCAAGAAGTTCTTGTACGAGCCACTCCCGGTGGAGAGCCACCTGGACCACTGCTTGCACGACCATTTCAATGCCGAGATTGTCACCAAGACCATTGAAAATAAGCAGGACGCAGTGGATTACTTGACGTGGACATTCCTGTACAGGAGGATGACGCAGAACCCAAACTACTACAACCTCCAAGGTGTCACTCATCGCCACCTTTCGGATCACCTGTCAGACCTTGTTGAGAACACGCTAAATGATCTCGAACAAAGCAAGTGCATCAGCATTGAAGACGAGATGGACGTCGCACCTCTCAACTTGGGCATGATTGCTGCCTACTACTACATCAACTACACCACGATCGAGCTTTTCAGCATGTCACTCAACTCAAAAACGAAGATCCGAGGCCTTTTGGAGATCATCAGTTCAGCTGCAGAATACGAAAACATACCCATCCGGCACCACGAAGACAACATTTTGAGGCAACTGTACAACCGACTGCCCCACAAGCTCACAAATCCCAAATTCAGTGACCCGCACGTTCAAAACCAACCTGCTCCTGCAGGCACACTTGTCTCGTATGCAGCTGTCGGCTGAACTTCAGTCAGACACAGAAGACATCCTCAGCAAGGCCATCCGGCTCATCCAGGCATGTGTGGATGTGTTAAGTTCCAACGGATGGCTGACACCAGCGCTGGCTGCCATGGAACTGGCAGCAAATGGTCACTCAGGCACTTTGGAACAAGGACTCTTACCTGAAACAGCTGCCACACTTCACAGGCCGAAATTGTCAAACGATGCCAAGAGCACGGCGTCGAGACCGTATTCGACATCATGGAACTCGAAGACGAAGACCGAAACAAGCTCCTCCAAATGACCGACAGTCAGATGGCAGACGTGGCGAAATTCTGCAACCGGTATCCCCAACATTGAGCTCACGTACGAGATCCAGGGTAAGGACCACATTCGGTGCGGCTCAGCCTGTGAACATCGTGGTCCAGCTTGAGAGGGAAGACGAAGTGGTCGGACCAGTCATTGCCCCCATGTTCCCTCAGAAAAGAGAGGAAGGCTGGTGGGTAGTCATTGGCGAGTCCAAAAGCAACTCACTCATATCCATCAAGAGGCTCAGCTTGCAGCAGAAGGCCAAGGTGAAGCTTGACTTCGTGGCTCCAGCACCTGGGGACCACACATATACGCTGTACTACTATGAGCGACTCCTACATGGGATGCGACCAGGAGTACAGGTTCACAATTCACGTTGGCCAGATGGAGTCACGAAAACGTAATGCCAGTGACAGTGATTAAGTTTTACTGGCCAGCAAAAACTGAGCTGTCCTCAGCATGTTCATTGATGTTTTGGTTTCGCATCCTATCTTGTTTCTTGCATCATGTAACTGTACATAGAATTTTTTCTACATCCTTGTGAAATAAAAGGGGAAATCTAATCATTTCTGTGACTGCATGTGTCGCTGGATCACAAATATGTCATGTTCACCTGTTTGTGTACTTACTTGTTGCTAAGGAACTTTATCTGGCATCTATTTCAAAGATGAGAGATGCCTTATGTAGACCTTTCACTATTAAATGAAGGATTGAACTTTAAAAATTCTCCTAGAAATACTTGAGTTTATTGAATTATGCTAAATATTTTAGTACAAGACTTGTTCTTACAAGCCAGCTTCTCTGTGTAGAAAGAGGGGACTGAACGCTTCCTGATATTTTTGATAAATCGGCTTCCACCGTAGCTGCCTCTAATGTAAAAAAAAAAAAAACAGCATATCCACAGAGTGAATGATTGGTGGGGTGAAGCGTTCCTCAGTATGTCCGTGCTTTCGTCTGCCCATTCGTTCTTGCTTCTGTTCCATGTGACCGTCGGTGCATCCGTCTGTCTGTGTGCCCGTCTGTCCGTCTATTTAGTGAACACTCGAAGTGCAGCCATCTCTCATATTTTCATCATGTATTCATCATATACAATTGCAGCCATCCAGCGGACATTCTAAGGACCGCTCTTTCCGGTATGTGCCACCGGTGCCTACATACACCATCGGAGGATGGACAGACCCCCACACTAAGGAGCTTTGCCCCTAAAAAAATTCTGGTCCCTTCCCTGTTTGAAGCTGTGTTACATTTTGATGCCCTTATGCCTGCTATATATAATAATGCTTTATGCGAGAGCTATATGGTCAATGAAGCTACTCCGAAATGCTGAGGTTATGCGTTTTACAATTTATGAGAAGTGGGAAGTATGCTTCAAGTTATTGCAGCTTCCCGAGTGTTTTATTCGAGAGTCTGGAAATCAAAAGCCAGATCACTAGAACAGAAAAGCGTAAAATATGTAGAATTGTCATTGCTTGCAATAAAAAAATACTGGTGAATGTGTTGGAAGCGATTATATGAGAAATCTTGTGCAAGTCAAACAGAATGCAAGTTTTACTGCATGTTGAAGGGCCCAGGCTTCCAAAACGAGCAGTAACATATCTGCCTATGATGAAAAAGAACTGTGGTTGTTCGTTCGGTAGCATCATTTTGTTTTGGACTTGTAGTTTTGCTTGAGGGGCTTTTTTTTTTTTTTTCCCTGATGCATTGCTGCGGCGTCTCGTAATCGTGGACGAAGAAAACTGCACCTCATTACGTCATTCGCTTGAAAGAACTGGCGAGAAGGGAAACCCTAGTTACGCAATGAAAGCGGCCCTGCCGAGTTGAATGAAATACGAACACTAGGGCGAGAGCTACCATATGGGAGCCCTGGGTCAGTTCCCATGGCAACAGGACCCCAAACGGAAGCAAGCAAGCACAGACAAGAAATACGGGCGCTGTTCACGTGCGCATCAGCAGGATTGGCAGTGACATGAACGTGCCCGCCGACCGTAGCGCCGCCGTTGCCACGCTCATACTTGCGGGCGGCCTACGACGGGGGGCCGCTCTGCCCAGCCGGTACGCCGGTTCATTCATTGAACGTCACTCGAAGAGTACGTGCCGACCGCGAAGCTGTCGCCGCGCTATAACCAAAGCCGCCATGGACGCCATGTACACGGCTGGCGCTCACATGACCAAGCACTTGCAGGAGAACTTCGACGGTTACGACCGCTTCTTCTCGTGGATCTCTTTCGCGGCCGACCCGCCGCGAAATGTGCTCTGGTACTACCCGATCGCGCTGACGTTCAGCAACCCACTCGGCGTGCGGATCCTCATCGCCGCATCGTGCTTCCGAGTTCCTCAACGTCGCCATCAAGTGGATCCTGAACGAGCACCGTCCATTCTGGTACGTCAAGATGAAGTCCGACATCGGCATCCAGCTCGCCCAGACGCCGCAGACCTGCGAAACCGGGCCGGGTTCTCCTTCGGGACACGTCATGGTCACCGCGGCCGTCCTGTACGTCGTGATCCGCTACGCCATAAGCTGCGCCTGACGACGATCCCCGCAGTCGCCGGCGACGTTGCTACCTCAAGGCGATCCTGTGGCCCTCGTACTTCCTGTACCTTTCGGCCGTGGGCGCGTCGCGGGTCTTCATCGGGGCTCACTTTCCCGCACCAGGTGATGCTGGGATTTCGCCATAGGCGTCGCCGACGGGATACTACCTCGAGCGCTACGACATTGACCGGTGGCGCTTCCACGAGTACGCCTCCTTAAGCGGTCTCATTGCCATGGCGTCCGTCACCCTCTTCGCCGGCTTCACGGCGCTCGGCGTGGACCCGCAGAACACGGTCCGGCCTGGCGCTCGAGGCATGCGATGACCCGAACTACGTGAACATCAGTTCGACGGTCCTGTACAGCATTATGCGTAACATCGCCGCTCCCTTGGGCGTCGGCATCGCCATGTCCAGGCCGAACGTCGACCAGGTGCTGCTGGGTGCCAAGCGGGCCCCAGTCTGGGCCAAGTTGTTGGCGGGACTGGTGGGCATCGGCGTCGGACGCACGCTGCTTGCCTGTCCGCTGCCCAAGCGAGAGTCGTGCATATACGCCGGCGCGTTGGTCCAGTTCTGCTTCTTCTCGTTTGCCGTCACCTACGGCATTCCTTACGTCTTGTACAAGCAGTACAGGCAGGTTAACAAGACTCTGGAGGTACGGTCGTCGGAGAAAGGAATCGGCCTCCTCTTCCTCGGACGACGAAAAGGAAAAAAGTCACGGCGCACATCGAAAGTAGGACGTTCCAAATGCCAAGCTAGAACAGACGGTGTATCGCTCTGTGGCACCGGTGACTTTGTGAATGAGCTGACGTTTGTTCATTTCGGCCATCTAGTTATTGCTAGTGAGCTCTCGTAGAATCTCGCAAATTCTTAAAAGAAGCAAGCACTTTCCTCATCGACCGTAGATGAGTGGAAAATAAAGCTGATCGTCAACACGTTTCCAAGTTTAAAAAAGTTGTTTAATAGTGGTCTACAGCATGGAGTTTATTGCGAAATTCAGAAATTCTGTGATATGCAGAGCTACATAGTGTAGAAGGCACTTCTTGGATTTGTTTTTTGTCATTGCGTCTTAGGAGCTAATTGAGCTCATTTTTTTTTTTTTTGCTTTGGTGGTTTCTGCTAAGCAGCGGAACAGGTGATCACCGGTACACCTTTCTTTTGTTGGTGGAGCCAGCCGTCTCACCAGTTGGCATGTGTAGGTTCCTAGCACGCATAAATGTGATAACGCACAATCGTTGTGCAACACTTGTTACAGTGACAATTTACAAATGTTAGTCATCTGTCTACATTAAGCCGTCTCGCAGTCTCTGCACACATCTACTATCGCGATGGAAAGAAATGCAGACAGCACATCATCTGCATGCTTCGCTGTTGGCGCTTATTTTCAAGTGGCGATAACCTGGCTGTTAACGAGAAGTCACTAGAGTTACCTGTGATACATTAAAGGACAAATATAGGGCATTTTTATTTATTGTAATCAAGGCTAAGTGCAACAAAAACAAATGCGAACTGCTGAACGTTTACATGCCGCACTGTTCGATTTTCTTTTTACACCTCTGTACAGCTGTAATATAGTATCTGGTGTTTTAAGCACCAAAACCATGATGCGATTACAAGATGTCATAGTGGAGGGCTCTGGAAATTTTGGCCGTTTGGCATTTTTTTAATGTGCTGTGACATCGCATAGTACATGGCCCTCTGCCATTTTGCTATCGAAATGTGACCATGGCAGCCTGGAACGAACCCCCAGCCATCAGATCAGTAGTCTAGCACGTTAACCACTGCTTCACCACAGGGGACCCGTAAAGCTGTTGTAGTACTTGCCTAGTGCAGTCGAATTGTACATGTTCACATTGTTTTAGCATTTTCAACACCTGCTCACAATCTTGCCATAAAACCACCTCTTGTGTGCGAGCTGCTACAGGACTGGTTTACAGATACTTTTCAAGAGAGAAGCCATTTACAATTCAGCTGCTCTACACAAGTGATAGTAGTGTTACAATGTTACCATTATGTGATGGTAAGTACATAATGCTAACATTGATGTCTCATCCCAGTAATCCTTTTGTAAAAGCCTTTGTTTCGAGCACTCAACTACTACATAATAAATCTCAATCCTGAAAACGATGTTACATTAAAACCACTGTCACCATCTTTCGACAAGGTCTTTAAGAAATCTGAGTGTTCTTGATATGCTTTAATTCAGCCCTGATAAAAACTGCCAGGCCTGCACGGAACGTGCAGCACAGTCACAGCGAAAGCTAGAGAAGCGACATTTCTTAAAGTTCTTTAGCACTCTTGGGGAAACTACAAGTGCACTTACATGGAACCCGCTACAACATCAATCAAAATTTCGGTGAAGTAGGAAAACATACACTATTCCTTTAGTGCTCGTCATTCTTCAGAGAAGCATAGTACCCTCTATACACCTGTAAGACATTATGAGCACCTTGTTTATGCTGCGGCTGACAACAATGCAGCATTATGTGCGAGTCTTTTTGCAGTAGATCGGAGGCATTAAAAGACCCTTTTGTTATGCAATTCATATTGTAAGATTACTTAACCGACATCAAGCCTGCATAGGGTCAGTTTTCTCTGGACTTTGCCACGCAGAGGACCCCCCCCCCCCCCCCCGTAGTAATTGATTTTATTTATTTATTTATTCTTAAAACTTTGAGCGGTAACAGGCGGTGGCGAACAACTACAGTGTCCAAATTGGCCCTTGTTCTGATCTCGTAACAGCTTTCGCTATGGAAGGTGCAGAATGCCTGCAATGTTCGAGTTGTTATTTTCATATGCTGTCCATTACAATACCCACATCCACACTGCAATGAATGAAAAGAACACAGAACCTCTTTGGACAAAATGTGCCATTTTTATTCCAAGAGTCCCCAAGCTTAAGAAACCATTTTCTTTTTACAAAATTGCACAGTGTCATAAAACAATATCGTTTCAATAAAAACTGAAGTTTGAAGACAGCAGCACGTGTTGACAAAATGATAGAACCCACTGCATTTTTCAATGCATTAGAAGAATTTTTTTTTAATGTTTGCGAGAACTTCGAATGGTTACAATTTAAGCTTGTAAACATGCTTTTCGTTCTGATTAAAAACATTTTGCTCGTATTTTGCAGCATACAAGAATAAATGAAAGAAAATGAAGTTTTTCATCAGAGCAGAAATCACAAGATTCGGATCGAAACGTGTAAGTTTGCTGCATTCTGTAATCTTCGTAATCGTAGGCTGTAAACTCGGTAATTGCATGCTGCAATCTCCGTTTGAGGTCCTTAGGAGCATAGAATTAGATGAAATGCCCATTAGTTGCCTAATTTGAGCTTAAGTTCAAGTGTTTAGAAGGACATAAGTTCTTCATTTAATGCAACAAAGCAAGCAATAGTGCAATCATATACAGTATGTCATGTTAGCAATAGGGAGGGTCAGCTGTTGAAATCGGGTGTACTATATACATAGTTGAGCAGGCATGATTGAATTGGGTTGAAAAAAAAAACATACTGCAGTTACATTGCACACATTCAAACGGTACACTGCCAAGTACATCAAACAACATTCCAGTGACATTGTCAGCAGTAAATTTCTCGGACGGTTTCATTTGAGTACAATGCAAACACATAAAAAAAATATTAAAAGGAGAGTTACAAAACAAACTAAAGTTGGCCCCAAGTTGAAATGTGCATGAAAGCTGAAAATAGGGCCACGAGATTAAACTCTGTTGAGGCCATTTAAATTTATTCCGTTATATTATAAAAATAGCCGTATTACAGGGAATGTTGAGCATATATAACATTTATTTTTCGGGGTCCTCTATTTTCCCTAACCAAAATTGCTGGCTAGGGAACCTTCAATTGAATGGCAGCAATATGTTTATCACTTATAACTATTCTTAACCAGACAGATGTCAATGCCTTCTCTAAATGAACGGCACTGACCTCAAGAATTCCTGCTTCGACAAACTAAATGTACTGGTTTACAGCATGAACTCTCGCATCGCTTACATGTTCTGAAGTAACCCTCTTCAGGAATAATTAGCAAAACTTGAAAGCAGCTTAACACGCATCAATTTCATTTGTGTAAGACATTTTAATAGTTGCCATTTACAAAACTGCCCAGTTAAAGTGTTGTAATCATTATGCGAGTGTTAGTGTTCGAGAGATGACAGGATATCCATGTTTTTATATATCATGACTACCACGGGTCAATACTTAACGGTTCAACTTAAAGCAAACCCAACCGATCATGACAGGAGTAATTCTGTCCATGGCACAGGTACACCAGTGTTATACATACGCGCAAACCGCGATTAAAAACCTGGTCGCGGTTAACGCACAATAACACTGAGAAGCTTAGAGCAGTTCACAGATTAACATGAGTAGGTTTTTCTCGCAGATGAACGTGATAATGACAGGTCCATCCTAACCATGACAGGCAGTGCCATTGCAATTACAGTATCGAAGTTCTCATTCACAGCCATGCAATAAAAACAGTTGGCACCCTTAGGGGAGTTTTTCTTTTTGTCCAATGCATACAATTGTACTCATCAGGCTGTTCGCACTTTTTTTTTTTGAAAACGTGGCACTCATCATTCTATAATGTCAAGAATGCCCTTGACACATGATTGAATGTTAACTGAGCGTACCGTGTCTGTGGAATTGCAAGAAAGGGATGGCATGCAAGTTAGATAAAAAATTGTTCTCATGAGTCAAAAAATATCTCTCATAAAGTGCAACATTTTTTAGAGTGCACCCATAGGCGGTGGGTCAAAATGCGCCTGTAAAACAACGCTTGCTATGAGAAAAATTATGTCCGTGAGCGCAAAGAAATTTAGACAAGCGTACCCAAAACAGTTCGTACATGATGAAAGAGTATTCAGTGGAACAGTGCGAAATGATCAACAGTACTACAACACGTTGCGAAAGACAATTACACATACTTTGCACACGTGCACAAGCGTTTACAAGCAAAGAATAAAAGAGCTAGGAAAACTGTCGTTGCTCCTGACACTATTCACTTGCAGTTAAAGCTGAAAATTTCGCTCACTGCACTGCACACCAACTCATTTTCAACATGTCCATTGCGGAATAACAGACATCTACGCAGACTACGTCGAGAGGGCGGTGCAAAGATCACACCAAAACACTGCCATAAGAAACCCTTCCTGAACTCACAGTACACCGAGAGAAGTGTACAAGCGGCACTGCGCAACCCTTACAGTGTCTTTGACGAATTTGACTTCAGTATACACATTCACTGCACTTCCACTAGAATGTTTTACAGCATTCATGATAATGTGAAACTTTTTTGCTGGTACAGTAATGGACCCAAAATGTGCATATGTTTGCTGAAAACATATGCACATAATGAGGTTTCCACAATACCATGAAACAATGAAATGATAGACGCACAACTCGCAATATTTCCAACTGTCATTGTAACCACACAACTGCACATACATCGTAGCATACAGCACAAAACTTTACAGTATTTACATAGTATGGAACAACGCGCGTCAATTGACATCCAGTAAAATGAGCACGCGGGATTCTGACTGCGTGCTAAGGATTCCAATGCTGTTAAAAGCAGCGACGTTCCCTTTTGGGGATAACTCACGTTGCAGGCTGACAAGCATACTCCAAACAGCAATTACAAAGGATAACTAGAAGGACTTCGTGCTACACCTCTGCTTTTTTTCTTTGTTTCGGAATTCACAAACAATGATCTTCTACCACTTTTACGTCATTCGTTTTTCTTTCAAGTTATTTTTCAGACAGCAATAGTGTGGAGGGGTTTACTTGTTAAAAGCTGTTTTAAATAGATTGGCAGGTTCAGGGAGCATTATGTGATGAGTTTCGATGAAATAATAGGAACTGAAATTGATCTCAGGAGTGCGTAAGATTAATACGCAAGAACATGGGCGAGATTTAGGAGGTGTATATTGTGTCCGCAATGGCATTGCATATGTAAAGACGGCACGTTCTGCATGGATAATGCATGCAAAATTTCTGCTCATGCCATGTTACAGATGCAATGCACGATGTATTAGAACTCCCTATCCCTAGTTAGATAAAGTATTCGTCTGTTCTGGTCACCACTCTCCACTGATCTTGCCTCCCACTCCTTAAGTTACAGTGCCCCCCCCCCCCTATTACTCAATGTATAGGGCTGACTTTGTGCCCCCCCCTGGTTACCAGGGGGGGATGCTTCCCCCCCCCCTGCGAGCACGCCTATGCTGACACATCATTAGTCGATGAGCACCGAGAGACAGACACATCATTATATCGATGAGCACTGCTACAAAATGATAAATGCCTTACAAACTTCTAAAAATTATTAGCGAGTACATTTAAAGCCTAAAACTACGCTCCACTTCGTTTTTATTTAGCCTGTACACTGATGGAGACAGCATGTCTACGCACAACTAGGATGCCAAAAACACCGCACCAAATATCTTTTATTTTTGTTTTGGCACATGTGGTTTGGAGCATACTATTTACACCGTGCACACGATAGTACGTGAGAGCACCTTCACTCGGAAGGCCACTGAATATATCTTTACACTCTACGTGGCGATGTTAATCCTCAACCACACAAGATCCATCACAACATCACCGTCACATTTCAAAGGGTGACAGCCATTAGATAAAAAGACAAAAACATATCACAGAACAGTGCACAAGAAAGAAACAAGTAGAAAAAAATATGAGGTCACAAATTTTACCATAGAATATACCCAAAAATTGAAATGGTGCAATAGACACTTCCCATTGCTCAATGCGTGACTGCCCACAGTTAGGCTGTCCATAAACAGGATTTACTGAGCGAAAAATATAATAAAAAAATAAAATTAAAAAAATGAAAACATGGGGTCAAGAGTGGCTTACATGAAATTTCCAAGCTTGCAATCTTTCAAATTTTAGTGAGCTTATAGAAGTGACGTGCATGTCATAAAATAAAGCCATGAGGAATCGATGCGATCATTCACCAATGACTTGCCGTCCTAATTATTACTGTCAGGTACCACAACATCATAATGAATCCTGCGGGCAGGCAAAACTTTCCGGAAAACTCGCGAGACTGAAACCACGCTGAATGCAACATTATGACAGGAGTTGTAATTATTTTTAAAGCAACAAATGAATGCAATGTCAACTGCTACATTGTAAGTGATATGGACAGAAAATTTCACCGCTAAGGGAGCATGAGGAATGGATTCTCGTCAGCTGGCATAAATTATCTACCAAATCTGAGCAGCGAACACAAGTTGGAAGGTAATTTATATGAATTTCGAATCTTGCACGCCCGGTCCAGCACAATATGACGCACGTCGTGGCATTGACACAGTTGCGGCAGCAGCATTGGCATCTCAAAGAAGACGGAGACGCTCGCTCTTGCACGAGGCAGGTGCCACTGCCACAGGCGTTTAGTCGGTCATTAAAGTACTTCCGATCGCAGCGGTCGTGTCAGGCTCGCTCTCTCTGTGGTAAGGCCGAGAATTCAACGGTCTACGAGGTCGCTCATCACCACAACATCGTACAAAGTGTTCTAAGGGTGATCTCCAGGCTTCCCCAATGTCAGCACTGCAAATGAAGTTCGATATGTTCAACTAAATGCATGACATCACGGTCACCACTGTGCTTACACAGTGCTTGTGCCAGCGGTCTACTCTTTAGCGACTGCTCGTGAGTCTGTACTGCGGCGAATGCATGGAAGCCTAAAAGAGAGTCTTAGCCACCAGGTGACGATGATAGCATTGGCATTGCCCTGTACATGCTTCGTGCGAATGAACATGGGCAGGCAATGCAGGCAGCATAAAACCACACCACTGTTCGAGTGCTTTTCGCATGCTGAATAGATGATGATGATGATATGTGGGGTTTAACGTTACAAAATCACCATATGATTATGAAAGATGGCGTAGTGGAGGGCTCCGGAAATTTCGACCACCTGGGGCTCTTTAACGTGCACTCAAATCCGAGCACACAGGCCTACGGCATTTTCGCCTACATCGAAAATGCAGCCTGGATTCGATCCCGCAACCTGCGGGTCACCAGTCGAGTACCTCAGCCATTAGACCACCGCAGCGGGGCACATGCTAGATAGGTGGCATTACTTGCATACAGTGGCTTAAAGCTCTGTTCTTAAAGCTCTCCCTAACCGAAATTGAGACTGGTTGGCAATAAACAGACTGTTGTAAACTACTTGCAAACATTGATATAACGAACCTGGATATAACGAAATATCGTTTTTAAGAAAGTAAACGAAAAATAGTTTTGCAATAGATATAGTGTGGGGAATAAACCTTTACAACGAATTTTTGGATATAACAAAATTATTTTTGTGTAAGATGCTACTTTCTCATAAAGAGATTTGAGTGTACCTGCCATGTGTTGCAGAAAGGGATTTCGCTGCGTTATGATCAATAGGAGTCCAGCAACATATTGTGACAAAAGACTGCCATGCCCTTGAACATTTGCAAATCACATTTTGCACCAAGAGATCTTTACAAATCCTGAAAGGAAGCTTTTCAATGCCATTCTCGAGTCCTTGAGGCACCGAAACCCTGAGTAAAACAACAGATTGTGTTTATCGCTAAACATTCGCAAAACTTAGACGCAGTTCATTGGTTGTTATAAACACTTGGCCTTGATAATTCTTCAAAGAGCATTGTGGAAACGCTTGAACTTCAGGAAAAGAAAGTAACCAATGTTCACTTGAGAAACACAGCCATTACAAACCTTATATTTAAGACAATAATTGCTTTGAATGTTATAAGTGTCGAGGAAGGCTTTTGCAGATAAAGCATCTGCCGGTCTCTGCAATGTCAAGTCATTAAAAAAAATGCATTCGCAAATTGCAGTTCAGTTTAACTAGATCACAGCAGCGGAATTGCTGCATCGATGTGAGAATCGTCACTGATCTCTTTATCTAGCATGCCACATCGAAGGTTCTTGAAATTATGACACGAGGTCTTGTTCTTTTGCACCAGGCGTTTCATAGTTGCTACTTGGGACAGCATAATTTATAAATAGAGTGCAATCCTGTAGGCATTCTACGACAAAGTGAAATACAACACCGCAGAAGTGTGAGAAGGAGCAAACATCGAATAGGCGAAAGGAAAGCACCCCGGGAGTAGGAATCATGTTTTGATCGCGTGCTCAGGGCATAAGTTTTCAGTGTATGAAGTAACGTAGAATTATTATACCTGAATATCAGTATTTGGGGGCATTGATTTTTTAATGCTTGAAACCTAAGAGCATGACAACTTTAATAATTGATTACCGTTAATGTCCCAATTGGGCGCAAGGTGGTGTCGCAATCTCTTGAAACGTTCAGTGAGGCACACTGGTTACTCTTTTTGTAAACTATCGGTGCGTGATTGGTCTATTAGCGAGACACGAACAAGGTTAATTTGATGCTCCCACCCCAGTGCTGACGTTTTGATAGAATCCGAGTCCTCCGAAGATAGTTCTAAACCTATTCTATTAAATGGAACGGCATCATACGTTCTGTGCCCCTTCTTTACTTAGAAGAGGACAAAATGATTGTCGCCACTGCCTTTTCTGGTCGCTGTTCTCACGTTTGACTGTCAGACAAGGTCTTGACTAATCCTGTTCGGTGCGACAGAACATTTTATCATACAACGCACACAAGGTTGCATTCCCATTGTGATGTGCAGAATATCTTTGGTACAAACATGTAATGCTTCACTGTAATAAAAATATCAGTTAATTTAACAGTGCTCTTCAAATCTTCAAGATTATTCAAGATTTTGATGAAGCTTGCCGAGTCTATGTACACTTGGGTGCTGATATCAAATATGAAATTATTTTTGTAACACAGCATGTAGTTTTCAATATATCAAACGTTTCATGTGCCTTTTCGAGAGCGAGATTTTCTAAACTGAGAGCTAAGAAGTAAATAAACATAGAACAATAATCTGGAATGAAAACTGCATGCATTAAAATAAGAATTAATGTTTAAACACATTTGAACAAACATTATGGTATGTTGAACATTTGTGAGTGAGTTGACGTCGTGCTGGGATTTCGCTAAAACACAAGTTCCGTTCACCTGGTAAGAATATATTGTTACTAACGACAAAAGTCAAGGGCGAAATTAAACAGACACTAAAGAGAAAAGGCTCTCCTTTAGCGTTTCTGAAAAATGTATACTGCCTCTCAGCGTACCATTTTCCATTTCCTTAACTAACACACATTGAACACATTGAATAGGGCTTGTAAAACTTATCGGCACCAAATTTCATACTTCTTGCCTGAATGTCAAAAATATCGCATCTTTAAACATTATGCGAAGTCCGGTATGTGGCCCCGAAATAGGAAAATTCTCAATTTCAACTGTGGCGGATTGCTGTTTATTAAAGAATAGAAAAAGAATGCATGTTTCTCTAGTACTGACAGTTGGGCATGTTTCTCTAGCAAGGAATTGGCCACGGCTGGTCGATTAACAGCCCTGCTGTTATAAAAACAATGTTCTTCATGCGGCCGTGATCCCGAGTGCAATTTTTCACCCAATTCTTACTACCATGGGCGACTATGACCACGTTTGAATGAGTGAGGTAAAAAGTGTGTGTCACAAAAGCGGACATCCTTCGCAATTTTTCCCAGAAACAGAAACTACCCATGCAAGAAAAAAATTCATGGCACGTACAACTGCATCGTTTTGTCAGAAAATAATTCTCCTCAGTGCCGTAAAAGGGAACCATAAAAATGCAGGTTGTATTTTTACGGTGCCAGTCAGTGCACACGTATCCGGACAATATGCGGCACTCTCACAATTTTGGACCCCAGCCACTATAAGCGCGACTGAAATATCTGAAGTGTTTAAATAAAGCAGCACACAAACTGTATTGCTGCACAGTTCCGTTTGGCAACGTTCAACCTCTCCGAGCCGTGAACAAATTCACTTCACAATAGGGCAGACAGACAGTTTCACCGGACGCTTCGACGGGTCACAAGTGGGTAAAAAACTCGTCTTGCCCGACGTGGGATGTTTCGGTTGAGTCGTGCCGGCTTCTTTCTCCTCCTATTCGTCGTCCGACAGCCCCTTGAACTGAGTTGAGCGGATAGTGATCCTTGTACTGCTGCAGGTGCTGCCTCATCGTTTCCCACTGCTGCTGCAGCGTGTCAGGCATCTCTCGGTAGACGTCCGTGAACATGTACTTCACGGGTGGCTTCTTCAGTTTCTCAGCACGTGCAAACGCCTGCATGATCTGGAAACAACAGGAGTAGCTCGACGTGCTTAGTTCGTCATTATTTCAGTCGCACACAGAACGCGTTCTGCGGCAAAGTCATGACACTCATGAAAGGAAAACGCATTAATGGGAACATGTCCCTTTGTTATGCATGCCATGAAAGGACTCAAACTTCAATATAACAAACTCGTATATAACGAAATATCAGTAAGGTAGAATAGTCTTGCAATAGATACAGTGTTAGGAATAGGTAACTTTAAAAACGAATTTTTGGTTATAACGAACTTATTTTTTTTAAGATGCAACTTCATAATGAGGTTTGAGTGTACCATCTATTTCGCCATGTAACTGCAATGTTTTCCTCTATTATGCTCGTCACAGAATATTGTTTTGGAAGTTGCCAGAAAATTAGTCAAGCAGCCCACAAAAGTCTTTCCAACAACATGCCTTGATCATTTCATCATCCTGTTTTTTTTTTTTTTCTCACTGCATCATGAAGGCCTCTCCCGATGATTTCTCGTCCATCTTGTCCACCGCAGAGGCAGATTCTATTTCTTTTCGTCGGCACATTTCTTAATTTAGTCTCTCTAACTTGCCATCCCGAGCAAGATCAAAGGTTCTTGAATGAGATTCCAATGAAAGTGATTAGTGAGAGCTGCACTCGATGGATTATCTGGCGCAAGGAAGCGAAACATCGTCCAAAAATGAGCAGCGCTTTTTATAAACACACCCAATATTGTAGTGAATCTCTTAAGTGTACGGCTGAAAGAAAAAAAAAACATTATGCTAGCATTATGGTACCAAATTTTACCGCACCACTGGTCACTACCAACTTTCGCAGAGTGGTACGACTCTAACTCTTTAGTCTCTAATTCACGGGCTATGAAAAAATAAGAAAAAAGTTATAACCATCTCTCGCTATAGGGAACCATGTGTGGATGCGAAGCAGCGGGGAGATGGTTCGTTTGAGCAGGCGATGGTGCACTTCATTGAGAGCTTGCGCTAACGTGGACACTAGCGGCGGCGGCGTTGACTCTAACACTCATCGCGGCGTTGCGCAGGAGGGAATGAGGCATGTGCACTTGGCCATTTTATAGCGCGAAACTACCATGGCGCCCCCAGCCGAGTATACAGCTGTTGCACCACCTGTCGTGGGCGCCGCTTTGTAGAGCAGAGGATTCCTAAAGGAGAGAGAGAGAGGGCAAAGGGACACGCTTGCGCTGTGGGAGCGTGGACGCCATGGGAAGGAAGGAGGGAGGGACAGTCTCAGCCCTCGCCATAAGCTGCCTTGCATCTAAAATTTTGCAGTCACCTGCTTTTTGGTCTCGTTCTTCCACTGTTCCTCCTTGGTGTCGTCCCAGATTCCACGGTAAACGAGGTAGTTTCTAAAGCGAGTGATGGGGTGGTCATTCCGGTCCCAGGACCGAACCTCGTCCACAGACCGGTACGCCGAGCTGTCATCTGATGTGCTGTGATGACCGATTCTAGAAACGAGGAATAGCAATGAAATCAGCTGTAAGACGTTTAAAAAATACTAATACAACAACGATAATAAAGCATCATTAGATTTTTTAGCTAACCTCTTCCCCTCCCCCAGAACAACTATTAGGGTGCTGCCCTAGCCTTGCACTAGGAAGGATTTGTTATCACAGGCGGTTGCTTCTTTGTAAATATGAATAAGTTGCATCTGTATCAATACCAGTGTCAATACCTATATCAATGCCCGTGAGGTGACATGCTGCCCGTGCGTCATTAACATAATGCAGTGAAGCCTGTCTCTTTTTTCGCAGGTGTTAGATTGACCACAATATTGTTTTTTTTTTTTTGTGGCACTGAGAGCAGTGAAGCCTGTCATTCTGCCTGATCTGGCGAAGAAGTGGGACTAGGTATTGTTGGATAACATAACCCTCGGGGCCGGCAATCTATCAGGCAAAACAAACAACCAACTTCTGATTACTTACACTAATCCAAAGTTCCTAGCATCCTGCTCTTTGTATGTTTTGTTAATTGAAAAACCCATTGAAATGTGAAAATTTTCCCAGTCTTAGTGAATCTAAATTAATGAGGGTGCCCTGTGCCTTTTCATTGTGTTCATGATGAAATGCCGTCAGCCCGTTACAAATGCTTCAGGTGTATCAAACGAAAACTGCAGGTGAGAGCATGAGGAGAAAAAAAGGCATAAACACCACCGGGACTTACTGCTACATACCTGTAGGTCATGGCCTCTATGAGCACAGGTTTGCACTCCTCAACTGCAATTTGGCGAGCAGCTTTTGTGACGTTGTACACTGCCAGCACATCGTTGCCGTCAACACGTATCGAGGCGATGCCGTAGCCGGGACCCCTTGCGACTGTTTGCGAATGGGGAAGGAAATTATGGATAAGTTTCCAATGAGATCGTTGAAAGAAACGGAGTATTGTCACAGCATATGCGAGAAAGCTGCACAGCTGGAGGAAAAATTACAATGTCCAGATTTCTACTCTTTCTCTAAACCATTAATGCATAAATTGATTCAGCTTGTCTGCAATTGAGTTTGTTTTTTTTTTCCTTAAAATAAAAAAAGCAAACTATCATTGCGAAAAGTAATGTTAGCTGGAACATGTAGGCAAGGCAACACACTTTGCAGCAAAAAAAAAAAAAAAAAACATAGAACTGAGACACACAGAACAAATGCCGACTTTTTGAAGAAAAAGCCAAGCTCTCTTTGTCCAATATCGCACTTTCTTTTTTTTTAATATGGAAACACTGCCACTTCATGTCGAATATCTCACACTTGGCCATCTGACGACTTGCACCATTTAGAAGTGGTGGGTCGCTCTGCTTCGCCACCAACAGAAGAAATTAAAAGGGGAAACCTGTGCACGTTTTGCATAGTGTCGAATAGACCTCCCCCTCCCTTATTAAAAAAAAACAATTTGACATAGGTGACCCATTGAGGAATGGAGCCTCAACACCTCTTTTCAAAAATCAGCTTTTTTTCTCTAACCATTAGGCCAAAATCACATGCACACACTTCTCTCATGTCAACTACAGCTATATTTTACTCCTCCACTCTCTGTGTGTAGCATCACTCTACATACATGCGCCCGGCAGCTGTCTGACTGATAAAGTATAAGCAGCCATGCAACCATTTCAATCTACATCTTTGACCAGCAATGATGAAGGGTGGTAAGCAGCATGAGCACGCAAACCTCATCCGTAAGAGCGGTGCTGTATGTAGGTGTTTCGTTGCTTGCTCGTTCGTTTGCAGTGCTGAATCCTCGGATTTTTATTGTGCTATGGGGTCCATCACGACTGAGAAGGCGACTAACGCGGACATAGAGAACAAGGGGGACGCATGACGCAGCGTTATCCTGTGATGGATCCACAACAGCTCGCCTAGTGTTCCATCTTGCTATGTGGTGACTGATATTATATGAATAATATCACAGGACAGGACCCCCGGTGTCATTGACAAAATTTCATGCGCTGAGTTCCCCTCTTCGTATATCGGCGAGACGAAAAACCTACTGGAACGATTAAAGCAACACGCCAACGATGTGTGGAAGTTCTACAAACAGTCACCAAACATGCTGAGACGGATTACCAGATAAATTTCGAAGCGACGGCCATCCTTGAAAGCGAGCCGAACTGGAGGAGAAGGTTGTTACTCGAGTCGTGGCACATACAGAGGACAGCCCATAACATCAACCGCTTTCTCGGAACCCTTCCCCCAGTGTATACCCATGGACTGCGCTCCACGGCAAAACGAGAGAGAGAGAGGGGTCATTATCCACCCCGCGAATGCTTTGAAGACGCCGCTGCTACGTTGCCTCCCCAGTCACCCCTGAGAAAGGAACCAAGTCGGTCTCGAAACGTCGGGTTTCTTCAAAACTTTTGGTTGGAGTCTAAATCATCTCCCTGATATTATATGCATGTTCTTTTTTAATGCAATTCTCTGTCATTAATCAGCACCTATCCTACATGCATTGACAACAAATGCATGTCCTTGTTATAGGTAAAAGTGTTTGATTATGAATGCCAATCTGAAGATAAACGAAAGTTACGACTTCAAAAGAGTCATACCACAAAAAGATTGTGCACGTATTTATAAGACGCTTGAGGAAAGGCTGCGGAAAGGCTGCGGCTGTTCGATGAGTTGAGTTATGGACGCTGTGACAACTTGGAAATTCCGCGCAGAGCAGTCTCAGAGTAGCCGTAGATGATAGCAGTATCTACTGTTCAGAATTGTTAACGGAACATTCGAGTGGGTTTAACTAAAGTTGTACTACTTTTCCTTGCAGCTTTATTTATTATGGCTGGCATTATAAACCATACAGCACAGATGCACAACAAAAGCTTTCTGCATAATGGAGCATATGACAGCTGTATAATTATTGAGACAGCATTTAAAAGCCGATAGAGAGCGACTAAGTATATCAAGTAAGAAGCTTTCACTACTGACTGCTGCTTGAAATACATCCTTTTAAGGCATTTTGGGGGATTTTTTTTTTTGATTCCTCCACAGCAATCAAGAGAAGCTATGCACAAGAACATAAACAGTACTCACCAATTCCATCCCCTTTGTACTGTTCATGGGCTGGGGTTGAAATGGCATAGCCATTGTTTCGGCTGTGAATTAACAAACAAGAAAACATTACACACTGTTAGCGAAATTATCCTGCAAGAATGTTACCATAATTAAAGACTCACTGGAAAAAATCAAACAATAAATCTTTCTTTAGAGGAACTCAAATGTCACAGCCTGGTGCTAAAACGTGTAAACAGTTAGTGGTAGTCAAACTGATCATTAACATTTAATTTACGACTAGCTCCTCTCACATGCACATGCCAGCATTCTTTCAAAGCATTCCTTCAGCTTTGCTCACCAAAAAAAGATGACCGGACAGTCCAGAGTGGCGGCAAAATTGAGGGCAGCATGCGCATCGCCTTCGCTGGCAGCGCCTTCACCAAAGTAGCAGACGACGCAGTTCTTCTTCTGAGCGAGCTTGAACGCATACGCAGAACCCACAGCTGTGACAAACGTAGAAAGAGTGATGACAGAGCACATTAAAATGCCCGTTACAGCTCTTCCCCAATAGGTGATTCACTAATGTAACAGAGAAGCAATGATAATGAGTTACCCTGGGGCATCTGTGTGGCTAGCGGTGAGCTGATCGTGACGAAGTTGTGCTTATCGCTGCCATAGTGCACGGGCATGCCCCGTCCTTTGCAGTCGTCCAGCTCGTTGCCGTAGCACTGGCCCATGAATTGGGCCAGTGGATAGTCGCGCCACACCAGAACTCCTGCAGCATTTAGGAGAAAAAGTTACTCTTACACGAGAGAAAGTTAAGGACCATGTAACGCATGACGTAATGGAAAAATGTTAGGCTTAAAATCAATGGAATTTGTCACTGGGCTAGTTGGTTCATAATGTTGAAACAACAGAGATCAAATTCGGTATGGGACATTTGGTAGGAAAATTCAGTATGGGACATTCTGTGCCGTTTGTGGCTCCTTATGTTTCATACCGCATTTTCACTCTGCCGTTTAGCATAGCACTATGGACACAAAATGGGCTAGACAAAAAACGTGGCAGGTGATATTCCAACTAATATCAGGCGAAATAAATGAACCTGGGTTGGCCACTTAATGAACAAAAGGAAAATTGGCGGCCAGTTGTGGCAATGAAATGGTTGCCAAAGTTAGCAGACCACTATTCCAGGTATTTATTTCTATGAAATGTGGCCTGTGAAACTTCTCACCAGCACTGTACCTGCGGTACACTGACAGTGGCACATATTGGCTACGCACATAACCGAACGTGGATGCAAATTTTATTTATTTACTTTTTCAAGGGGTTATTTAAAGCGGTTGTAAGCGGTTATTTAAAGTTGATATGGAAGGTGATCACGATGATGGTTACAGGAATGCTTAGAGCCAATACTTATAATAAGCTAACTGATATTTTTAGTTACACAGTAACAGTTAAGAAGACCTTCACACGCTGCTTTCACAAACTTCACTGCACTATATGTAGCATAAGAACAAATGAAGAGTAGCTGTTTAAAGGCACTTTTTTTTGTTATACACAAACAAACAAAGCCAAAAGACAATTAAGCAAAGAAAAGCACGGAGGGTGCCATGCTGCATTTTAAGTGTCATGTAATAATTGATGTAATTTATTATGCTACAGTTATGTTGTAATCCTATTTATTACACTCCATATGAAAATTACCAATGATGTCCCAATGCTGCTCAATTGTCGATAGGCTACATTTAGTTGAATATGTTGCATAACAGAGGCAACAACCCTTGTAGCTAAAGCGAAAGTTTGTCTTCTGAAATGCCACTCAAGAATGCCAATGCTAATGGGTGCTTACGTCATCAGTGAGTCTCTCCATCTGGCAGCAGGAATACAGGATACGTACCTGCTTCTCGGTACTGTCCGTAAATGAGGTCGTTGTTGTCGAGCGCAGCGGCGCTGCCAAAGTGGGTGCCCTCCTCGCCAAAGTTGGTCATGTAGAAAGAGATCCGGCCCTGCCTTTGCGACTCGTACAGGATTCGGTCCATACTGTTCAGCAGTGTCATCCCGCTGTACATCTTTAGCAGCACCTGCTCCGACAGCTGTTGGGTGAAAAATTCAAAATGTGAAGCCTGTCTAAGAGTGTTGCAGTAAAAGCTGGTTAATTTGAATTTCAAGTGATTAGAAATACCCTTCGAAATAACTGAATGCTAAATAATTGAAAGTGTTAACAAATGCCTGTTTCATCAATGCAATTTTATTTTCTTGAATATGCAAATCTAGTAAATTGCATGAAAACAGTGCAAAAGTTGTAATTATCACCATGTGACACTTCGTTCACAATGTGAACATGGCTCAAGACTCCTTGCCTTCAGCAGAAATGTGTTTACAACGTATTAACAATGTGGTGGTGGATGGCAGCCACGTCTTTCTCAAAACCCTGGGCCATTACGGCTGTCCGCGAGCACCGTTTTCTCTGCTTTGCATCGGATATTTGTATTGCCTCATGTCACGCTCCGATGATTATTTGAGTTTAAAAAATCATGGCCAAATATGACAAAATTAACGAGAGTTTGATGTCACTGAACAATGTATACGCTGACCGGGACAAGAGATTATGTTCGGATTATGCGATTTTCGGAACGAATGAACGTCGAGTCAGTGGGCTTTTACTGTAAATGACGTAGTTGGTTGTGCATAACTGCTTGAGACATATTAATGCAAGAAATAAAAAGGCGAACACTTTGTCTTCTTGTGTTTATCATTTTATTCACAATTATTCCTTGCACTAATATGTGTCAGCCAGTGAAATTTCTATCCCAGCATATTCTTGAATCTTTCACGATGTACTTTCTAATTTATTACTAATTTATAGTATAGTTGTGTACGAATTGTACTTATGTGAATCTTTGTGTACTTGTCTATACTACTTAGTAATTATGACCAACAACAGTTCAAGCCTGCTAAAAATGTTTTTTGATTGGACGAGGTGAAAATCGTCTAGGCTGTCAGCCAACTATTTCTGTATTAAATTTTCCAAATCAAGTAATAATGAATGTTCTCTTTTTTGAATGAGCCCTTCCACAACCTAGCAGGTCTCCGCAGAACTCCTTTCATTATTTCATAAATACGTACATGAAACAAGGCCGTTATATATGACATTGCAAACATCTGCATTCACATCAAAGAGACTAAATAATCATCGTTCATTCACGCGCATATACGGTAAAACATACATTTTTAACTCATCTGCACTCCCCTGTGTCATCCGCATGTGGAACAGCCTTCCAGATGAAATCGTAGCTGAACCCAATCGAGAAAACTTCCGGCACCTTCTACTCACCCATTTCCAGGATTAACTGCTCGTTTTATTCATATCGAAATCGGCACCTAAGCGTTTATTCACTACTAGTATCTCGTTTTTTTTCTCTTACTCTAATCTTATTTTGTTTGATGGTTTGAATACTAACATGCCATTCAGTTCTGTTTTATTCAGTGATGCTTTATTTTGAATAATGGAAAGTCTTTTCACAATTCGTGCTTGTTTTTTTTTAACTTGTTTTACGTCATTATCTCATGCGTACACTCATCTGATGTTCATTGCCCTTCTATTCCCATTAAAATTATTATTAGTATTTTCTCATTGTTATTCCTGTTAGGACTTGTATAATAATTGACAATTAGTTCATGTTATTGTTTGTATGGAAATTGTACCAATTCGTGTATGTAATTCTTTTATGCTCCCCTTACACAATGCCCTATTGGGTCTGTAAGGTATTTTGAATAAATAAATAAAATAAACTCATTGGCGTTCTTAAAGGGGCCCTGCAACACTTTTTCAGCATGGTGAGAAAATGCTGCCGATCGGTAGCAGAGGCTCCAGACAACACGTGAGCCAAATATTGCACGTGGCCTGAAATTCACAATAAATGATCAAAGCCAGCTAAAAATTGCTTTCTCTTCTCTCGACAAATCACAAAATTTACCCAAAAATCACATGTAGCAAGCCCATCTATCAGCCATTGGCTGATTTGAACATGGCGCGCTCGCTTGTTATAGAGATCGCCGCAGAAGGCCGTTACTTGTCCACGCGTGCGTGGGCGATCACACTGAAAGGACCATGCATTCGAAAAACAAAAAAAAAATTAAAAAAAAGTGCTCAGGGTCACGAGGGGTGCGGGACGTTTTTCTGTGCTCTGCCATCCCTCCCTGCTTAGTTTCCAGCGGTTTCGTCAGGACGAGAGAAGAGAGAATGCAATTATACCATGGGACAAACATTTTTGACTCCACTCGCACTGGACAGATTTTTGCATTTTTTTGCGGCGTTGAATTCGTGAGGCAATAAGCTCTTCCAGTGAATTCATTCCATGGTTACTTAAAAAAGTGTTTCAGGACCCCACTAAGAATGGACTAAACGAAAAGCTGTAATGCATAAACTTTTTTCTCTACACATTAGATATGCTGCTCAGTGAACGATATGGGGTCTCGATAAAGAGGCCACACTCTCTGAGCAAACGGACACAGCAGACGCAATCGAACCAAACAAAACCAAGCATTTATTTAGCTACTTTTACATTGACGATCTCGAAAGCTGAATCCTATACATCACTTGTGATCAATATGCTACACAACCATATACACTATTCCAATACACTCAATCAAGCATAAGAACAAACACAAGGTAACGCAAAGGTGGTGTCGCCAAGGCTCGACTCACTACCGGGGGCCCACGGCAGACGGCCCATGGTGCCATCTCTTGGACCCATTGCGAGACACAACCGCTCATGCTAGCCGCCACGTGCCGAGAGCCTCTCATGTCTTTATGTGCCACCATCCAGCCTCGGCGCCAGGCGTCACTGCTGGCACTACCGCGCTAAAACCAATGACGATGATGATGGTGAACTCTGCGCCATCCGTCACCCAGTAGTTGTTAACCCTAAATGTGGCCCATCCACGAGACACCTGTGTGTCACGAGGTGCAAACGACTTTACAGGCAGTGATAGCACCCCCACAACGAGAAGCGAGTTCAGCTTGTACCCTAGCAAAGCCAGTTGTACTACTCACGTAATCGAGTTTGAAAACTTGTGAAGTTTCGGCGGAAATGACACGTTAATGGGTGAAACCATCGAGGACATTTGTCGAGAGCAGATCAGGCAAAGCTAGAGAAGAATGAGGCACGAAAACACTGCTCTCGTCCTCTCAAAGTGCTTGCCTGCAGCGTAACAGGGTGTGTCGAGCGTGTCAGGTCTTTACATGTTCGGATAAAGAAGCACTGAGAGCTGTAACTTATGTATTCGTATCTTTATGCCACCTGGCATACAGATGTCCATGTCAAATTTCATTATCCTTTTAATTCTTAGCTACATATAAAAAAACAAAAGCCACCTTGTATCTGTGATATACGTGTCGTCTGCCACTTTAAATGAAACAAGGCCATCAACCTTCATGTTTCTTGCAGGTGGAGAAAATAATACAGCTCAATGTAGCAAATAGGGCGTAATAGCAGGCCTGCAGAACAGAGCTTGCGACAGAGAGCGACAGTGGCCAAAGCTTTCACAACCCCACATAGTAGACACGTAAACTTGACCAATTCGTGAAATCGCACACGGAAAATAAAGGTGAAATAAATGTGCAGATGTCAGTGCATGCTGACACACATTTTGATTAGTGAGTGTTTAATTTTGACTAGTGAGTGACGAATACATACAAAAAAGAAAAAGCCAGCTAGCATCTGTAATATATGTTGTCATGTGCCACTTTAATGAAACAAGCCATCAACCTTCACGTTTTTATTTAAAACAAGGTGAAATAAATGTGCAAATAACTATAATATCAGTGCATGCTGAAATACACTTTGATTAGTGAGTGTCTAATTTTGACTAACGAGTGGTGAATTTGACTACCGTTTCTAGCTGATGGCACTAAGAAGGTGCACAGATAATGCTACTACCTTTTCTTTAGCACCTGGTTCGCTCATTTCAAGAATGATTGTTCTTTCCTAGCTCGCTTGTGATAAATCGAAAGAAATCAGCGCATTTCGCTTAGGGCTCCTTGATATGGTGGTCACCAGGAATAAGTGACCAGCATGGTGGTCACCAGGAATAAGTGACCACCATGCTGTCGTCGCCATTGCCCAAACGAAAAATTAAAAACAAACGAAACAGGAGAGGAGAACGGTGTACCTCTATGACAAAGGTGATTACGCTAGCATATCAAGAAAGCTTCTCGATCATCTGCCGCTTTTTGAATGTCTCTCAGATGACTGTGACGTACAAGAATTATGGGTTAAGTTTAAACAAAAAATCAAAGAGCTTACTGAAACCTACATACCCAATATCAAAAGCGGTAGACTTAGAAAGCGAAACAAACCTTGGATGACTGCTCGTATCTTAAGAATAGTAAGGAAAAGAAGGCACATATATTTAAAATATAAAAGGACTAAATGCCATCGGCACTTTGAAAGCTTGAATGATGTGACTAGAGAGTTTAAGCTCAATATAACGGTGGCTAAGCGGCACTATCTTGAAAAACTCGGAAACAAAATAAAAACTAATTCAAAGGCGTTCTGGCAATACATGAAAGGCTATGGAGCAGACCCCTCGCGAATCACCAAAATTGTCTTCAATAATGAGGAGTTATTAGACGACACTGAGAAAGCTACCTGTTTAAACAACTACTTCCTTTCCGTATACTTGCCGAAATATAGCTCTAGTGCTCCGCAATGCACAAGTTCCGTGCCGAAAATGCAATCAGTAGAGTTAAGTGTGAATGGAATTAGGGCATTACTAAACAAACTTACCGATAATAAGACAATTGGACCGGACGGAATTTCATCTTGACTCTTAGAGCAGTGTGCTGAGTCAATTTCTCTTTACCTGCACGTAACCTACACAAAGTCTTTGTCCTCCGGTGCCCTCCCAGACGACTGGAAAATTGCACATACAGTTCCTATTCATAAAAGTGGGTCCAAGAAAGACGTAACCAACTATAGACCTATTTCACTTACGTCCATACCCTGCAAGTTATTAGAGCATATTCTGTATAAAGAAATAATGGCACATTTATCAACAAACAACTTGCTGGCGTCTCAACAACATGGTTTTCGTAAGGGCTTATCTTGTACAACACAAGTAATTGAATTTAACCATGATTTAGTATCTGAAATAGACAATAGCGGACAAATCGATTGCCTTTTCCTGGACTTCCAAAAAGCTTTCGACACTGTGTCGCACTCTTTTCTTTTAAGTAAGCTTGCAGCGCTAAACATTGACCGCGAAGTTCTGGTGTGGATAGAAAATTACCTTTCAGGCCGCCAACAGTGTGTAGTATTAAATGGCAAAAAATCAAGTTTTGTAAACATCAATTAAGGGGTGCCACAGGGCTCAGTCCTAGGGCCACTTTTATTTTTAATATATATAAATGACATTTTCTCAGGAATTGATTCTAATATACGGTTGTTTGCAGATGACTGTGTATTGTACAGAAAAATTAGAAATGAGAGTGATGTCGCCCTGCTCCAAAGCGACTTATCGCGTATCCAAGAATGGTGTTCAAGGTAGAAAATGACATTAAATGCCAATAAATGCATTCATGTTACTTTCACGCATAAAAAACCAAGTTAGCTTCAGAGTATGTAATCTGTAATAGTATAGTAACACAAAAACCGCATTATAAATATTTAGGTGTAACTTTTTCAGCCGACTGTTTCTGGAATGCACACGTTGATTCAGTTGTTGCGAAGGCCGCCAAGTCACTAAATTTTATACACCGCAGCCTGACACAAGTGCCGGCATGTTTGAAATCAACGGCGTATTCAACATACATTCGCCCTATGCTTGAATACGCCTGTGCCGTGTGGGACCCCTGGCAAGGTACTTTAAGTTACAAACTTGAAAAAATACAAAATAGAGCTGCAAGGTTTGTCCTAAGCCGGTACTCAAGAAATGACAGTTGCACCAATATGAAAAATGAACTAGGGTGGGAATTACTCTTATCGCGTCGAAAGAAACTGCGGCTAAAGCTCCTGTACCAAATATTTCATGGTAAAACCGGCATTCAAAAAGAAAAGTGCCTTCACAGTCCTCATTATATCTCTTCGCGAAATGATCATTGTTTCAAGATTTTAGAGTACTGTACCAGATCTAATTTGTATGCTAATTCGTTTTTTGTTCGTTTCATTAGAGAATGGAATAACTTATTAAATGAACAAGTGTGCTGTATTAATGAAGATGTGTTTTTCTCGACATTGCAACCCCCCTGCTGCAGCGCCTTCGGGCTAAGCGGGGTTAATCATTGAATAAAGAATAAAGAAATATGAAACCCGAAGCTTTGAAGCCGACTTTTTTTATGTGATTAGATATGAAAGTACGACAGCTTAAAGTTACATTGTTCGGTTCTACTTCACGTCCTCAGGCACAATAGTCATTCGTCACGCTGCGCAAATTACCTGGGGATCCTCGGAGGGTACAATGGGCTTCCCGTCCCGGCTGAGCACACGGTAGACGGGAAACCCTTGGGAGACAACATGCGTGCGGAACTCGATGCTCTCGGTCCAGTCACACTTGGTACCCAGGTACTGCGGACGGCTTGTGTCGTCCAGCGGTGGCACTGAGGAGCTGCTGTCTTGCTGCTGCTGAGGCCATTGTGGTCAGAAAAGAAAAAAAAAGTTAGAAGCCCTTCCTCTATCAGGGATATGGGGGCAAGTGATGCGTGATGCGCACCTGTCTGGTATACTATGTTTCTTTTTTTCTTTTCTGTCGATCACACTGTCCAATGCTCCCTTCGAGCTTTTTTTCCTTCTGCCATGTTGAGAAGTGTACCTTCACTCAAGCGCCTATAGACCATTTCACTGTTTGTCAACACAAGTCCTGGATGGCTTCAGGTTTTGTGCGCAGGCGCAGCCTAGTAGCATTGGCAGTGATCAAGAGCACTCGCGAGTAGCCCGCTAATTTTCAACAGTTTCCTCCCAGTGTTTGGCCAAATATCTCATACATTTTTTTTCTATACATAACGTTAGAAGAGTTAGTCCTCAACTAGTAGCGCCTTCTTTTTAACTGAAAAAAGAGTATGTCCTTACTTTACACAACTTATAAAACAAGTTTTCTCTTTCGATATCAGAGAGTGATAAATGAAGTGACCAGACGTTTCTTGAGAAGCCACACGTGTTGCGGCTATTGCAATGTTGAAACCCACCGAAAAGGCAAATACCAGTGCAACACTTGCGTTGCTGCAGGCGACAAGGACGGTTATGTGTGAGCCATAGAAACATAGCAACCAAAAAGGCAGCAACGTGAAATTACGAGCGACTTTGATAAAAGATAAAATTTTCATATAAAAAACAATGGATAGCCCACGATAGAAAGAGCGTCACTTATTGAAAACCAGTGTGTACGGTTATGTGCGTGATTGATGCACTTATGAGGGCCCATTTTGTGTACATTCCTGTACACTCTTTCCGTGAGAAGATTTTTTATGAATTGTGCGGCCATGGCCACAGAAGTCTGCAACTCACAGAAGCTTTGTTTGAAAAGCTTGAAGAGACCAACGATAGAAAAATAAAAGGGCTGAGTGCACATACAGGACCGAAAAGGTTTTATTTAAGATTCACATAGTGTGTCGCACTTCCAAGGTGTGTGGAATTCGACGTGACTGCTTGTTATTGTGCTGGAAAAGTTTAGATTAAGAAACCGGAATTTATCTGTCACTGTATACGAAGAGCTTCACAAAATCCATCTCACCATCATGCTATGTCCCATACATAAACTCGTTTCTCCATCACATGCAAACCATTTTTGTTTGTACACAGTTTTCGTAATAATAAATATCATGTTTATAGATGCTGCATAACTGTATGTACATTCAATCACTAGCACTTCTGTTTCAGGCAACATTTTTTATTACTACTTCAGTCATAGCAAAGATTCCAACAACACAAATAAAACCCTGTAAACCTAAGCTTATTTAATGATAACACTAATAAGTTTTTAGAGCAGCTTTAAATAAGAAGGGCTATAATTGCCTTGCCAGTGTGTTGCTTGCCTGGTATTTTCTGTTGTTTTTTTTTTGCTAAATGACATATTGAAGCTGACAGGTGCAACATTTTCTGACGCGAAGTGCCAGCCTAGCAGAACAATGCCTAGTTTTTGTATATTTAATTTTTGCTCGCATCTGAAGTGCAGCAATATTCACCTGCAAAATACCACAAGATAGATATGACAACAAAGTTAGGCCAACAGTTGAAAAATTTCGGTCCACAGCATCTATAAATCAATCACAGTGGCCGAAATCTATTTCGCCTCTACAAGCGTTTGTCTTTTCAGGCCACTCTGAAATTTATTCCAGTCATACCTCTACAGACACCACCTTATATTTTTGAAGCAATTATATGGTTAACCTTATACAGTAACTTTAATGAGCAGCTGATCACATGCTGACCTTCACAACTTTTTTGCCGTGACACCGTTTATGCAATATAATTGGTTACACACTACGATTCACAGAATAATATTACATTCACAGACTAATAATGCATGGTTTTTAGCGATGCAATATAACTAGCAGATGTGTGCAAACAATCCGTGCGTCACAGTTGTGCTGAAGCTTATCGGTCCATCGCATCTAGGCAGTTTCAAACGAGTATAGTTAGAAGTGATGCTCATAACAATGTGCTGCGATGCACTGACTACCACTGCACTTAAAGCATGCTTACGCCATGAAGGCATTCTTGTCAGTGGAGCTAGATCATTCAGTTGCTAATGAAATTCCACAACAGCAGTAAAACAGAATACGGTTTGACCACAATAGTAGAAGCTGAGTCATTATGTTAACATGAGCAGTTGGGTTGGTGCATATTACTCTAGTGAGTCAGGCTTGATGCAGCATAGCAGAAAACCTTAAATGTTTAACAAGGCAGACTTCCGTGAGCATTTTATTAGCATAAATTAAAATGTTCATAAGGTATAATTGACATGAATACTAAGTCTGCATTTAAATTTACGTGACCATGTTGTACATGATCACTTGGTAGCTATTTCAACTCTTCAAGTACTAGTTCCAAGTGTGCCTTCCTAACACGAATTAAGGTTTTGTTCCAAACACAAATGAACATGGCAAAATGTTTGCCCTACTACTGCATGTGACCGTTCAGACGTTTGCTAAAAATAACTGATGTTATTTAAAACAGGGGTTGACATTAACCGTTTCTTCTTACGCTAACAACTGAATCGGTGCGCAACGACCGACCATCGTGTATTCAAACCAGAAGACGGCGTCGTGGAGCACTAAAAAAAAAAAATGGTGCAGATGTTCTGCATCTAAAATGCACCAACAGAGTGTCGATACAGCCAAAGAGCAACGCTATTGTTGAATTGGGTGCATGAAGCCTTGAGACTCATTACCGACACACAACTGGCACAGCCTAACAGTTCCTTCTGCTTCTTAACAAGTGGCCAAACAGCAAACTATAGCGCACAGCTGGACTGAGTCGGCGTAAAATATTCATGCAATAAGCACCTCTTATCTTCTATACTTTTAGAGGGCTTTTGTTCCAGGTTAGTTGCATGCGGAGTTTATTCTGACAGCTGTTTTGCAGGGAGTGATTTATTATCCATTGTATGGAGAGGGAAAATTTTATATATTTGACAAACAAGTCAGAAAACAAAACAACTAAAAAGTGAAGTTATACCATTACGGATAAATGGGAAGCTATGGTATGCACACACACAAAAAAAAGGCCCCAGACAAGTTGGTTTGGTAACATTTTCAGAAGAAGGTGGAATAAAAGTTTATTAGACAGAAGCATACAAAATGTTTTGGATCTTTTATGTCCCTGCACTGTCCGCGTTTTCTTGCACTTAACCTGCCTGGAAAAGAATTAACATACTCAAATCCCGTGTGAACAGGTGACAGCGACGAAGTGCTCAAAGATAGAAGACTGTGACTGATACAATTCAGTGAAGCATTGTTTGTCAGTGAACCGCTACAATATGCACTGGCAAATGCATGGTTCAGGATGATAAATAGCTTAAAAACTTTGGAAGACGTTCGCCTTGAAGAGTAAAACGCAATGGCTCTATTGGGCCCCCATGCACATGACCTTCCCGATCGCTTAACTGACTTCGGTTCTCAGTGTTTAGCTCCACCGAGTTGTAAGAAAATGAACGACTGTGCCTGTAGAACTGGCCATTTCAAAGTATTATTGAATGCCCATTGAAAGCAGGGTTGTTAAGTGCCCACTACGCCATAATTGTTTCTTTCGCGATCGACAACACGCCCACAGGGCACCACGCTAAGCTACGCAGCTGCTTGCTCACTTTGTTGGTGATTTTGCTGCTGCTGATGGTTAAGTACGTCTTGAGTGCTTTGTAATAGGTGGGCCTTAGAAACACCCAATCATTGTACAATTAAAGCATTTTGATGTCTGGCATAATTCTATGCTTCTGCCATGCAATATTACATGCGTTAAGGGCTCCTTTCACTATATTACATATAGAGTGTCTTTTTTCTTCTCGAGCGATTTCAAGCAATAGTGTGGCTCTGTGGCAGAAAACCTGCTCACAGATAGGAGGCCCGAGTTAAATTCTCTTTGGAACCGCCAACTTTTATTATTTTATTTCCATGTTTCTCAAACTTTTCACTAACAACCGAAAATTCCAAGCACCGAAACTTTTGCCAAAAAATGCTCTTTAATACTATCATGTTAAAAATGATGCGGTAAGACTACAGCAATCAAAGTGCACACGAATTCTTAACTACAAGAGTAAAACCAAGTGCATAACTGTGTGGAGATTTGGTCTTTGCTTGGCTTTCGAATGATAGAACAGCTGGCTCCCTGTAATCTCAACGTAATTCAACACCATATTTACATTTATGACCGGCTTGGATGAATCGGCTATTTCATTACACTTGACTGTTATCGCATGTAAAACGAGAGCAGACAACATCCAATTTCAGTTTTCGTGCTATATAGCCCTCAGACCATTCTCGAGCATTCTCGAGAGATGTAAACAGATGTTCAAGAAAATCTTGAAAGCCCTAGTCATTACATTCAGATTTAACAAAAACAACATGGAATTTCTCTATCATTTTTGAAGTTGAAGTATTGGCTGCTCCGTAGTATTCTTAAAATTTATCTCTCCTGCATTTCTCACCGTGTTTCCTTTCCGATTATTTATTTTGGTTTTCATCTCTAAAGTTTTCCTTTTTTACTGCTTATGTTTTCTTGTTGGTTCTTTCAGTCAACAATACTAGTATTCTCGTAACTCGTTAAAAAATGTGAACAGAAAATGGAGACATTATGCACAGTAGGCCATTAATGAAGAGATGTCACCAAGACTAGTTTGTCACCGAAAGCATTACAACATGGGATCCACAGCAAACCCCCTCAAAAAGCAGAGGAAAGTGCTCTTATGGATTTGTTGCAAGGTATAACCATATTTAATATTACTGCAGCGTTTACCATTATTCCACATTTTTGGCATTTCTTGACAGCATTTGTGTTGCTCAAGGTGCAACATCTCGCTTTCACAGAAGAGCCACTTCTTTCGGCTTTATTACTACAAGAGTCATATAAATGGGCAAGTTTCAGTCCTCCATAAATACTCTCATTAAGATCCCAAAAAGGAAGCTCACTATGCCATCAAGAAACAAACAAAGAACTCAAATGCCCAACATACTGCAGGCACAGGGACGACGAGCTTATTAAACATTTTAAAAAGGCCTGAAAGGGCTTTGACTCGGAAGTTGACCCGATTACAGATATGGACACAGACAGCTGTGTTATTATCCTGACCTTAAAATATTTTAGCACTTCTTTGCATTTATTTTTATAAAGATATGAATGATGGCATTTTTTAGGTGCACATGGCCCAGTGAAACACTTGACGCTATTGCTTACACTGTCCGACTGGATGTTTCATTTTCAGAAATGGAAAAGGCTGTTCACATATCTCAAACATTGTTTTTACGATGGCAAGGCACATGCGCAATGATTATTTGTGCAGATTTTGCGTACTGGCGTGGCAAGTAAGTATATCAAGCCGTGCAATGAATCAACAGTGCACACTTGTTGCTAAGAGACTACAAGTACCAACAGGTCATCGAAAAGCGCTAAATCCATGTGGAATGTCGTTGAAATAAAAAAAAGAAGGCTGTCGTATTCCAATTCAAAAGTAGGAGGGCTGCCGCACGCTTGGTATCAAAACTGGAAGCTACGGATACTCTGTAAGAAAGAACGTCTACCCTTTGTTAGAGATTATCTTGCTATCCAAACAATGCATGTTATCTGCCATGCTTGTACTGCAACTGTTATCTTCCAGTCATGGAGTGCACCAGTACACTGATATGTGCCGACCACTCACAAGATGAAAGGTCCAAAGATGTGTCGTAACATACGATTGATTCGGGGCACTAAACAAGCTCCAAGGGTGGCAAAAAGCTTCTGGAATAACAGAAAAATGGAACTTCCAAGAACTTGAACTGAAAGACGAGTGTACATTTCTTTCTGTCAGAGTATGCGCTGCTTCACCAAAGCAGAGACCTTGTAGGTAATGCCTTAATGTGCCTAAGGAATATATTTTTTAATTACTTGAAATGTACGAGACATAATTATAATGCGTGCCATGGCTAAAGGAAAGTAAATGCTGAAATGCTCATGCATTTGACTCGGTAACAAGCCTTGCGAAAATTCATTTTCCTTGTGAAGTTACGCAGCTGGCAAGATGCCCACTGTAGCAAGCCAGTGCTGTGGGCGAGTGGAAGAATGCACTTGCATACTACCGAGCCAACTTTTACATTCCTATTAGTGCAAATGAATGAAGAAAAAAAAAAGCACACACACCAAAAGAACAGACATACACCAGACTACTGCCCTTCGATCTATATGCCTACTCTGGTTCACGAGTTTAAATTTTCGCTGCCAAAAAAAAAAAAAAAGAAAACACACAAGTGCCGGCAAGCATATAGCCTACTTTACACGTGGTAAGCCAAACATTCAACTGCCTATAACAAGGATGTATTGACCCAGCGTTGTCCTAGTGCATTTCTTTTTTCAGCAACTACGGAAAAATACGTTTTGTACTTGGTCATTCAGCCTGTCTCTACAGAAGATTGCCGAGCCTACGCAATAAGAGTAGCATGACACATGCACAAAAATAATAAACTATCGGGATTTTGAACCACAATCATCAAACGAATATGAGCTCGCTGAGTTGGGGAATTCCGCCATTTATTCCGACTGGCTGGGATGGTTTTGGAGGCAACTAAAATGACACAGTTTATCACCTTTTGCACCCAGTGAAATGCAGCCATGGCAGCTGGAGATTGAGCTCTCACCTCTTAAATTAGGAGAGCAACGCTACAACCATTAAGCAGCTGCAGCGGTTTCAAGCTCGGAGAAAGCTAGAAGCGTCGGCGAAGGTATCAGATAAAGCTGTGGTACAATGAGCTCACGAGGAAGGTGTTCTAGTTTATCTTTATTCTGACAAATACAATTAAAAACAATGGTCCGAAAGAAGAAAAGGGGCCGCGAAATGCACACGTTGATGAAAACACCGTCGCAACATTACGCAAAATACACGAGTTGATAAGAAAACACCGTCGCAACGTTACAACTAGAGCGTCCGCTTGTCCTGCTCCATTCTGGCCGTGAATTCCTGCATGTGTCTTTCGATCTTGGTGCGCAGTTCGGCGGCGTTCTTCTGCGCCTTGTCGTCCCGACAGGTCCTGAGGTACTCTTCGACGAGGTCCGGAGAATCCCAACTTCCGACCGCCGCCGGCGTCGTCGCAGCCGCCGAGGCGTTTTCGACCTGACGAAGACGCTTGGTCAGCTGGGTGACCTTATCGGTGAGTCTGTCGATCACGCCGTCCTTCTCCGAGACGACACGTTCCAGATCGCGTTCCCTGGACGCGGTACTACCACTTCTGGCCGCCCTGTCGTCCCTGCAGGCCCTCTCCCGGAGGCTAGCGACCTCTTTTTCGAGTTCCACCGCCCGGTTCCTCCAGAAGTCGGCGGCTTCCGAGGACGCCGCCCGGGCGCCGCGAGACTGACAGTCGCGGCAGCCCCCAACTGCGGCGGCAGCCTTGAGGTCTCCGTAGCGCTTCTTGATTCGGCTCACGTCTTCCTTAAGCTCACCTATGCGCCGGTCATATTTGGCCACCAGATCGGCCTGCAACGCCTCGAGCTGCGCGACGCGGTCCCGCAGTTGCGACGCCTCCTCGCGACTCGAGGCGAGGTCCTGCTTCGTCCTCGTCAGCTCCGCCTCGCGCCTTTCCAGGGCGTCCTCAGCGTGGGCGAGCCGGGTCTTCCAGCGCCGGTGCTTCTCCAAAACGGCGAGGTCGACGTCTCGCAGGAGCTTCAGGAGTTCGACTTCGCACGAAGAGCCGCCACCGCCGCTAGGAAGGTGCAGGCGATCGCCGAACAAAATTTCTCTCTCCATCTTTTGCGGCGGGGTAGCTTCCGCGCGGAAAGGCGAGATAGGCCGAAGAACCCAGACAGCTTATCACCGAGCCGCGCTCAACGTTACGGCAGGTTCATTAGTCCCTTGTTTACACGGAACTTGAAGGCCAAGCCGCCGCCGAAGGTCGCAATAATTGTACACTCGCTACTTTAAATATGGCGGAAATGCAAAACAAAGACTGTTTGAAGTCAAGCCGCACTTTCGAAGAAACGCAATCGCTGGTTCGCCGAGATTTTTCGAATTTACTAGCGCCTTCGAGTCACGAGAGAGAAAAAGAAAAAAGTGGACACAACCTTCGAAGCGAACGCGGGTTACACAAATGCTCGATACGACCGTACGCCTTTCATTCGCGAGGTTTACGGCGGTCGGCATTTAGCAGACAGTCGTACGAAACTTCGCAAAATTTTTTTCGATGCGATATTCGAATTTAAATAACGACGAAGAAATCATCTCGGCCTCCTGTGCGGATGAACTGGCCCAACGGCGTTACTAAGCCGACAGCGAGATTTTTAACGACACGGCCACGACATTGCAGGGCTGCGATTAGCGTAATTGCGCACAATACGCGCCCACTCCATACAATCTGCGCACGCTGACGTCAATCGTGTGTACAAACAAACACTTGTAAACACAGTGCGGCGTACTCACCCCGCAGATCGCTGATGTGCGGTACAGTCGACGGTCCGAATTTCGACTCCCCGTTTGCGATAGAGTGCGGAGGAAGCGCGCCGTTGTCCTGGCTGCCATCGTAACAAGCAGGAATGCCGCCCGTGGTTGTCGCGTTGGAAACAAAAATACAGCGATCGGCAGCAGCTGAGCGAAGCGGCCAGCGGCTGCGCTTCGGATCGACACGGCTTCGTGTCATAAACGTAACAGTCGGCTCGACTTGGCTTGGCTCAAATTATGGCTGTGACGTACCGACATAACGGATTAGTAGCGTGTGTGGGGAAAAAAGAAGAGCAGACAGCTTCCTTGATGGCGGCATGTTAGCGGGTCGTTACGAAATCTGAAACCTTGGGCGCGTCTGTGAAGGGAGCTGGCATCTTCGTCCATGTTGTCCACCACGATGTACGGACGCATCGCGGCAGCCGTCAGGCTGGGATTTCTGCGGCCCACGATGCCACATCGCGCGCTTGCGGCCGTTGGAGTGAGTGCCCTACATCTCCGATCGGAATATCGTACGATCCCCCAGCCGGTACTGTGACGTCCTTGGAGAATAATTGGTGTCGCATGTGTTCTCGCGTTGCACATGTCACGGAACAGCTTCGAAGCCGTACAGTCTCGATCATTTTAGAAGAAATGCTCGCCTACTTTTTTTTTTTTTTACAGGTTAAACACTCCGCACGTATGCTACACGCACGCGCGTTCGTAGAACACGCCGTTTTCCCCCTCTCATTTTCTTTACACGGCGTGCTCAATGGATTGAATGTGGGTCAGTGAATTGCGGAACCAAGAATTCCGGAAGTGCGAAACAGTTATCAGCACACAAGTTTTGCTTGGGTGGTGATATTGGCAACGAAAATTGAATGTGCAGCGAAATTATTTGATCGGTTTAGTTCCCATTTAGTGGAGAACTTGAATAACGCGCGCACTGTGAAAGATTAGGTGAAATGAGTGTTTCCGTGGTGTGTTCATTGATTATATAAGGCACGGTGTGCATGTATCACATAAACTTGAAGACGAACGCACCTACTATAACGTTGCGCCGCTCTAGGTAGTCGTCACAGTATTCTTTAAGATGTTGCACGTGCGAAACCAGCAGTTCACTTACTTGTGCTTGTCCCTAAACTGCAACCTCGATGCGTGACTTTCTCGAATTTGTATGAGAATGCACAAGACCCGCTTAAGATAATCTTAACTTCCATAATCCCTTCTGTAGTGCACATGCTTTCACGCAGGGTCTTGATTTTTACTATATATACCTTTACGTTAAGCGTGATTAGGCGTTGTTATTTGCCATACCCAGACATGCGTGCGGTCATATGAAATCTTTCAGTCTAAGGTATTTGTGGAAACAGAGGAAAAACAGATTCAAAGAGCAGCACAAAAAGTACTAGGGATATTTCATGACACCTGGTCATGCCAAATTTTGGGATCATTGTATCTTTATGCTCATACTTGCATATGCTGTTAGCTCACATACTTTGATGCTTCTAAAAACTGATGTGCTCGGTTATTGAGTCAGACTTGTTCCTCACTGAATTGCAAGTTTCTTTGAGACTGCACTGCCCAGAAGGACCAAAAGTGAATGTGCTTCGATATAATTGCTAGGCAGTCATTCTGAGCTTGTTAGAAGCCAGTCAATCGCTTACGACAAGGGGCTGTGAAAAATGACAAGCGCTAGCTGACCCGCAACTTAATTTTGTTTCACGATGCCATTTTACTTAACTACTTTTCTTCACTGTAAAACTCAGTTGGATTTCAGCACTTGTCATGTAATCTTTATTCAGTATCTCTTCTTCATAAGAACTAATAGAGCGATGCCGATCATGAAAAAGAGTATGAATAAAGTATTTTGGCTTCCCTGATAAGAACCTTGTTTGCAATATGTTACTTCCTAATGAGACAGGTTTCATCAAAACCTTGACTTCATTCACCGACATTGGGCGTATGACCGACCTGTCATCACATATTCGCCAGTACACATTGAATTTTAAGACTTTCATAGACATTGTTCCACTTCCTGACGAGATGAACTTTCATCCGCCTGAGTCGTGTAGCAATCACGGTGCTCGGCTGCTGACTTGAAGGTCACATTTCGATGGAGGCGAAACGGTAGAGGTTGTGTTTTGTGCGATGTAATTACTGTGAACGAACACCAGAAGGTCGGTACTTTCAAAGCCCTCCAGTACGGCGTTTCTCATAATCATATCATAGCTTTGGGACGTAAAACCTTATGTATTATTATTATATGTGGTGGGGCTTCAATCAGAACCTTCACTTCAGTTCACGAGAGATGCGATGTGGGCTTGTTGGTAGTACATCTTCAGTAAGTCTCCTTGTAGCGCACGTAAACAACAGGAAGAAATGAGGGCACTTGTAGACAGACAGAGCTCTGTCTGTCTGCATGTGCCCTCATTTCTTCCTGTTGTTTACGTGCTCTACAAGGAAACTTACTTCACTTCAGCATCTCTCCCTGTAAGTGCTGTAAACATTTTTGTAACAAAGTACCAACTTGCATTGCCTCGTTTTTTATTCGTGTTCATGTGCAGGCAAGATCCCTTGTGACCAAGGCAGAGACGGGTCACTACCAGCCGCCTGTTCTGTCAACCCATCGCATGCCGACCACCAGCAAGCTGGAGTTTGTGCCGGCGAACGCCTTTGACGGCATTCCTATGTACAGCATCCTGAACAAGAGTGGCAGACTGGCTGATGGTGTCGAGGAACCCCAGGTGGTGCTCGCCAACGCCTCTTACCTGGGCTTATTTTTTTTACAACGACAGTTCTTATAAGATCATAACACAGGTCATGCATGGTGCCTTAGTTGTCCGCCGCCAACCATTATCGAACGAAAAAAAAACTCGGTAAATAAGATACCAATGACACAACCGGATTCGAGCCCGGGACCGCTGCATGCCAGCCCAGTATTCTATCACTGAGCCACCCCAGTGCTTGAAACTTGTTTCTAAGCTCGCCTTAGGCAGGCTTGATGTCGGGAAAGGAATTGCGTTAACATGAGTAATATAGTCTTTTAGAACATCAAAGGAACGGCCAGACGTCACACAATGTGAATCGTGTAATGAACGGGTCGTCCAATGCTCTAACGCATTAGAAAACTAGTTCTTGATCACCTATTAACTGTCACGCATACCTTCTTCAGGCATAATTCCTAATCATCGTCAGCCACTGCATCAAAAATTGCACAAAATTTCTAACAAGTGTGTAGCAGATACCACACTTCTGAAAAGAATAACAAAAGATAGCGTAATGAATGCTGGCCTACTACAGTAAAAAATTATGGTTATTTATGATGTAGTGGATACCCAGCAGTGCAATTGTAGTAGTTACCCGAAGATTGTTTTGAAAAGGCTGCTCTTCTAGCTTTCGCTGTGACTGTGCTGCGCGTTCCGCGCAGGCCTAGCCTTTTTTTTTTTTCGTGGGCTGCAGTAGTTTTCATTAAAGCACATGTGCGTGACTCCGGCCCTATTTCTGAGCTGCACACGTGTATACATTATCCCAGAAACTCTGTGACAACATTCCATCTCACAAACTGTTGCTGTAATACTTTCCTGTTTTTTGTACATGTAATCAAACACTTGTGAATTTGTGAATACTTCATTACGCTGGCCACTTCAACATATCAGTCTCTCACAATGTACCCCAGACATAATTAATCTTTTACTGTGCGTGTCATTTCGTAGTGTAAATGTCTTTCGTAGTGGCATTTGATTGTATTAGCCCTTGGAGGATGACATGTCAGGAAGAGGTGAAAGACAGATCAGACCGATTGCCAATGCACGGAGATATGCCAGGTTACCTTGAACTGGTTGGTAGCTCGCTGCTTTGATACTAAGTGAAGATAACGTTTAGTGCTGCAAATTGTCCACCATATGATGCCCAAAAACTCATGGAAATGTAAAAGGATCTCTTTCTCCACCACTGAGGGTGGGTGATCGAAAGTGTGCTGGGCATATGTTAAACCACTTGCGGAGTAGTTCTCTTCTAACAAAAACAAGTGTTCTTTTTCAAACGTTGGCTTTGATGTGATTTCTCATTCAGACTTCTCATCAGTTTGAACCTCCATTTTAGCCTGATCTTCTTTCTTGTTTCAGACCACTGGTGTAAAACCTAACCTAACCGAAACCCTTTGCGTGGTGAATTATGATAGACTGTCTATAAATGCATGCAATAACTTGATGCCAATATCCTGAAGACCAAATTTAAAGCAAGGGCAACTGTTCGAATATGTTGTACTAGATAATTATTCACCCATGTAAATAATTATCTAGTTATTGTACGGTCGGTCATGTGATATTTCTTCATGAACTGAATTCAGCAACCCACTCAAATTACACGAGATAGTTGAATGATGGTGGCGAGCATTCCCAAGAAAGTAGAAAAAAAATATTTTTAAAATCGTGCAGAAACGTTTTACATGGGATGTATTGTTAAACACTCCTGCTTTCATCTAAGCAGTTGTGTCTACAAAAAAAAAAAAATGGCAGCATATCCACGGAGTGAATGTTGGGGAGTGGGGCGAAGCATTCGTCCGTCCATTTGTTCTTGCTTCCGTCCGTTCCTGCGTACGTCTGTGTAACCGTCAATGCGTCCATCCACCCGTCCGTGCGTGCATCTGTTCGTGCGTCCGTCCCTGCGTTCGCCATGCATCCGCGCCTGTGTCCGTTCATGCGTCCATCCATGCATCTGTCTGTGTGTCCGTTCGTCCATCTATTCAACACTCCAAGTACCACCATCTCGCATCTTTTCATCATATATTCTCCATATAGAAGCACCGCCATCCAGCAGACATTTCAAGGACTGAACGGGAGGTGGCACATGCACACTTTCTTACGGCTTGCGCTTCGGGTTTACTTCCCACCTTTAACCACCTCGAGTTCATGGTATATACTAGTTCACTGTATTCATGGCTATGCGGCCCAACGCTTGCTAAACCTTTCTAAAACCAAAGAGGTTACACCCAGCGAGTATAACGTTGCAAACCTTTCTTGTCAGATCGTGCTCAATGTACATGCCAATAGCTGCTTATGGGGATCGCAGCGTGCGCGTTACCTAAAGGCCGAACGCTCTTGTCTCTCATTCCCCCTTAGCAGCCATTAACATGTGCATTAAGCACTATCTTTTATTGTTCAACAACGCACAGAAGAAATCTCTCACCGGAACCACCTTGGAGGTCAAAATCATAAGGTCCGCTATTTCGGGTATGTGCCACTGGTGGTTACGTACTACGAGGGATGCGCAAGCCACGCCATAAGGAGCTTCGCCCCTAAAAATTTCAGCCAGAAGTAGTGTAAAGGAACTGTAGGCAACAAGAAAACTCGGTGTTTGTGGTATCTTCCTTGTCAATGTCGTGTTTAGTGTTACAGCACTAAAGTATAAGTTGGGGTGGGAGTACACATAGAAACACTGTTAGATCGAGAAATGTGTTTCGAAATTTTGCACGACTTGGATCAAAATAGATAAAGATTCTTACCTTTCACCTCCCCATTTCTTATCTCACAGAAGCGAACACTCTCTAAAAATAAAAGAAAGTTATAGCCAAACAAACATCCACCAAGGCTAGTTTTTTTCCACACACACAATCTCCCAGTGGAATCAGCTCCCAGGGGAGATTGTTGACTGTCGCACTATATCATCGTTCAGAGACATACCTCTTTTGTTTTCATTTTTCGTGTTAATCTTCTTTTCATTGTTATTCATTTTAGGTAAGAATATGTTCCTTTTTGTATTCCCCCTGCAATAATGCCTTCAGGTGCTGCAGGTAATTTAATTTATATAAATAAATGAATGAATGGTGTACCGGGATGACAAAAGTAATTAGTCATGTCTCCAAATGTCAGTGTTGTGTGAAAAATGGTCAAGAGAGATTATGGGCTCATCTTGTTATGCTTGCGAGTTCATTATGTTTGTGTGTCATGATGAGACTGAACTTGACTGCTATTTTCCGTTGTTACCGCACCTGCACTCATGCTCACGCTGTCATTGCACGGTACTGACGCAGCTCGACAAGGACCTGCTGGTGCGCATGTACTCCAAGATGGTGCAGATGAACATCATCGACCAGATCATGTACGAGTCGCAGAGGCAGGGCCGCATCTCCTTCTACATGACCCACTACGGAGAGGAGGGTGTGCTCATGGGAAGCGCAGCCGCGCTTGACGATAAGGACCTCGTCTTCGTCCAGTACCGCGAATACGGTGGGTTGAAGCGTCCATTCGTATGACTAGTGTGTTGCCGTGATATCGCGTGTGCACATAGCTCAGGACCTTTCTAGATGTATTCCACTGATGAGAACCGTAACGGAGAAAAATCAAATGTGCCCTGATACAAACAAAATGGACAGTGCTGTGGCAGCTTGTGCTTTTACAGCAAAAGCTGTAATGAGATAACAACAACAACAACAACAACAAATATAAATAAGAAAAAATATCTAGGATGGAACGGGTCTGAACCTGGGTCTTCTCTTTGCCAGCCTAGTATTCTACTACAGAGCCATGGTGGTGTACTTGTGCAGTTGACACTATAAAAATAGTAATTAGGCATACTTGAACACACATCAAATAGAGGAGACCTGTCTAAAGCATCACTAGAACGTTCATATACTCATTGTATTTTAATTACTTGTTCCTCGAAAATGTCTTTTGTTGATCGTGAAGGTCCAGTATGTCTCTCAATCAGGCTTGATACAAAAAGACTATGCAGACAAATAATAAAGATTAGATTATATGGTAGGGTCCTGTCCTTTGTCACATCGAGATGCCGAATCTTTACAAGATTTATTTTAAAGTCTTTTACCAGTGTTTGCTACAGAACATCTCAAAAGAACACTGTATCACAGCAATCAATAGAACAGTGATTAATAGTCTCAGGCTTTTGGCACAATCTACAATTTATGTCCCAGGGAGCAAAGAATTATTTAGTGCTTTGCTATATTTTCACAGCAAAAGTACAGCCACCCAAATCTTTTAACTATAATGCACGAGCAGCGGCTTTTCTGTGCATCAGCGTTGTACGATAGAGACGAGTTGCTAATATCATGAAGATAAGCGCATTTCCACAAAGTGCGCTCAGCTGGTTCTGACAGCGTGAGCAGGCGAATAGTTTCAGTCGTATTTTCTTTACCGAACATGGACGTTGCAGCCACAAATCAAAGAAATAATATTAAAGATATGCCCAAGCTGCACTGATGAAATAAGCAATAGAACGTGGTTCATCTTCAGTGCGCTGATATGGGGTTACGTTCTTGAGAAGAACGGCCTAGCAGATGGCGGGCCCAGCTGAGCGCATTTTGTGGGCATGCGCTTGTCCTCGCTTTGTTTCCTAATTGGCTTCGTCTTACGGTGCTGATGCACAGAAAAGTCACCCCTCGCATGCAATATCTTAAAATTTGGGTGGCTGTAGTTGTGTGCATCCTAAAAAAGAAACTCTTTGCTCCCAGAGAAACCAACATTTTTTAAACTCAAGTTACTGCATCTGACAACAGTTGATTTCTGAACATAGCTTGATAATGTGGGATTGAAAAGCAAACATTATTAACGTTCTTCGCCTACTCTTTCCGACTAGCGCTAAATAAATAGGTAATTGAAAATCTTGTATATGAAATTGTACGGCATCCACAATTTCTTTCTGAAGCCCGCAGAGCGAATAATTTTCCACAAACGATGACGCAGTAAGGTATAGTAAACGAAGTGAGAGATGGCGTTAAATCACTTCTCACAAAAGAGGATGTGTTACATTACGAAAATAAATACCTTTGACTAATTGCCATATAAACAAATCCGCAAGGCCAACACCACTGCTTTCAAGCAGAAGGAACAAGTTATGCTGTATTCTGCTTTCCTCAATCTTATCTAATAAGACTATATTATGACTTCCTTGTATTTCTTGGTGCATTAACTTGAAGCATTCTGGTGTGTCCCTCTTTCGTAAAACAACAATGTATTGCAGGTGTGCTCCTGTGGCGAAACTTTTCCGTGAACCAGACGATGCAGCAGTGCTATTCCACAATGCATGACTACGGCAAGGGCCGCCAGATGCCCATTCACTACGGCTCGACTGAGCACCACTTTGTCACCGTCTCGTCGACCCTTGCAACGCAGATGCCGCAAGGTGAGTGCTGAATCGAATTGCTGGAACTTGTAGTTTAGCCACCGAGGTGTTGCAGGTTTGATTCTCGATCGCAATGGCCACACATTTCAAGTGAACAAATAACAGTGCAAAAGCACCTATGTGCTTAAATTCAAGTACACAGTTAAGAACTGTAGTGTCATGACGGTTAAGCCTCACTCCCCAGTCCCCGTGGCTTTCCTCATCGCAGCACAACACGGTCCACTCACACAGGTCACATATCCACGATTGACACCACGCCCAGGGGGTGCCACATACCCCCCCTCCCCTTCATTACCAATGTATGTCCTCACAATACTGCCGCGAGGAGTCGCCGTAGCGCCAGACGCTACGGCGACTGTATCTCGGATGGTGAACGCGCCTTGCGTTCCGGTGGGACATTCTGTTCCCCGACGGCCGTCGAACACGCTGTTCGCCACCCGCTAAGCCGGCGCGTCTGTTTTCCTTTAGTGGGCGCAAGTCCGCCAAATAAACGGATCTCCTTTTATTTCTACTAACCTCCCGGTCTCCTGTCTTCGGGCTACCCTCACTCTTACGTGACATCTGGTGGAGGTGCGGGGTATGCACAAAAACGACCTTAAAACAGCCACTGCAGAGAACGAGGACGCTGAAGACACAGATACTCGAAGCAGTCGCCGCCTCCGAAACCTGCCACCTGAGCTGGGACCGCTACCAGACCCCACGCGACCACGAAAGGACGCTTCCACAGCCACCATGAGCACCCCGCAATCACCTACCCCTGTCATGCTGCAGCAGCCGCGGGTGCCCCCAACTTTCCATGGTTATGCCGCTGAAGACCCAGAAGAATGGCTCGACCAATTCGAGCGCGTGGCTATCTTAAATAGGTGGGATGAAGAAATGAAGCTGCGATACATTTACTTTTCCCTGGACGGCCCCGCCAAAACGTGGTATGAAAACCATGAGACCACACTGACCACCTGGGAATTTCTGAAGAATGGGTTGCTCAGGACTTTCACCAGCATCATGCAAAAAGAAAGGGCCCAGCTGCTGCTAGAATCGAGGACCCAACAGCCCAATGAGACCCTAAACGTGTACGTCGAAGAAATGAAACGTCTTTTTAGGCGAGCGGACCAAGACATGACCGAAGACAAAAAGGTCGGATACCTAATGCGAGGGGTGAAGGAGTCGCTTTTCGTCGGTCTCATAGGGAACCCTCCTAAAACAGTCGCCGAATTTACTGAAGAAGCGCACACCATAGAAAGGACCCTGGACGCCCGGACTCGGCAATACAACCGCCCGTTTCAGCTCAGCTCGCTCTACTCGGAACCGATTCGAGGTGGGCTAACCACCAACGATCTGCGGGAAGCTATTCGAGAAGTGGTTAAAGAAGAACTACGCCGATTGCTACCTCCTACTTCCCAGCCCCCCCAAGGAGCATCTCTCTTGGACATAGTGCGTGATGAAGTCCAGCAGGCGCTTCGCTCTTCATCAGCGACGACTCGAACAGAGGCCAAAGCAATGACTTACGCCGCTGCAGTGAACACTAGGCCACCCCGACGAAATGAGCCCAGTCCTCGACGGTACGCTGCAGCCCCAAGTAGCCGTCCGCCCTTACCCGCCCACCCTACATACGAGAGACGCCCGAGCCAAAGAAAATGCGACACCTGGAGAACTCTCGACGACCGTCCCCTATGCTTTCACTGCGGTGAGGCCGGCCACATTCTTCGACACTGCCCCTACTGGCGGATGGGACTGCATGGCTTCTCATCTCAGGCACCACGGCCACGCCCTGGACAACGACCTCCGGCAATCGAAGACGACTTGCGCCATACAGAGTACTTGTCCAGCCGTTCTCCATCACCGCCATCCCCACGCTTCACGTCACCGAACCGCAGCAACAACGAATGAAGAAGGTCCCCAAGCCCCCGTAGGGGAAACTAAAACCAGCAACCTTTGGAGGTGAGGTTGCTTCAAGAGGAAAAGCCGAAGACCCTCCACCGACGACCATATATGACGACAGCACATCATCTACGACGACGACAACGCACAACAACCCAAGCCGCGAGACGAAGCAAAACGAAGCAACAAGAAGAAGCCGTGACCCGAACCCAAAACCAATGTGCAACTCCAGCCCACGTGCCACCGATTTTGAAGTATCTATCGACGGCCACCCGGTAACTGCCTTGATTGACACAGGAGCTGACTACTCGGTCATCAGCGGGCCATTGACGACAGCACAACTGAAGAAGGTTAAGACGGCTTGGGACGGCCCGCAGATCCGCACAGCGGGAGGCCACCTCCTCACCCCATCGGGGCGATGTACTGCAAGGGTGACATTCGATGGTCACACATAGCTTGCCACTTTCTTGGTGCTCCCACAGTGCTTCCGTGACGTCATTCTCGGCATGGACTTCTTGACTCAACATCACGCAGTTATTGACCTGGCGTCCAGATCCATCAAACTATCCTCGGATGAAGCCATAAATTCATACTCGGCACCACATAATCGCGCAGCCCTCCGTGTGCTCGAGAATGACGTGAGCGTCCCACCCCGATCAATGACCCTAATCTCCGTAACCACTGGTACTGCCGAAAATGCTCATGGCGTCGTCGAAGGTAACATACAGCTTTTGCTTGGCCGTGATATCGCAATCGCAAGAGGCATTGCGGACTTCCGGAATGGACAGGGCCCAGTGCTGCTAACAAATTTCAGCCAAGAACACCGTCACCTGGCCAAAGGCACGACCATTGCCTTTCTCGATTAAATCGCGGAAGTCAGTGACACCCTCGCCCTTTCGAATCCAGCGACCATCACCCCACAGAACCACAACTCGCAGCTGTCATTCGACATTAACCCTTCCTTGCCTCAATGCAAGCAGCAACTGCTCCAGAACCTCCTTCGACGTTATGACGACTGTTTCGCCACTTCACAGGTCTGACACATTTCTCTGGCAAAGCATCGAATCATAACACAAGAAGACATTCGCCCTCTCCATCAAAGCCCTTATCGTGTGTCGGCACGTGAACGTCAGGCCATCCGAGAGCAAGTTGAGGAAATGTTACACAACGATGTAATTCAGCCATCGAAAAGCCCATGGGCGGCACCAGTCGTCCTTGTCAAAAAGAAAGACGGAAGTCTCCGGTTTTGCGTCGATTACCGACGGTTGAATAGTGTAACCAAAAAGGACGTGTACCCTTTACCAAGGATCGACGATACCCTAGATCGTCTTAGTGATGCAAGGTACTTCGCGTCCATTGATCTGAAGACAGGGTATTCGCAAATTCAGGTTGATGAAAGAGACCGAGAAAAGACCGCCTTCATCACGCCGGATGGATTGTATGAGTTCAAAGTGATGCCGTTTGGACTTTGTTCCGCTCCAGCAACCTTCCAGCGTCTAATGGACACAGTACTGGCAGGCCTCAAGTGGCAAATATGTCTCGTATACCTGGACGATGTGGTAGTCTTCGCCTCCAACTTTAGCGACCACCTGAAAAGGCTCCGGACGGTACTGGACGCAATTAAGTCATCAGGGCTGACACTGAAGCAAGAAAAATGCCATTTTGCCTATGAAGAACTACAGTTCCTTGGCCATGTTATAAGCAAAGATGGCGTAAGACCAGATCCCGAGAAGACAGCCGCTATGGCACAGTTTCCTCAGCCGCAAGATAAGAGAGCAGTGCGCTGATTCTTAGGACTGTGCGCCTATTACCGGCGCTTCGTCAAGAACTTCTCACACATTGCTGACCCTTTGACGCAGCTCACCAAGTCGGACGCCCCTTTCGAATGGAATGCTGAGCAACGTGAGGCATTCAAAGAACTTCAACAACGTTTACAGTCGCGGCCTGTGCTGGGTCACTTTGATGAAAATGCCGAAACTGAGATACATACAGACGCCAGCAGCGTCGGCTTAGGTGCCATTCTCGTTCAGAAGCACAAGGGCTGCGAGCGCGTCATCGCGTATGCAAGCCGCTCACTGTCGAAAGCGGAAGTGAACTATTCCACGTCTGAGAAGGAGTGTCTTGCGATAGTATGGGCCACCTCGAAATTCCGCCCATACTTGTATGGCAGACCCTTCAAGGTCGTAGCGGACCATCATGCGTTGTGCTGGTTGGCCAGTTTGAAAGACCCTTCTGGCCGCCTTGCTCGATGGAGCCTACGGCTTCAGGAGTTTGACGTGAAGGTAGTCTACACATCTGGTCGTAAGCACTTCGACGCAGACTGCCTCTCAAGAGCCCCTGTCGGCGCACCACCAAGCCATGAAGACGGCGATGTTTTTCTTGGGCCTATCAGCAGCAGCACCTTTGCATTACAGCAGCGCTCAGACCCGATCCTACAACAGTTGATCAACTACATCGAAGGAAAGGCCTCCATACTGCCTGCACTGTTCAAGCGTGGGATATCCTCCTTCTATGTGCAAAACGGGGTGGTAGTTAAAAAGAACTTCGCACCGAATAAGGCAGCTTACCTTCTTGTCGTCCCAAGCAGCCTCAGAGAAGCAAATTTTACAAGCGTTACATGACGAACCCACTGCAGGCCACCTCGGTTTTACACGCACACTCCACAGAATTCAAGAACGATACTACTGGCCCCGCCTCTCCTCAGATGTTGCGCCGTACGTCAAGAGTTGCCGTGAATGTCAGCGCCGGAAGAGACCTCCAACAAAACCAGCTGGATTTCTCAAGCCAATTGAACCCCCGTCGAGACCATTCCAACAGATTGGTATGGACCTGCTTGGACCTTTCCCCACGTCAACATCCGGTAACAAGTGAATCATAGTGGCCACTGATTACCTTACCCGATACGCTGAAGCTAAGGCCCTTCCGAACGGCACAGCCGTAGAAGTTGCCAAATTTTTTGTCGAATCAATTCTCCTCCGTCATGGCGCACCTGAGGTACTAATAACAGACAGGGCAACGGCGTTTACGGCTGATCTTACTCAGGCAATCTTACATTACAGTCATACAGATCACCGAAGAGCAACTGCGTACCATCCGCAGACAAATGGTCTCACGGAACGCTTGAACAAGACCATTGCCGATATGCTCGCTATGTACGTGGACACAGAACACAAGACCTGGGACTTAATTCTGCCTTACGTGGTCTTCGCCTACAACACCGCGGTGCAGGAGACCACTAAAATGACACCATTTAATCTCGTCCATGGGAGGGATGCCATTACTACCCTGGACGCCATGCTGCCAATGTCACCGATGAAAACAACCTAGACGTGGCCGCCTACCTTCAGCGCGCAGAAGAAGCCCGGCAGCTTGCTCGTCTGCGCATAAAAGACCAACAGCGAAACGACGCAAGACGCTGCAACCTGCGGAGACGCGATTTAACATACAGGCCAGGTGACAAAGTCTGGGTTTGGAAGCCCGTCCGCCGCCGAGGATTAAGCGAAAAAGTCATGCGCCGTTATTTCGGCCCATACAAAGTAATCCGTCAAGTGGGTGAAGTGGACTATGAAGTGGTCCCTGATGGGGCTAGCTCATCCCAACGACGCCGCGCACGACAAGAAGTGGTACACGTCGCCCGTTTGAAGCCCCATCATGCGCGCTAAAGGAGGCTCCCTGTTTGCATCTCTTGTTTTGTTTATGTGTGCGTGATTCGTGCTTATTTGCCATTTACTTTCACACAGGCTGTCCTTTTGTTTTGGTTTTATTTTAAACAAAGCATCGGGTCGTTGCTTACGTTGAGGAGGGGAGCAATGCCGCGAGGAGTCGCCGTAGCGCCAGACGCTACGGCGACTGTATCTCGGATGGTGAACGCGCCTTGCGTTCCGGTGGGACATTCTGTTCCCCGACGGCCGTCGAACGCGCTGTTCGCCACCCGCTAAGCCGGCGCGTCTGTTTTCCTTTAGTGGGCGCAAGTCCGCCAAATAAACGGATCTCCTTTTATTTCTACTAACCTCCCGGTCTCCTGTCTTCGGGCTACCCTCACTCTTACGTGACAATACGTAGTGTCAAAATGAATCCCAAGTGTCAGCTCACTATTGCATTCCTCATGATCATATCGTTTTTTTTTGGTGCCTAAGAACATGGAATTAAATTTTTTATTTCTGTTTCAAGAAAAAAAAGTCTAGCCAGTTCTACTCAGGGAAAGTCATCAGGGAGCGAAACTGTTTCCCCTTTTGTTTGGTTCCATCGAGTCTCTTCTTTCACATTGCCCAGTTACTTCCGAGCCATAGATCTGAGACACTCCTTGTACAATACTATAGTAAAAGCTAATTAATTTGACACCTATTAATATAGAAAATCAGATAATTTCAACTTGTTCTTTGGTCCCAACAAGCATATATAAGTGACATTGGCATTCGGGTATAACTGAAATGATTGCAAGCTTATCACAGAGGCGTGGTTGCCATGTATAATCTTGCCACAATCACTTTGGCTGGATCAAGGCTTGAAAAGCTGCAGAAAACTTAAACGAAGCTTTTTATTTTATTTGGAGCACGCGAACTGCATGTCGCTATCAGTTATTATGTTGATATTGACTGGGGCAGTGTAGTTTTTTGTCGATATCAGCACAGAGTGCTTCGATTTTGGACGCGTTCTTTCACAACAAGTGGAATCACCATTCATGGTAGTTCATTAGCTAGCCAGGTTTATTCAGGAGCAGCTGCGGTGCTCAGAAGTTTCGTTTTAACTTTGGACATAGGCTGGATACATTCCTTCAGCATGGACGTTATCATCGTTGCGGTATCGTGATTTCGGTTCCGGTTTTGGAACCGGTAGGCTGGCCCCTAAGGGGCGCTGTACATATGTATATATCGTGGTGCTTGTGTATATAAAAGAGTTCCTGCTTGGCTACCGGCGGCTGCACACTCCTTGTCGGCCAACGCTTTAGCGCCATGCCCTGTGTTCTCCGTGCGGCGTGTCCGCCGCACGATATCCTCGTCGCCAAGATGTGGTATCGTGCGGCGGACGCACCGCACGGAGAACACAGGGCATGGCGCTGAAGCGCTGGCCGACGAGGAGTTCCTGCTTGTCTACCGGCTGCTGCGCACTCATTGTCGGCTGCGTACTGCTGCGCACTCCTTGTCGGCCTGTGTTCTCCGTGCGGCGCGTCCGCCGCACGATAGTACTATCGTGTTGTTAGCAACCAGGATTTCACGCACAGCACATCTGGCACTCGGTATAGGTTCGTCTTGATTTCAGGCAATGTGCATGCAATGTCACAAAACTTGAACGAGCCGAATGTTGTTGAAGATGGAACAGTTTCAGCCGTAGTATGCATACTGGCATAAAACTCTTTCACTAAATTAAGATGGACGAATGATTCGTTACTGACCTGTTTGCCGATGATCTTACATGCGCATTGTGGCGCTGGAAAGGGGGGCACCTAACAAGGTATGGGCTCAGAGCCCGTTTCGGCTAATGACGTGCGTTTCTTGAGCAGCAGTTGCACTGTGAATGAAAGCGCGAATGGCGAAAATTGCAGCAGTGACACTTCTCTAATGCAAAATAAGTACTTCACTTACATAGTTGTGAAAAAAAAAAATGACAACGGATTGGTGTAATAGACACTTCTTTATTGCTTTCCTGACATTTTCGATAATTTGGTCAATTCGGACATTTTTTTCAGTCCGGCCAAATCCGAATTCACGATCCTTTTACTCTAGCTGAATCTCGACTGGCCGAATCTAACTTACGTCAGACGCACGCCACCGCTCATTACCCATCTTACACATTATCATCCTTTCATAACACTTGCTCCTCCTCAATTTGACGTAAGCTTTTTCACGTGACTCCCGGTTCATTCACTCTTTGAATCACCTGCCTTGTGTAAGCTTCAACATGTGACCACTTTCCCTCTCCTCGTGTACTCTCGCTCCCAGGTCCACTTCGATCACGTGACCTTTCCTAGCTTGACCACGCCAATGATTCTGCCAGCACAGGTCCTCATGAATAGCTTGGCTGTAAAAAAACAAAAAAATGCATTGAACCTTACCGCATTCCCATTGAGAGCTAAAATGCTGTGTGCATAAATTAGTCCCGCACATGTATGTGTGTGCGTGAACACTCACGCGTGTGCATATGTGCACATCTCGCTGTCTCATATTTCCGTGTCATCCGCATGCATGCAACAGCGGTGGGAACGGCATACGCCTACAAGCTCGCCCAGAAGAAGCAGTGCGTGGCCTGCTACTTTGGTGACGGTGCGGCCAGTGAGGGGGACGCCCATGCCTCCTTCAACTTCGCAGGTGTTCTCGGCACGCCCATCATTTTCATCTGGTGAGCCTTCGAAATGCCTGCAATTTCAAAAGGCAGTGTTGATCGATTGATTGACTGATACATCAAGGATCTTGATGGGACATTACCTAAGGGGTGGGCACGAAAGAGACAGCAGGGATGAATTACAAAAATGACTCACAATAGGCTATGGCAAATCTAAATCAAGCTGCTTTGCAGATGAGTGCAGTATGCCTTGGAATAATATTTCAGTCTCAATTGAGTGGCTCAAATGAGTTTTGACTACATTACATTGCCATTAGGTGAATTTAATGTCGTTTTTTCTTCATGCTGCTATGAAAACAAGTATGGTTTGAAAATTGTGACGCTGACCATTGCCGCTTATAAAAGCGAGAATTCTAACAATGCTTGCATGAACAAGGAAGTTATATTTGTTCTCGTTTTTTTTTCACGATGTACAACTCTTAGCTGACACGCCCTCTATAAGGAGGAATTGAAAAAGCATCTTTTCATCATGTATGAATTGTGCAACAAACAGTCTTATGTGAAGCTTGAAATGTTCCAATTTAATTTATTCACCAACATTTCAATGAGGGTTAATAATGAATTATTCAGTGACAACCTATTAATAATTAACAGTTAGTTACCTTATGAATTGCTTACTCAATTGATATCTGCAGACGAACGAAAGCACTAAAAAGCAAAGGATAAGGAAGTATGTAGTGAACATGTAGAGGCGACAAGTTCGAGTTTTTCAACCTCGAATCGCATTGTGTGAAGTCACGGCATCGGTGGCAATTTTTCAATTTCAGCCGGAACAACGGCTATGCCATATCAACGCCAACCCACGAGCAGTACAGCTGTGACGGAATCGGTACGTCCACCTATATCTTCCTTTTAATACGAGAAGCTTTTTTTGTGGCTACAGTGCCGAGTTTCTTGGCAGCCAGCAATGTTTCTGCATGGGTGGATTGTCATGCTAGTTACGAGGGATGAGAGGCTGTTGCACGTTGGTGCCTACTTGCCACACGCTTCCTCCAGCACTAGTATAACAACATTTAAATGCCATTACACATTGCTGCACGGCACGTCATGTTAAAGCCTCACAATACCTTTATATGCACACTGCATTACAGCAATGATAGTATCAATAACAATGGCAACAAACAATAACAACGTAAGAACCACTTCCACAGGTTTCGCTGTTGGGAAGCTGTTTTTTTTGTGTGTGTCAATACAACCTCATTGTAAGTGATTGACTCGGGCATGAGTACTAAGCTCAGCGAACTGTCACTGGTGACAACGGATGTCTGCTTGTAAGAACTGGCAAACAGTTGAACGACCATTTGCAAAATGCAGCTGCGCGAGGTCCATCGTACGGGTTGACAACAGTGCGAGTGGATGGCCAGGACGTTCTCGCCATGTACACGGCAGTACAGGAGGCCCGCCGTTTTGTAATGGAACAGCAGAAGCCAGTCCTCATCGAAGCCATGACGTACAGGTAAGTCTGGACTTTGGCTAGCTTCTACACTCTAAGAATGGTAGCGCCCTTTGATGACATCTTTCTGTCACACAACAGTAATCATCATGTGGCTTTTTAACTTGGCATTTGCTAGTTTCTTATCAACAATGCAATGTCAATTTTTATAGCATGCACACGATTTGTGCCCTAGTCGTACTGGCATGTTCAGCTAGTTCAATTTTTGAGATAGATGCTATTTTTACTTGGCAAAAATGCACCGCAGAGTACCGGTGTTCTTCAAATGTAGTGTGGAGTAATGCTTCCTATTGTATAAGTAAACTAAGGAGCACAGTACAAGATAAAAGTGCAAATAAAGCGAATCCTCTGATCCTTGGTGAATCAGACTGTTACGAGCCATCGTGCACACATTGGTTGATAAAGGCTATCTTGCAATGAAAGGAGAGGAAAGGTGGCACTCCCCGCCGTTCGAGATGCTGTCGGCATTTTGTGCCACAGCGCATTGTAAATATTCTCGCTTGTGCTCCTCCTTTTCACTCGTTATACCAGTAACAACATGGCAAGAGTACATAGCAATAATTGTGTAAATTTTTCGCTATGACAAATTATTAGGCACGGTAACATAGTACCGTAAAAGCCAGAACATAGGTCGACCCAACCCCAGTGCTAATTACTAAAACTTGAAAAAAAACAAAGAGTACATGGAACAGCCAAAGTAGCAGAAGCCGTTTCAAGTGACAAAAATGCAATTTAATATGGTGCACGGTGAAAATGCCTTTATTTGCCTGTGTTTATGCGTACGTTCTGCATGGCAAAAGGATGGTCTTACAAATCCCACAACAATCTTCGATGGCATCTTGAGGTCACCGGTCTCAATCACGATTTGAGCGCGGCTTCCGAATGAACCTCTGTAACCTCCGTCTCCAGCTGTAGATACGTTGCAATCTGCCACAGAAACTTTCAAAGTTTGCTTCCTATCACTACGTGTCATAATGTGATCCTGGAGCATCCATCCGCCAGCAGCGAATACTTCGGGGGTGCACACAATCTGCCGCTGTAGTCAAAGCTGCCGGCAATTGCAGGAAGCAACTAACAAAGAGTATCCGGTGAGACTTGAACAGCGAGAAGAGCACCTGTGCAAAAATAAACTTCCGGTCATTGTGTGTGACTCGCGGCCCCAACTCGCGTTCACGTGCGCCGGCATCCCAACACATTTTCCACATGCTTTCAGACCAACTTTCTTTGTGCCTTCGCGAATTCAGTCGCTCTTTTCTTGATGGCTGTGGTGAATTCTGTCAGCTGCCGGTTGAGAACCATAAAAAAGAAGCTCGGAGCCCAAATATATTCACAGGACAACAATAAAATCGTGAAATGAGGTTGCCCAAGGCTGAAAGTAAACAAAGCGACGCTCATGCTTAGGGCGGTGATAGAGGCGGTTGACTTCAGTTTGCCATGTTAACCAAACTTCTAAAGTTTTTCTGTCACTGACTGGTATATAGATGATTTTCTGCAGCTGGTTTGCTTAAAGATTCAGTAAACAACGCTGCAGTCCAGAAATTGATATGCAGAGAATTATGTGCGCTTTTATTTGTGAGCATTCTGCTGCAAAAATTTCGCGAATGCGTGCTATAATAACCAAGTTACAGGGGTTAGAACATCCGTTTTAGTGGCTTTCAAAATTTCACATGGCCTCGCCACCTTTCTCTGCCATAAGGAGGAAAAAGACGTAGGCCGTCGTGACTCCGCTCAGTTCGGCGATGCGACACGACGTCAGCGATATGTCATCGGTGCGCAGCCAACGACAGAGCAGGGCATGCCCAACGTGAGCACGTGTCAGTGCAGCTCGGGGACAAAGCTCAGTACGAGGAGCACCCCTCCCCTAGCAGTGGAGTAGCGAGACGGCTTTTTATCTAGGATGCTTTTGTCCTGGCAATTGGCAACACTACTTCTCTATGTAGTCTCTGCGAAGCAGCAGGGGGCAGCACAGGAAAATTCAAATGCGGTCTGCGCAGCCGAAACTGCATCACCGCAAGGCCAAGGCACTGTTTTGTAAGGCAAAGGACTATAATCGATGAGCTCAGTGGTACGTAAAGTTGCCCATTGGTCAGGCAAATGAAACAGGCATGGGATTGCTTTTCGAAATTTAGAGTCTGCACGGCCCATAGGGCTGTAATATTCGAAAAATGTAATCGCCGAAGTCTATTGTACGAGATGGCGAGCTTGTTTTTGGGGTGTAGGAAACAGTCCAAACATGTTTACTGGCTCTTTAATCAAAACTAGATGGCGCCACCACCACACCGTGACCGTCCCCTATCGCAGTCATCTCCACGCCGTTGCCTTTGGCATTGCTGCTCAATGCATCTTCATCTGCACCACGTCATCTGCTCTGCGTTCCGATAGTGTCTGCGTGCACGCGAATAAAAGCGAGCAGGCAGAAGCACCTCAAAAGTCAATATATGCTGGCACCTCTGGATGCAGTTTTCTCCTGCCTCAACTTATCACGTGGTCGTCTTGCGCTGTGTGGCCCGTAAGTTCGCAACCTATGCATTTATTTGCTTTATATTTATGTCCTGAAGCTTCGGGAGCAATGTATTTGTCATTAACTTGGAGTGTTCTCAAGATTCATTCTTGAAAGTGTCGAAGACAAGGCTTAGCAGGCCTTGCTAAATAAAGACAGCTAATCTCAATAACAAAGACACAACACACCTGATGTTTTGTTCCCAGAATGAGAGGACATGAAGTGATAGCCAATTTCACCATTTATTCAATGCTGTGAAAACAAGGGGCTTGTAGCAAGTGTAAGTTTGTATCAAAGCATCTGGATGGGCGCTGCCATGTTACCATCCTGCTTGTGTTATGTGGTACGGCCATGGCCGCTGGCCTAATGCGTTGGCCGAGGCAATGGGCTGGGCGAAGGCCAGTTACAATCACATGATAAAACATGGCAATGCCTGTGTGTGGCTGCAGAAAATTGTCTATATTAGATGGGAGTCAACATTCTATGGCTGTTCCTTGAAAAAAAAAATTGAGCCAATATTCTAGTTCTTACGCTAAGTATAGTGATTATCCTGGAGCTTTCCACCTCACTGTTTCTTGGTTCACCGTGCAGTTTCCGTATAGTAAACAATACGATTGTTTTGAAGGATACTAATAGTTAAATCATCATCATTATTTTATTATGCTAATAAACCTTTAATAGACTGGATGAAGCGAAGAAAAAACATATTTTCTTTGCATTGTCGTTAAAAATAATTTAGCTTATCCCATTTGAAGATGAGGAGGTATAATTGTCAGCCATGGTTGAGTGTGATTGATCCTTTTACAAATAAGGCCAATATATATTCATGTCTTAATGTGGAAAGGCAGTGAATAAATTGCGGGAATGGCAAACAAAGTTCTCGTCACTTTAGGTGCAGGAAGGCAAAGTCGGTTGCAAGTTAAAGAGGCACTAAAGACAAATGACAGTTTATGTCGGAGTGAAATCTTCATGAATGATAATGTTTAAAACGACAATATAATATAAATAGCAGCGCTCTACTTACTGAGAAATTAAGCTAAATGTATCACACTAAGTGAAAATGATCCTGATGATGTGAGAGTGTCCAATCACCATTAATCACTAGCAATCAAACAGTGAGCAATAAAGAACCTTCTGTGCATCAAGAGATGTAGTAAAATGCTACTTGTTCATTTCTGTTAGATTCATTGAAGAAAGAACTGCCTGGCGTTACTATGAGGAACGGCGCGGTTGCTTCAAAAGTTCCGTTTTCACCTGGTTAGGCTGGACAGGTGGTGCCATCTATAGTGGGGCCCAGTTGAACCAAGCAAGCAGAAAATTGTTCAACAGCCGTTGCTGCTGCTGTGGCTTCCGCTACTTTCGCTCTCCTGCTATTAGTGTAGGCAGCCGCACAGTAAAGTTGGGCACGGCAAGACTGACCTGAGAAAGACTGCTTTCAGGCAGGTGATTCGAAGTGCGCTAACGCGATGTGGACCATTAAGACGTGGTTTTATTTCAAAATAAGCAGTTTCTTGGCACAAAACTAGCACTACGAGGTTTCTGGGCCGCTGTTTCGGCAATCAACATTGACTTACCATACTATTTGCCTTTAGTGTCCCTTTAAGATTAAATACAGGCTCCGCCTGCAAACTGCTACGCGGCTGTCAATTAACTGTGCAAGGAAGTCGTGCTCAGTGGTTTCCATTCTAAGTACTTTTTCACTTTGTCGTCTCTTGTCAAAATGTTACATTTGGCTGTGCATTGAAGTCGTGACCTTTGCTAAAATTGCCAGGAAGTTTGAGGTTTTGACCAAGATTGAGGGATCCTCTAGCTTGGCCTTTAAGAGTCGAATGCTATAGCGATATCTTGTCCCTAGTGCGTACTTCAAACACTCGGTGAAGGAAATCTTTACGAACTTGCTATGCTCCTACTACGCGGTCTTTAGGGAACAGGCGCAGTGACGTGTGTGCCATTTGTAGTGGGTGACTGGCTATAAACAATGAAATAATTGTGATAATCACATGTTTTGATGCCCAATGTCAATGTATGCTTGTACCACGCATTGTTACTGCTATATTTCATGCTGTGTTGTGAATCATGTATACAAGATGCGTGTATTTCTAAAGCATGGCAGTTACTTTCACTGCAAGCCGAGGAAGGTATTTTCACTGTATTCACAGGTAGAGGTGTGACTGTATGGTAGAACACTCGTTCACGACCCGGGTTCAATCTGCACTCAGACCCAGAATTTTTTTCATTTGTTTTATTTGCATCTTTCTCGATTTTTCGGTCGTGGGCAAGATGATGATTTTTCGCTCACAACCAACGACACTGATGCGGATGTCGGAATTTCTGCGAAAGGAGCGATTTAACGCGATAGCGTTAGAAGCTTGTGGCGCGAGCATGTGACTCTCTGGGAAAAACACCTACTTAAGATACATGTGTCATGCTTGGTGTCACGTAAGTAAGCAATCGACATTAAATGCCATCCATGCCTCTCTGGGTGAGATGGTGGTGGTTGTGGGTGGGGCTTACAATCATTGTTAGGTCGTAATCAACTTTAGAGCTATCAGATGAAGAAAACTGTTGTGGCTGTTTTGTCCTGACTTTTCTCCTGTCTGGGCCTGCACACCTTGTCTTTTCAGAATGAATGAATATTAACTACACTCTGACCTTAATATAACGAAACCGAATATAGCGAAATACCGGTTATAACGATGTAAATGAAAAATAGTCTTGCAGTAGATATAGTGTTAGAAATAAATCTTTATAATAAATTTTCGGGTATAACGAACTCATTTTCATGTAAGATACAACTTTGAACAAGGTTTGAGTGCATAACTCGGCTCTTTTTTATTCTAAAGAAACTGTACCGTCTGAGATGTTTCGTCTCTTGGACATGGGATGGCAGTAATATGAAATTTTGCTGAGTGCATTTCGTCCGACAGTAGACTCCTATGGGCCGACGGGGACGACGAACCACTGCTTTTCCGCTTGCAGGATTGGCCACCACAGCACTTCGGACGACAGCACGGCTTATCGGTCGGTGGACGAAGTGAGGACGTGGGACGAGCACGCCCATCCAATCACACGGCTTCGCCAGTACCTCCTCGATCGAGGATACTGGAGCGAACAGCAAGACAAGGACATCAAGGCCACGTTCAAGAGAGAGGTACCTCTAATGTTGCTCACCCAGATATTTCTGGTTTTTTAGACAGCCGGCATGTAAACAACGAAGTGTTTTGTGCCGATCTCCACCAAGAATTTACCGAGAGAAATGACATCAGCAAATAGCTCAAACCTCAGTATAACGAATGCGGCTTTAACGAAATATTAGTTATGATGAAGTAAATGAAGAATAGCTTTGATATAAGTGAAGTGTTACGAATATGCCTTTTTAACGACTTTTGGGATGTAAGGAACTTATTTTCATGTGAGATGCAACATTGTTATAATGAGGTTTGAGTTAACTGCCATTTGCATTGGCATATGCACTCATTTTTCGTTTTCTAACTTTGAATAGGTGATGGGTAAAGGGATGTGGAAATATAAAATGCCAGGTAACAGTTGCAGTGTGTTATTAACCTTGATTACATGCTGAGAATAAAGATGCGCAACGATTCAGTAAATATGTGAGAGTCCAAAGATCACTTTGACTCCGTGGCTAATGCTTTTAATCGGTTTGCATGTATCTCATGAAGACAACAGAAAAGCATCCCTTTTACTGGCAATTTCCTGAAGTGCCGCTTACATCTGGTACAGACCTTAGGAATTCACTTTGTGGTTTCTCAAACCACATTGCTAACCAATCCGCGAGATATTGCCGACGAACTGTGTCAAATTTGTGATTGTCAATGCAGCATTTACTGCTCTTTCACAGGTCTTACAGAACGTCAAAGAAGTCGAAAAAGTTCTCAAGCCGCCGGTCAGCGACCTTTTCACTGACGTTTACAAGGACATGCCGGCGCATCTCAGGGATCAGATGACGTACATGTTGAACCACGTACAGCAGTACAAGGAGGGTTACCCCGTTGACCTGTATGCCAAAGAGGAGAGCTAGGATGATGCACGTATGCGTGAAGGCCGTACGTCGTCAGCAGTTGGCGTGTTAGAATACCGGAGAGATGTTTCTGTTGAGCTCATAGACAAGCTGGTTGCATCGTCAAATTTCTAAAGAAAAAGCGCAGCGGTACACCGTACCTGCGAAGCAGAGGCGCTGTACATCGATGTATCGAAATCCAGTTGCATGCATGCAACTGTTCCAGCCAGTTACCTTATTTCAGGTCATCCAGTGAGTAGAACATATTGAATTATCTTGCTAGGCTTGTAGTTTCTCCTTGCTTTACCGTACTGTCACAAAAAGCTACTGGAAGCATGAACACAACCGTACATTGTTACGTTTAGCAGTCAGGAATCAGCTGTATGCTGACAGTTCTAGAGCACTGTGTGGTGTGTTATCTGCGTGCAGATGTGCGTGCATAGCGTGCTCACTCTCCACATTAACACTGCCTTCGTTTTAGTCTCAATTCGAAATAGCGAGAGAATGTGGGACAGTTTTGTTGTTTAAGTTAATTGTCCTGAAGTCAGTAGTGCGGATCTCCGTAAAATGTGCCATGAGCAATTGAGTATCTATTCATTAGATGAATGCATGGAAAAGTGTTCTAACCCCATGGAACACTGACCTATATATTTTTTTTGTGGTATGTTGTCTCAGAATCCATTACGACGTAAATGTAGCGCAAAACAGACAAGGCCAAGAAAGTGTACACCACAAGCGCTTAGTCACAACTGAAAGCTTTATTGCTTGAACCGAATATACGTAACACCTACACTTGGTGCTCGACTAAATTTCGCGCATGCGGATCGTCCGGGTTCAGGAGGTGTGTTCTTGGTTTGATACCCTGCCTTTTGTTTGGCCCACGATCCGCATGCGCGGGATTTAGTCGAGCACCAAGTGTAGGTGTTATATATTTTCGGTTCAAGCAATAAAGCTTTTGGTTGTGAGTAAGCACTTCTGCTGTACACTTTCTTGGCCTTGTCTTTTTCGCACTACATTTACGTCATAATGAATCTGTACCAACTCTCTTGCTTCTCTGTTTTGTTTCGTAGTCTTAGAAATTTTATATATTATTTTTGAAATGCATTTAGTTTGTTGAGAATGTCGGTCAGCTTTCCTCAAAAAGTCATGAAGAAGCTTCGTTGGTTACAAGTTGTGTTTATGGGACTCATGGAAGATATGTTCGAAAAGTAGAGCGGTGATTGTGATTTGTATTATGGTACATCTATTGTCATGGTGTATCATATTGTGGTCAGAATCAGTGAGGCTTATTTTTGTTGATGGAACTGGAAAGCTAGTGGCACGATTATGTTTAGCGATGCTATAAGTTTGCATTTAATAGTTTTTGTACTGTTTAGGTATAGGTTGTACATTTAATGGAAGCTTATCATAACAGACATCAAAGTGTTCAGGTTACTGTTAATAACTGCATTTACAGTAATTTAGATTTTTTTAACTGGACTGGTTAGGTTCTGGTGCAGTGTATAACAAAGGACACTTGAAGTACTGCGTAGTGCGATGTATGAATGGTGGTGTGAAGCGTATTCCAGCGTATTTCAGTTGATGCGTTTTGAACTGATACCCTTGAGGTAGGCATACGTAATTGCTTATTCATTAGTTTAGCCGAGCACCTGTGTACAGTGATCATGACACATTTTGTATACCTTGTGGAGTTTCGTTGTATCACTATCTAGACTTTACATTTGTACATTGAATGTAGAGTGAGATAGTGTATAAAGAGCATGGAATCATTTCAATGTAGCTATGTCTGAAAGTCATGTGCGTGCCATCATATTAAAATTTGTGAAACTGAAAATAATGTTTGGTGTTTGTTTCATGAGCCCTTTGACATCGTCTGTACTTTGTTGTCGGAACATTATTGAATATATTTTTTACCTACCTAATCGTGATGAATAGTCTGTAGTAATAAATAGTACACTTTTTTGTAGTCAATATCGTACAGCAGTAGTGCAGTCCTACAGCTTGCACTGGACGAAGCATGGCACTGTATTTTTACGGCAAAGTTAACTGCGAGTGAAATGTGGCTGTTTGGAGGTATGAAACTGAAATACAGTCAAGCCTTGTAACAGAATCGCTTCCCATATGTAAATAAGTAATGTTTCTATATTCGTCACCAAAAAAGAAAAAAAGAACACGGTCACGTATTTGCTATAGTAATGCTAGTGCAATATGCATTCCACAGTTTCTTAGAAACAAGGGGGGCTGGGTGGGTGGAGGGGTTTTTGCTGTTGATTTGAAGACACTAGTAAAATTTCAACCAGCTGGCTCACTGGCCAAACTGGACCATAGTATCTAGAATGTGCCATTTCAGGTTGCATTCACTGCACATTTGACGTGTTTTCTAGCAGAATACTGATCTTCAGCTTTTTAACGAGAAAATATTTGCGTAGCGGCAATGAACGCTAACACGTTGAGTTTTGCACATTTGATTTTCCTGTATCAGTAACGAGAAATCACTGAAATAACACCAGCACAACAAAGTTCTATGTATATAAAGTTTTTGTTATCCTATATTTAGCAAGTTTCTCTATTGATGTTTCTAATTAGGCATTCAAATATAGTTGTTAAACTGATTACACTAAGCTGGTGTATTTGAGATTAAATGTTCTTTTCAACTTTGGTGAGGCTGATCTCTTGTCATTGCCATAGGCGCGATCTGCATAGCCTGCCAGTGGTTGGGATAGTCAAATGCAAGGTCTGAAATGTTTGTGATCATTTTTTTTGTTTCCTTTATTGAAACTAATGGTAAAGTTTCATCTATTTTAAAACACCTCTTTAGGCATTGTTAGTGTAATCAAGAGAGATTGGTTGTCCTGCTATAAACTTGTACATCTTGAGACTTGGGAACATCTTTTTTACTCATGACATCAGTCGCTGTCATCAGTGTTGTTATGCTTGGACCAGCATAGTACTATATATCTCTGCTGTAGAGATCTTGTCCTGTTATGCATGCCTGGTACACTTGAGGTGTTTGCTATTGGTATTAGGAGATCGGTGCTCAGAATAGTGCAGATTGGTGGGCTGTAATACAAAAGTAGAAGCCTGAGTAAACTACTTTAAGCACTCCTGTGCCTTGCTAAATATTCATTGTAAAATTAAATTGTTGTGCACTGTATGACAGTCGGGTTAGGCGTCAGGCCCATGTCCTCTGTATTACATTGGTAGATTGTGTACCACAATGTTGGCATTTTGTTGAATAAACAGTTGTGTGCACTATTCGCATTTGTATTCTTTTTCTATAGATGTTTTTTATACATGTCGCAATGCATTAGAAAGCAAAATGGAATGAAATAAACTCGCATACCGCTCTGTGAATAAAATAAACAAGTCATGGTTGTCTTCTAGGCCCAGCAGAATTTTTAGTTTTAGTATACCGATATAACACGATAGATGTACCAAGGCTGGTGCATCCTAGAAGATGGTTTCTTTTTTAAGAGTTTCTCGCACTTTGTTCTGCTCAGAAATATTCTATTCTGTTTAGAAATTGGTTCCACACATTATGGTTCTACAGTAACTTGACAATCAATTTTTTTTACGTTCTTGTGGGTTATACAGTATTAGTCAATATTTAACATTTTCATATTCAATGCATTGGCACACACCTAAGAAATATTAATGCGTATGCATGAGGAGAAGCCTGAGCTGATCACAACAGTCTCACCAGCTAGACTTGTGGCCAGTTTGTTTTTTTTTTCTCTTTTTAAGTGGTCATCGCTAGGGGGCGCTCGTCCAGTGCGGATGTGCGAACACGTCGGCTCCCGATTGTTCAAGTGTTCTGGCACGGATTTTTTGCCTCAACTAGCAAGAACTGTGCATCATTCGACGCCGTTTGTTGTGGTGAACCAGCAGATACCAACATCTTACCGGTGGGTGAAATTTTTGGACATCCCCAGGGCTTTTACCCACGCCACGCAGACGCCTCGCGCGTCGACGCGTTTCTCGGGCGCTGCAACAGCGTCGCGACGACGCCTAACGCGTCGTCGAGCTGAAGAATGGCCTCCAACCCCAATGTGTCGGTTGTAGAAGGCATGGACATCAATCCGGAAGAAGCGGAGTGCGCGGGATGGATTGAAGTAGCCAGCAAGAAGAAGAAACTTGCTGAGCGGGCGGATTGTAACGCTGGTAATGCGCCCACGTCAGCGACAGGAAGCGGTAAAGGCGGCTCCCGCACTGCCGCCTCACAGAACGTGTTGAGGCGTGTTGTGAAAGCTTCCAGGATCCCAAACCTTCCCAGGGATCACTTTAAGACCATTATACGGCCACGTGGAGGGATGGATGTCAAGAAGACAGACCTTCTTATCTTCAAGCGCTCGCTCGCAAAGGCGGCTTCCCTAACAGCAGAGCAGGTGTTCGACGACACGCTGTGCACGAACCCCTTCCAGAACATTTTCGTCGTTGCCATGCCGTTCGAGGCGAATGCGCGCGCCTACGCCAGGGTCCAAGAGATAAGTATGGGCTCGACTGTCATAGGCTGGGGGGCTTACGTGGCTGCGTCTGACAACACATGTAAAGGAGTGATCCGTGGAATCAATGTGGATCTCAGTGACGCAGAACTGACAGAGATGATCGTCAACCGGAAGAACCCTGACGCTCTGGGGGTTCGAAGAATCAAGAAGACACCAACAGTGATCGTGTTGTTTGACGGACAAAAGGTCCCCCAGCACGTCGTGTGTGATGGTGTTCGATACCCTTGTTCCTTGTATCGCAGGCAAGTGGACGTGTGCTATGCATGTGGTGATTTGGGCCACAGGTCCGATGTTTGCCCCAAGGGCGATGAACAGAAGAAATGCCGCGGATGCGGCATGCAGTCACCATCACCGGATCATCAGTGTGATCCCACGTGTGCCATCTGTGGCGGAGCGCACCCAACGGCGGACCGCAAGTGCAGAAAGCGCTTCCAGGTGCCCTACATCGTGCGCCAAAGACGGCGGCGCCGCCGTAGGCGCGCGCGGCGTGGCTCCGACACAGCTGGAGGCGAAGAAGGACTGGCGGAAGAAGAATCATTCTCCAGCGCTCATCGCAGCAGATCGGCATCTAGAGGACGCTCCCGCTCCAGAGAACGCTCCGGCAGCAAATCGCGCTCTCGCTCCAGAGGGCGTGACAAGGGCAGCAGTCGCTCCCGTTCGAGAGGACGATCGGGTTCCAAGGGCCGCGTTCAGAAGCAAATGTCTTGGGCGGACAAGGCCAGGATGAACATCCCAAGCGGCCAAAAGGTAACGCAGGGCATTTTACCAGAGCAAAAGATTTTAATGCTTAAAAAAGAAAATGCAGAACTTAAAGAAGCACTACGAACGCTGAGGGCCGAGTTCGAGCTCTTCCGCAACTCGCGTGAACCCCGTGAAGTAGCCACACCCATACCGGTTCAAGCAGGAGGGTCGAATAAGCGCAAGGCCGTTTCGCCCCCCGCGATCGCGGAAAGCGTGGCAATGCAAAGTGACGAGTCCCCCGCTCAGGTCCCTGAGAAAAATGTACTCGCGTCCTTAACGGCGATTGAGGAATCGCTCAAGCAGGTGAGAGAGGCCTTAGCCATTCAATCTAGCACAATCGAACGTATGGACGGGAGCGTCTCCCACCTGAAACGTCGAGTAGGAATCCTCGAATCTAAAATGAAAATGATTCACTCTAGCAAACTCAAGACGACCAACACTGGTATGATTGCAAAAGCCAAGATAGTGCAGCAGGATTCGGACGCTACGAGTTCGCCGCAGGCTATGTTCCTTCAATAATATTCAAAATGGCGGGCCAAACCGGAAACATAACTATCTGGCAGTGGAATTGCGCAAGTTTCTTAAGGCGTAAAGCTGCTCTACTGCAGCTCATCAAAGCACAGGCGTCAATGCCGCACGTCCTGCTCTTGCAGGAAACACTTAGCGAGAAGGTAGTCCTCTCGGGCTACCGTTCGATTAGCCAAAAAGGCGCAAATGGGAGAGGTATCGCCACGTTGGTCAGGAAAGATACCTCCTTTGAGCAGCACGAAGTCAAAATTTGCGACTCGGATAAGAGATCCGGTCTCGAGGCACAATTAATTGAAATCATCCCCAACGGCAAAATCCGAAGCAACATATTCGTTTTTAACCTGTATAGCCCTCCTTCGGCTTATAAACATAATATCCGCTCACTCCTTCATAGGGTCGCAACTGCCGCCAGATCGCACCCTTTAATAGTAGCTGGGGATTTCAACGCTCCCCATCCGTCTTGGGGCTATGTTACGAGGAAAAAGAAAGGGGCCAATCTAGTTGCAGCCAGTATAGACTTAAACCTAACGCTTATCTTTGACCCGCGTTTTCCCACGAGGCTGGGAAACTCGGTCGCCAGAGACACGATGCCTGATCTCGGCTTCCCTAGAAATGCGGTGGTCGAGTGGTCCAACTTACAGGAGAACTTGGGAAGCGACCACAGCATCATAGAACTCCGGATGGAAATAAGAGCACCACCCCCAAGAACCTATAAATATACAGACTGGGACCTTTTTAGGCAAATCAGAGGTGAAGATGAGTCAGTACATGGCACCTTCAGTGAACTTCTTGTACAAATCCAGAAGGATGTCGAGAAGGCCACCAAAGAAATAGTAACAGAATTTGATGCTCCGGGGATGGATGCAAGGTTAGCGCACCTCCTGGACGCCAAACGCTCTCTCATCGCAAGATGGAAAAAACAAAGGCTAAATCGCAGGCTACGGAAAAAGATTGCGGAGCTCAATCGGCATATTGAGGAGCACTGCTCCGAACTCCATAAACAACAATGGAGGGACGCCTGCTCGGCTGCGGACGGGAAAATGCGCAAAGGAGGCAAATGGACCCTCTTCAAACACCTCCTAGATGATGGACAATCCAAAGGCAATCAGAAACTAGCCATAGACCGACTTATTAATAAGGAGAAAATGGCAGGCATCTCAGAAGCTTCCCATTTTCAGATACTTGCCAACAGTACCTCCCGCTTAGCCAGAGCTCAACTTCTGTCCCCCTCCGGCATGAGGGTGTGCCTTCCCCAGAGTTGGACGCTCCCTTCTCGGAAGCTGAGATCAGGGAAGTGCTCCATAGCCTAAACGGAAGGTCTGCCCCAGGTCCCGATGGAGTTACGAATCGGCTCTTAAGAAATGTGGATGATAAAGCCATTCAGGCCTTAGTGAAGGAGATAAACAGGGTATGGGAGGAGGGCGTCGTACCAGAAACTTGGAAGAGGGCCACAGTGGTCTTAATCCCCAAGCCAGGTAAATCACCCAGCTTAGATCACCTCCGCCCGATCTCCCTTACTTCTTGCCTTAGCAAAGTAGCAGAACATGCAGTACACAACAGGATATCGCGCTACATCGAGAGGAATGACCTATTTCCATATAATATGGTAGGTTTCAGGCCTTCACTTTCCACGCAAGATGTCATGCTCCTCCTCAAAACACAAATAATTGACTTTCCAAGCAAAGATGTAAAAGGCGTCCTCGCACTCGGCCTCACTAAAGCATTCGATACTGTCAAACACGACTATATTCTTAAGGAGATATCGGCTTTGAACCTGGGAGTTAAATTCTTCTCCTTCGTTGAATCTTTCCTCGAGAGTCGGACGGCGGCAATAAAACTGGGACAATCAGTCTCGGAGCCTTTCAAACTCGGACGAAGGGGTACTCCCCAAGGGGCAGTTATCTCCCCCCTTCTATTCAACATAGCCATGCGCAAGCTGTCGGCAAGCCTTTCTAAAGTTCCTAATGTCGGACACGCTTTATATGCTGACGACATTACAATCTGGTGTCCCGGAGGATCGGAGGCGGCGGTTGAACAAGCTCTACAGGAGGGTCTGGACGTTACAGAGTCTTTCCTGGAAGGTACGGGACTGGCGCTTTCGCCGGAAAAGTCGGAACTCCTGCTGTACAGACAGGCTAGACGAGGTGTTAGGGGACTCACCCCTCTCGATCAGGTGCCCATTAGCGTTTGCACCAAGGATGGTCGCACAATTCCTAGAGTCAATTCTATGAAAATTCTGGGGCTTTTATTAGACTCTAAGGGATGCAACACAAAGACTATAGCCCATCTCACCACAAAAACAGAGAACATTCTGAGATTAATTATGCGGGTGTCCAACAAGAAGGGCGGCATAGGCGAGGATATCCTCCTTAGGGCCCACCACGCTTTCCTCATGAGCCATATCATATACATAGTGGCGGCTCTCAATTGGACCAAAACGGAAAGGGATAAATTGGACACGCTCATGCGCAAAAGTGTCAAAAAGGTGCTCGGCGTCCCAATCACGACTAGCACAGAAAAACTCATGAAGTTGGGAGTGCACAACACCACTTCGGAATTAATTGAAGCGCAAAAATCAGCACAAATAATTCGGTTATCGAGTTTCAAAACAGGAAGAAAACTGCTCGATGCGGCAGGCCTCCGTCCTATCTTCAATCAGGGAGAAACTACGCAGCTTGATTATCAAACAAGGAATTCCTTTATTGTTGACCCTCTTCCACGAAACATCCATCCCCAACACAATAAAGGTCGTAGGTTGGCGAGGGCTAGGGCTTTCATAAAGAACCTCTCCGGAACAGAGACATTTGTGGATGCGGCGCGCCACGCCGGCGGCAGCGGGTTTTCCGTGGCAGTAGTCAATGACAGGGGAGAACTTGTCTCGGCAGCTTCAGTGAAGACCTCCTTGGTCGATGTAGCAGAACAGGCTGCTGTAGCGCTGGCATTACTGGACACGAAACGCACCACGGTGTACACCGATTCCCGAGCGGCCGTTAGGGCGTTCGCATCGGGATTGATAGCCACAGAGGCAGCCAGAATTCTCCACAGCAAACCCCCCTCAGACGTTATTCATCACATAGTCTGGTTTCCCGCTCACATGGGACCAGACGTACTGCCGGGTCACCTGAACCCAAACGAGATAGCCCACGACTGTGCGCGAGGTTTCACAAGCCGCGACGGGGTGGTCTCTCGGGTGGGTTCGGGAGAGATCGTCCACAGTGATCCTCTCGTTACTTTTCACGAGATAACATCTCATTACAGAGGAGAGCGACAGACTTTTCCCTTTCCCCATCATAAGCTCCACAGATCACAAGCAAGCACGCTCCGCATGCTCCAGACGGGGTCTTACCCCTCTAGGGGCTTTCTGAGCATGCTTCATCCGGATATTGATCCACTTTGCCCAGATTGTGGTGAATTTTGCTCTTTGAGTCACATGCTCTGGCAGTGCCCTGCGTTACAGGATTTTAAAACAGAAGAAGACTGGACGACGGCAATCACAGACCCTAGACAAGACGTCCAGCTTCAGGCTGTCCAGAGGGCCCTTGAACGAGCGGAGAGGCATGGCCTCTCTGTTCCGACATGGGACTAGCCAACGGCTGGGTGGGGACTACATAGTTGGCGCGCTGCCTTGCCTCTCAGGACCAAATAAAGTTGTTTGTCCTGTGTCTCTTTTTAAGTGTAGGCGGGGGAGAAGCACCCAGACAGCACATGCACGACTGCTTTACCATTTCACACAATATATTGTTACTTGTGCACAATGGAGCTTAGTGTACACACATTTTCTAGCACACACTTCCAGCTAAATAAGTTTCATCGTTGATACAATTTGAGATCCATCAGCTGGACATGTTTTAAATGCGAAGCATTTCTTAGCGAGCTTCGGCGACTTTGAGCGTATTTATCTATCTAGCCGCCTACGACTTTTAGCTCTCCCGGCCGTTTCGATACCAAACTTGGTATGTCATAACATGACTATGAAGAACATACTGGCCTAGTCATAACATGAAAATAATGACATCTATGTCATAAATGTAATGATTGACATTTCATGGTCCTGCAGCTCTTGTGGCGGTTTCATTCACAAGGCATGTTGCAAAACCGGTATGGAATGACATGATTGCATGGCGAACACTAGCGACAGACCCTAACTTGAAAATCGTGACATGCGTGTCATGTAACAACCTAACTACATGCAACGTTCGGGGACATTGAGCACTATTTTTTATTGTTCAACAACGCACCAAAGAAATCTTATACTTGTTACATACTACTACGGCTCCGAGGGACGAACGGGTGCCGCTATAGGGAGCTTCGCCCCGAAAAACCGCTTGCAAGCGTAGCTCGCCGCGTAGGAGCATAGCCGAAATCAAATCTGATTTTCGATTTTTCGTTAGGCCCCACCCAAACGGGAAGGGCCCCACAAAAATTACTTAATTGCTCATTCGAGTGCCCCACCCCACGGTAATCTTTAGTAAAAGGCGAAAGATTAATGCGTATGCAATGAGGCGAGGCCTGAGCGACTGCATGCATCCGACGTCGACTCACCCTGACACGGCACATACGACGGCCATGTCAGTGGAACTGGCCAGCCTAATCATTTAACACAATATAATATGAATAATGCGAAATAAAACTGAGTTTACGCTATAGTTTTTAACAGTGTTATGTAGCTAAAAAGCTTCTTTTAAGTCCAATTATGATTTAAGAATACTCAGATTGCCTACTTTTTAAAAAGCAACAGAGGAGACAAACCTGTCGCCTTTCGAAACGCTAGAAAGTGCTGCAGATGGGTTAGATGCATGCCCAACAGATGGCGCAAGCGATCAGTGAAAAATCTGTGTGTGTTTTAAGCAGTTCTTCTTTTTTTATTTTTTCGCTCCATTTTTTATTATTTACATCAACGGCCAGGGTGCAAAAACGTGCCCATTTGTTACAAAAAGCATGGCCTCACCATCATTATCATCATTACGCCTAACTTGTTTTTTTTTTTTTTTCGAGTACTGTTGTCTGAATACTTGTTCTGATATCAATTACTTTTTTGAAGTCTATTTTTGTTGTCAGGTGTAAGTTTACTGGGCATTGTGGTGGATGTTATCTTAACTGGTCGACAGTGTAACTACGCTGGAACGTTAACTACACGACGATTGTTATAGCGCGAAAGCAGAATAGTCGTCGTGTCATACCGCCTAGCCCAAACCGCCACTCTTATAAACTACACGATAACACACTGGAATTTCTCATACTACTTTAATGACATTTACAACAGAAGAAAGATGTGAGCTCCACCCACCGCCATCACTAGTCCTTCCCACAGTTTCTTCATCCAATAGCGCTTCCTTAATTTCGTGATGTCAAGCCAAGCACTTCCAAAATGTTTGCTCCCCTCAGTCACACCACCTGAGTGACCTGACGCTCCCGCCCCGCCTGGATTGTATTGGATAAACTTTTATTTGGTCCTCCAAAACACAGATCACTGTGTTGCGGGCTGCTCCCACGTGGGGACTGAGATGCCAAGCTCCTCAGCCGCCTCGCGGGCTTGGTGGACAGCCCAGAGCTGATCTGCCAAGGACGAACTGCGGATTGCCGCCTCCCATCTGGCAGAGGTGATGTGCGATAAATGAGCGAATTTGGTGCACTGGCAGAGCATGTGTTCTAATGAAGCTATTTCCCCACAATGTGGACAAAGATTACTTGGGTATAGGTCAGGGTACATGATGCGTAACATTTTCAAAGTAGGGTACATCCGCGATTGCAAAAGCCTTAATGTAAGTGCTTGGGGCCGGGTTAGATTTTTGTGAGGTGGAGGGAAAATTCTTCTAGACAGGTAGAAATGTTTAGTGAGCTCGTTATATGTTGTAAGAATTTCCCCGTTATCCCCTTCACCGGTAGAACGCATCCCCGGGGAGGCGCGGTTGGAGAGTTCTCGCGCCGCCTCGTGTGCTGCTTCGTTGAGATTGGGAGGGGAATCGTTGATTTGTCCAAGGTAAGCTGGGAACCAACTCAGACGATGATGTGTTATGTTCTTGCCTTGCAGTATTTTCAGCGTTTGTTCACAGAACGTCCCTTTGGCGAACGCCCGTAGAGCTGCCATGGAATCACTGTAGACGACTTCAATGTTATCCATCTTGAGTGCTAAGGCGATGACCACTTGTTCCGCAATGATTGGGTCTTTCGTCCTGACCGTCGCTGAGTTGACGACATGGCCAGCCCCATCGACTACGACTGCCACAAACGCTTTCCCATTGGCGTAAAAAGCCGCGTCAACAAATACGACCCCTCGTTCCTCGTTTGAGACTTGACGAAGTATAGTCCTGGCCCTCGCTACCCTTCTTCCGACGTTGTGTTCTGGATGCATGTTTCTCGGTATAGGAGATACCATGATAGTCTCCCTGATGTTGTCAGGGATATCATTGTAATTGCGTCTGATTGCTATTGGGTGTTGGCCCAGCTCCTGCAGGATCATTCTCCCCGACCTTGTAGTAGATAACCTTGCAAACTGTGCTCTCTCTTGGGCTTCTGCTATTTCTTCGAGCGTGTTGTGTATGCCAAGCTCAAGCAGACGCTAGGTGCTGGTATGTATGGGTAGGCCCAGGACCTTCTTGATAACTTTCCTGAGGAGCACATTCAGTGTCTCGGACTCTGCTCTTGACCAGTTGTGCATTGCTGCCTCGTATGTGAAGTGACTTAGAACAAACGCATGCATCAACCTGATAAGGTTGTCTTCCTTGATCCCATTTCTTTTGTTGGCCACTCGGCGTATGAGGTGCACCGCATTCTGTTTTCCGAGTTAACTTGGCTATAGATTTGCTGTTGGCGCCGGTAGACTCTACGCCCCGCCTGATTCGTGAAGGCACTGCTACGCAGTGTCACCTTATGGCTGACAGAAATTGGGTGCCTTTGTTCCTCCTATCGAACCACTACCACCACCATTCATGCTGTCCCACCGCTCGGCTGTACCCCCTCGGGCAGCCTGGCGCACAGCAGCGAGGTGGCATTCTTCACGAGCTTGGGATGAAACTTGAGACAACACTTGTGGGACGGAGAAGGAAACATTTACTTCCTCGCGTGTGCAGAAGCAAGACAGACGAAAAAAGCGGACGTAAGTGGCCCAACAACTTTCTTTCGGAAGATCCGCAACTAAGCGGTGACAGCGGCGGAGCAATGTTTTGAACTACTTTAAAAAAAGCGACAGTAGACGCGATGGAGAGTTTTACTGCAAACTTTGGGTACTATAACGTTTCTCTTAGGCAATCTAATTTATTGTAGGCGGAAATTCATCGCTACGCGACGTACTTTATCAAGATCACCAACGCGCAAACGATCGACCCGTACCGCAAGAAAAAGTGACGCTAGGACGCAAGGTACAAAGACATTCAAATGTTTATTGCCTACGATGTTGTTCCGGATGCACACTGCAGGTCGAGCACACAGCCGGTGATAACCACAGCATCGAGTTTTCAGCCGTGAATGCACAAGAAGGCCGCGACGGTGGCTGTCTTCGAAGCTGGCCTGGCGGTTGCTTTGAGGCCAGCTCGTCATACGTTGGCGTTGCTCGGCCGTGGCGCAACGTGGTCACCGACATTGCAACGACAGATTGTGTCTGTGGGTAATTGACGACACGAAAGCAAACAAAGCATTGCTACAAAGGCATAAATTTTAAATTCCTTCCGCACTGTCCACCAGTTCATCGCATGAGTTTTGAGGTACCGTAACAAAACAATTAACTGCATTGAGAATATAGATGACTGGCAGCCAGGCATCTAGAACTGGTGTCTAGAACGGTGTCCAGAACCAGGCATCTAGAACGCAAGAGTAAGCTAGCAAAGACCCCGGTCATGAGAGTATAGTTTACAGAAGCATAAAGAAGAGTTGTAACATATACGTCAGACAATAGTAACTGGTCACTGGCAGCACTGGCACTGAACATAAAGTTATGAGAGTTCGACAGGAAAGCCTGAAATTGACGTAGCTGCATGGACAGCACATGTAATATGTAGGGCACATAGACGATGGTCCGCTAGATCTTTCTGCTGCCAGTCGCCCTCGCAGATCGACTTATAATGCTCTATTCTGTGTTGCAGTATGCTTGATATACTGCCTGCTGGGATCGTTGAAATCCGCATGTCACGAAAACTTCCGCCATATGCATGGTTGAATTTTGTAACGACTACTTTAAAAAAAAAAGTCTCTAGCTTCCCCTTTTAAAGCTGACAAAATGGACGCATTATTGTAGCAGTGACATGGTGGCATTGGAATATGTCTGAAACACTTCCATTTCCCTAAGAAGCACTCCGTGAAGATAGTGTTCAACAGGACAGTTAAATGAGTCTCCGCGAGGAGTAAACATATATCAAAGCCCGAAAAGAAGCTTTCGCGAAGTCAACACAGAGTCACAGTACAAAGTTACCGTCTAGGAACGGAGGAGTGTTCGGTTATTTCTTGCAGTACATCCTTTCCGTTTCCCAAAGAGTGCAGCGTCAAATTTACCGGTTGCCGTCACCCATCAAAGTCACGTGACCGGCAGGTTAACTTTTCAGCAGGTGAACTGGCTGCATGGTGAAGCTCATTCGGCAGCAGGTCAACGCATTCAAATTTTGGTGATGGCGTGACGTCATACGTGACGTATCTGCTCCGGGTCACTGGACTCTCCTGCGTGTGACGACTACAGGAAGTTCAGCTCGATAAACAAACACAAGACTCTATGGCACAGGGTATAAGTACTCAACCCAAGAAAAAATGCCAGCTCCACCCAACGTGGTAGTCGTACGTCTCACAGAAAAAAAAGCATAAATGCTTCATCCAATGGTATTATACACACGTTCGCGACGTTAATCACTTTCCACTATTTCTTTCCGCGTGCCTGAGGCAATCGACCCTCTCACTCATAACGACGCACGTTTGCCTCGCTGGTGTTGGGTTGGAAAGGACCTGGTGACCTTTGACATCGTTGCTCAGCGTGGTCCGTATCCATGTTCTCCTCATCCAGTTCATTTTGATGAACGTGTGAGGCGCATGATTACTACGGCTATATATGTCGCTGTTGTTTTGAGAATAAGGTTAGTTGCGAGCAAAGGAATGACCTTTTATTTTCGTGTTTTGAATTCTTTGCTAACGAAACGCGTCTTTTGTGGCGGAAACCAGCTGGCACAACGGTCCTTCAAAGATGAAGGCTGACTGGTTCGGAGGGTGGAGCTGGCATTTTTTTTTTAGGTGGCCATCAATCGATTGTCATGCTTTCCTCGACCGGTGGCAGAGCCCCTCCGCTCGTCAGTGCTTCGATGTCGTCCTCCATGTCGCGCGGCAGGAAGTTGGGTTCGTAGCGGCGCAGAGGGGTCCCGTCTCGACCGACGAGGAACTTCTCGAAGTTCCACCGGATGTCTGCGCTGTCTTGGGGCGAGTAGAAGAGATTGTCCTTAGACCGAAACTTGGACACCGGTGACGGACAGCGACTCTGCGACAGTCCCACGTAGCACACACACATGATAATGAGGACAAGACGCCGAGGAAAGTGAACGGGATG